ATAAAAGATAAAGATTTACAAACTAAACAATTTTGTTTGATTATTATTATTATTATTATTGTTATTTTTGATAAATAAAAATATTGAATATATATTGTATATCTATATATATTTTTATGTTAAATTATATTTTTTAAAATAAATAAATAATCAAATAATTTCAATAATTTGATTTATGTATATTAATTAATTTGTTTTTTTTAAATTTCAATATTGTTAAAAATTAAATCAAAAATTCAATATACTGTACAAATAAAACAAACATATTATCTCAATATTCACATAACTATACAGTAATTTAAAAAATATATATATATATATATATATATATATATATATATATATATATATATACATAACCTGTTGATTTTTTTGGATAAATTATTACTATTTTTTAAAAAATTTTCAATAGTAGTAAACTTAATCTACTGTATTGATTATATTGATTGAAGTTATCAATGAAAAAAAAAGTTTAGATTTAAAAAAAACTTTATATATATATATATATATACCATATTTAATTGCCAAATGGCCTCAACAATGGGTGACACATACAATAAATAAGTGCGGTATTTATTAAATAATAATAATAATAATAATAATCAATGTAAAAAATATATATATCTAATAATTTGATGGGTATATATATACCGGTATATCAATGGGTGATAATAATAATAGTAGACTATTATATAAGTGCATAATATATATATGTTTTGTGTTATAATAAAGTTGAGTGTAGTCTATATATATATATTATATGATATATACAGAGTATATGTGATATATATATAAAAAGAGGATGAAAAATGAATGCTAACACACATATATATAATGTCACCAAAAAAGGACTGGTATTTTCTGGAAGTTAATGAGGTCTCGGATATATAAAAATGAAAGCAATCTATTGACTGAAAAGACGTAAAGACGTCGACATAAAGAAGAACTATATAATGATAATAATGATAATAATAATAATAATAATAGTTGTGTAGTATTGCTCTTATTATATATATATATATATACAGTATAGTCAACCAACCGCTATAGTGGTACATAAGCTCTTGGATGTAGTGTTTATGAGAGAGAGAGAGAGAGAGAGACAACAACAACGACAACGAGATGCTGACATTTTAAGTATATGTATATATTCTGTATATATATATATATAGAATATATGGTTAGTATATCATGATATACCATACAGAATATATTAGATGATATATATATATATATATATATATTTATGTATATATATTAAATATATGCCTATATTTTTAAGTCAAATGCCTCTCTTGATCTCTATGAAGCAAAAAGTCAAGGGAAACCAGTAGTTATAATGTGTGTGTGTGTGTAGACTATAGGTTTTGGAGGTAAAAATAAGAGAGAGAGAGAGAGAGAGAGAGAGAGAGAGAGAGAGAGAGAGAGAGAGAGAGATGACATTCCGTTGTTGTTGGTGTTGTTGTCGTAGTAGTCGTCGTCGATGTCGTAAATGAGAGTCAAAGTTGTAGGGAATTCTGAACACAACTTAATATATACGATAAAAATTCATAATAATAATAATAATAAACGACTTTAATATATGAGCGATGAGAATAATAGAGAGAGAGAGAGAGAGAGAGAGAGAGAGAGAGAGAGAGAGAGAGAGAGAGAGAGAGAGAGAGAGAGAGAGAGAGAGAGAGAGAGAGAGAGAGAGAGAGAAAATCACGACAAATAAAATCAATAATTTGAAGCAAAAATGAAGTCAATTTTCAAACATGAGATAAGACTTTTGTGCCATTAAATTATTCGTCTATAAAAATCCATCAATAGTTAGATACTTAACACACATATGTATTTACATGTGATATACTGTATATACATATATATATATATACTGTATATATTGTATTATATATATAAGGTTACAACAAGTAATCAACTATTTTTTCCATCTAATATTCAATAATATACTATATATAATATATATATATATAAATTTAATAAATAAATTCTATAAATAAAGTTTATATTACTAAACGATTCTATAAATATATATATAAATATATAGTATTAGTAGAATTATATAAAAACTTTGTTATTTATTTATTTTTTAATAAAACTTATTTAGAGAAAAAAATAATACATTTATTAGTATTAATATATTAAATTAGATATAAATATGGTATATATTATGTATATATATTGATAGATCATAAATATTTGAAAAAGTTTAGACTTTATAATTAAATGTATTGAATATAATTATATACTATAATATACTGTTACAACAATCTGTTGAATTTAGTTGTAAACTAATACATATTATACAGTATATGATTAATGCGATTCTCAATGTACTGTATATTTAAGTTATATATATACGGTATATACTGTACTATATATATATATATATAATTAACAGTTAACAAAGTAATAAAATAATAATTGTTAGTAAATTATCAAATAGTTTTATATTACTCTGTTTATACATAAGCACATAAAAATAATTTATTTTTCAAAAAAAACAATGTAAAACATTTATATATATATAATTTAATAACAATAACATTATTTACTTAGTAATTAATATAGAAATAAATAAATAATATATTTTTGAACACGATTTTTCTATTTAGTTTATGATATATGATAATATTAATTTTAATATACAATGTTTTGTATAATTATATATGTTTTTGTTGTTTTATTTAGTAGTAAAAATAGTTGTGTTTTATTTTTTATTTAATTTTTTGAAAAAAATTATAAATACCGATTTTTACATAATTATTAAATTTTCGTTTTAAACATGATTTTCAACAACAATAAAAATTATACAAAATTGTTTTCTAATAATTTTCTATAAAAAATTAATAATAATAAATATAAAATTTTTAAAAATCTAGATTTATTTTTTAATTATAAACTATTTAGATCATCATTATAAATAAAATTTTTTAAAAATATATAATAATTTTTAAAAATACAGTATAATAAACATTTTTAAGTTATATATTACATATTCATAACTGATTTTTATATAGTTAAAAATTTAACCAAGTTTATTTATTTTTTTTTTGGAAAAATAATATATTAATTTTAATTTATAAATAAAAATATTTAGATAAATTTATACATACCTTTTTGTTTGTTTGTTTATTTTAGTAAAATATGATTAAATTGTAGATATATTAGTGGAAAAAATTACACCAACAATAAAATATAACAATAAATAAAATACACAATTATTATTTTTTTTTAAATAATTTGTTATAACACACACAAAAATACTAACTAAAAGTTTTATTTATTTAATATATATAACCAACAAAAAAATTATACAAACGTTTTTTTAATATCACTGTTATTAATATAATATAATTATAACTGACTATTCATTTATTATATATAATAATAATATATCGATAACTAATTGAATCAATTGAATCCTCAAACTCTCTCTCTCTCTCTTTCACTATAAGTAATACTACTGTACTTTAAGCCCTTTAACAGCACTGCACAGTAATAGTACAGAAAAAGCGAACCAAAAGGGACAGTCAACAGCTTATACAGGCATTCAATCAATTTATATATAGTTTTGTGGTCTTTATTACACTGTATAAACTAGAGAATGAAAACTGACCTGATTTTTCAGGTCAGGTCAGGTCAGGTAAAAGTTAGGGCTCAGGTCAGGTCAGGTACGGGTCCGAACACCAAAATTTTTTGGTCAGGTCAGGTCAGGTCCGAAAATTTTTTATTCATTATTTAAACGACAATTATTACAAAATATGACAATCAAACACAAAATTTATTAAATTATTATTTATGAAATATTTGTATAAATTAAAGATAAAATATTACAAAAGATGATGGTTTTGATCTAATAAATAATAACATATTAACTTTATTAGAATCTAAGTTAGATCTACAATCAGTTATCGTTAATACCGAATAATTAAAGTTAATTTAGACAAATGTGTTGCGGGTATAGTATGAATAAAATTGTTTTTTGATAAAATTATTTTCGGACAGACATAGTCAGGTCAGGTCAGGTCCGGTAAATTTGTACCCTATGTTAGGTCAGGTCCGAGTCCGAGATTTTAGGTATCAGATCAGGTACGGGTCAGGTACGGGTCCGAAACTTTTCGCTCTCTAGTATAAACTTAGAGAGAGAGAGAGAGAGAGAGAGAGACTACATGAGCGACACCTAACTGTGCGTATGCTTTAATGGGCTATGTGTTTATTATACAGTACTCTGTATTTATATCAGACATATATAGAAATTTACAATTAGTAATAGGTGTCAGTAGTATTGTATATGTATAGTCATATTATGTGTTGTGCAGTGCAGTAGCGCAACACTGGGCTAACAGTGCATCCAATAGAGTATTATACAGTGTATGGGTAGTAAACCTGTTGAACAATTGGATAACTATACTGTTTGTTTGATAATACTTTACTCTAATTATGATTTTTTTTTTGACTTAATTTTATCAATAATAATAATAAAATACATTATATATATATATATAATATAATTATATATAATTTAATAATTGTTGTCTAAATTCTTACAATTATAATAGAGTATTAATGTATATAAAAATTTATAATATAATTTACATAAACTTTTTTTTACTGTATATATTTACTATTACAGTATATCTATTTTATTATAATCTAAGCTATATAAATATGATTTATAAAATATTAATAATTAATTAAATATAATATATATGTATATAAAATATACAGCCTGAAAAATTGAAAAAAATAAATTAATATACCAACAATAGAAAAAAATTACAAACACAGTATATATATTTATTTTGTATATATATTTATATTTATTAATATAATGACAATTATTATTATTATTATATTATGATATTAAACTTATAATATGATATTGCAATTGAACCACAAAAAAAATTATATGATAATAAAAATTATAAATAGTTTTGACTTTTAAAAAAAAATATATATATATTATTCAATATATAAATATTATATATATATATTCAAATTTGTAGCATAAAAGCTGTCTGCACTTTATGAAATTCATTGTTAAAAGTATCAAAACTATGGGTTTTATTAAGTGCCGCACTAGCTATACGTTGATTATTACGTTTATCGGCAATTTTATATAATAAATGATACAAATATTTAATATCTAAATCAACAGCTAACAGATAGGCCTTATCTAAGCTATCATTGCGTACTAAATGATAAAAATATCGTTTGGCTAACAAATGTATTTCATAGTTATATTGTTTCAATACGTTATCATCAATTGATACAATTGGCGATAAAAATGTAGCCAATGTTGTCTCCAATTGTGCTTCACGTTTACCATTAAACGGCTGTTTGATTAGATAATTGAATATATAGTTTAGGCAATAGTAGGCAATATCACTGTATCGGTTCCAGGGTATTGTCTGTAAGCTGGCAATTGCTTCATCTGATTTATCTGAATCTTTTAGATAGTAATTAGTTAGTCCTTTACTATCCATTAGTATTGGAAATCTAATTAATCGTATATTTGGTAAACTATTTTCATCTAGAAATACCATCGATAATAGTGAATGATTGATATATTTAATATAAGTTAAACTATGGATATTATTATCATTAATTGTTTGCTGATGATGATGTTGATTATCATAATTGATGGCAATTGTATTAAAGGCATAGTCATAGACAGATATTTTTCCTAATTGATCGGTAACTGTAAATATGGCATCCAATGGATTCAATGTATAATCAAATGATTTCTGGGATGAATGCATTGAATAGAGAGCATTGTGTTGTATATTGAAAACAGCTATCGACTCGTCATCCAAAAGCATCACTACCTTATCTAATGCTTGGGTTAGTTGAGCTTTTAGGCAACATTTCAATAGTGGTATACGTATTGAATAGATTTGCTGAAGACATTCAATCGATTCATTTATTTCGTATAGACTGTAATTGACAACTGTTTGGCTATGAGATGATTGCTGTAGAAGTATCACTTGATTTTCATCCATTGTCGACAACAATATCTAATTATAGAGAGAAAGAGAGAGAGAGAGAGATAAAAAAATACACAAACAATACATTAATTTTTTTATATCTATTATAAGTTACATATATGTCACTTATATGGCTATATATATATATTAATATATAATATTATGTATATTATTTGATATATTAAAATATCACAATATATATAAATACAGTATATATCAAATGTCAATTAAAATATAACTATTTACTATAACTTATATATCATAATAATACTGTTTATATGTTAAATATCATTCAAATATATACAATACTTAATATTTTCTATATATTATTGAATATACGATAGAAAATTAATATATGATAATATATTGTATTTATTTCATAAAATACAATAAATTATCATTTAGTGTAATTGTTTTCGATCAATTATAAAAATTAAATAAGTTCACATAATTATATAAATAAATAAATTATTTATCATAATTTTAATTTAACTCTTTATCTAAATATAATTTAATACTTTGTGGTCAATAATATATAGAAAATATTAAGTATTATATATATATTTGAATGATATTTAACATATAAACAGTATTATGATATATAAGTTATATATATATATATTAATTATAAATTTAGTTAAAATTTTCATTTAAACAAAAAATAATTAAATACCTGAAATATATGACCAGAAATATAAGCATAGGATATGTAATTAAGTTTACGGGTAGTAGTTGTATCCAATGATACACTATAGACGAGTACGTTAGCCAATTGGCGGGTATTGGCTCTGGGTGCCGACCATGGACCAACACAATTGATGGCCGATTGCCACCAAACAATTAACTGATGGCCACTTTGGCTGACTATTAGATTACGGTCGACACGCCGACTGTTGGCACCACCATTACTACTACCACCACCAACGCCACACTCGAGATCAATGGTCGATATCTCAGTGTTTTTGTTGGTTAGTCTAAACTTTGTTGTTGTTGTCGCTGTCGCGGTCTTCATCTTCATCTTCGACTTTTGCTTTGACTTCTTGGTCTTATCGTTGCCGCCACGGCTACCGCTACCGATGCCGCCGCCGCCGCCAACCGATGATCTATTAATAGCTACTAATGTCAACTTGGATTGTGTATACGATATAACCATATAATTTTCATTTAAAATTATATTAACCATATGGTTATCGCTAGTTAATAATAATAATTTATTTGTTAAATATTTATCGATTACTATATTGATTATACAATAGGATTGCTGATCAAAATAGATGGTCCCAATGATGCCATTGCTGAAGACAATTACCAGACAATTATTATTATCAAACCATTCAATAGTTATTAAACGCCAATTGATCATCAATTGTTGTAATTGTTTTAATTTATTAGAAATTTTTTGTTTTTTCTTTTCATCAATTTTTTTACTACAACTAATATTTAGATAATTGTTGTCCAAAATATTTAATACTTTTAATTTTAATAACATTTTTGTTGTTGTTGTTAATTATAACAATTTTAACTTTATATATACTTATAATTATTTAATTAAATATACACAAATAAAATTTTTATTATTAATATTATCAATAATATTATTATTATATATAAATAAATTTTTATATATATTTATCGTAATATCACATATTTTAGAAATTATTAATTTTTTTATTAACACAATTTATATATATATTTATATATATTCAATATATCGCAAAATTAATAAACGAAATGCGTTAGCAATAAATCAAAAAACTTTTTTTTTGATGATAACAGATATATATGTTTTTTATTGATTTGATAAAAATTTTTATGTATTAAACTTATTTAATAATATATATATATATATTTGAAAATTCAGTATTTATTATTGTATTAAATTGTATTAAATAATTGTGAGTTCAACAACAACATGAAAAAAATGTTGACAATAATATACTGTCAAATATTTAAAAAAAAACAAAATTACATGAATACCTGTACTTTATTTATTTATTTTTTAAGTATCCATAATATGTTTTTACTAATCTCTTATTATGTGAAATGTCTGGTATTTTAATAATAATAATAACAACAAATGTGATGATATATACAGAAAGAAAGAAAGAGAGAGAGAGAGAGAGAGAGAGAGAGAGAGAGAGAGAGAGAGAGAGAGAGAGTAAACCAGTTTTTGGTTATAAAAATAGCTCTCTTTTGTCGACTAAAGTCAATGTTTAGATGAGAAGCCCTTCACCTTTAAAATCATTTTATATATAAAAAAAAATTAAATTCAAGTTTTTTTTAAAAGTTTATATAATATTTTAATAAAACATTGAACAATAAAAATTAGGGTTTAATTTAAACAAATTAATAATTACATAATTAACAACAATTAACAACAACAACAAAAATCGTCAAACAATTACTTAAATATAAAACTTTTATATATTTAATATATATTTAATAATTAATTATAGCTTTATTAGATTATTATAATTAATTGATTGTAAATGAATTTTATGTAGATTTTAATTAATTAAATATTTTCTAAGTATATCATGATATATGATAGTACTAGCGATAAAAAATAAAAATTTAAAAACAATTTTATTAAAACATTTATAGTTAGTTATAAATTATAACTTATATTAATATTAGATTTTTAAAGAAAAAAAACTTTTTGAAACATTATCTACCAATTGTAGTAAAAACATTGGAAAATAACTAGTAGTCAATAATAATAATAATTTGATAACATTTTTATAAATAAAATAAATTACACATACATTATAATAATATAAAAATAAATATTTATAAATATATTTAGTATATCATATATATATTTAAATGATAATCTGGGGATTTTAAAAAGCTATTTTAAAATACTAAATACTATAACATATATAAATTGCAAATATTTAATAATAATATAAACATAATTTTTTTTTATAATTATAATATAAATAAAATATTAACCATAAATATTAAAACATAGAAAAATTATTTGCTATTAAAATAATAAAAATAGTATAAATATAAATTTTTTCCAATAAAGAAAAAATTATAAAAAAAAACAAAAACATAAAATTTTTTAATAACTATTAAATCCATATAATTATCAAAAAAATTATTATTATTAAAAAATTTTAAGCATGCTAATTTTGTGACTATAGCTAACTTTTAAATTGACTGGTGGGGGGGGGGTGGGGTACGCCACCTAATGTTATCTATAGGCAACATTATAGCCACATATTTAACACAAAAAAAAAATCATTGTCACTATATACAGATAGGGAGGTTAGTTGAGAGTGGGCGGGTAAGTGGGTGTCCATACCTAAAGTTTAATATACTATATATACAGTATATTAATTGTATTGTTTTTTTTTTTAGAGGGTCTCTACTGTGGTATTCAATCAAACAATGCTTTTTTGTTGATTTAAATGCTTTATCATCATTGATATAGGATTGCCGTCATTGATGTTAAATAATGTATTAATAAATAACTGGTATTTTACTACACTATTACTAGGGGTATAGAAAGAGAGAGAGAGAGAGAGAGAAAACACATTTTCCAATGTATTTCCAATACAACTATATATATATATATAATGTATTTATATATATATACTGTATATTAAACGTTGTTTTTAAAATGCGAAGTCATTTTGTTGTATTACAATCTCAACACACAAATGAAATGTATGTATCATTCAATTGAATGAATGAATGGTTTTTTATATTAATATTAATATTATAAATGGATTGAAAACATTGAAACACACAATAGTTTTAGTAGTTTTTTTTAATTGCAATTTAAATAGCAATCAATTGAATTGAATTCAATAGTTGTTAATTGAAAATAAGATAATAAATAATACAAAAAAATCAATCACTCGTGAGGTGTGTATGTGTGGACACATCATATCTTAACGACGACTACTATCAGCACATTTTGATGACAACAACAACCGACTGGTTATTGAAGAACAAGTAGAAGAAGAAGAAAAGCCATGATTTCATTGTATGTATTTTATGATATCAATTGATGTGACAATATGGATGATAACTGATCCCCAATGTCTTGAATTATTATTCAAACAGATTATCGTTGTTGTCATCATAATCATTAAAAAAAAAGTCGTTTAACAAATCGTCAGTCACGACGACCACGACAACAACCGACATGAAGATCGACAGAAGCAAATCAAAGAAGAGTTCGTCCGAAGTGGTAATGATTAGTATTGTTATTGTTGTTGTCGTCAATCAATTGATTCATTTAATTAATTAATTCATTAATTGTTTTTCAAAGCCGGCCGACTGTAAGGCACTCATCGATAGGCTGAAGGCGTGTACAGAAACCGAGTTATTGGTCGAACTGAAGAATATTAAGTCATGGAATTGTGGAAAAGTAATGATATCTTATAAGCAATGGTTGTCTTTTAATCGGTTATATATTATCTTATTTTTTTTTTGTCACTTTTAGTGTGAACTCTACCATTGGATTGATGTACTCGACATCTTTGACTCGATACTCGAGTCGTGTTGTTTTCGTCAAAACGAAAGCCAATGGTCACTGCCGGTCGATGAGGCCAACAATGAAACTGTAAATATCAATTCAATAGTCAATATAACCCATTGAACTGATGATAATTATCTTTCAATTTGTTTGTTTTTTCATCTACTAGAAGAAAGAGCTCCTAATGAACATAATTATGTTTACGGCTCTACTAATTGAACACTCATTTTCGAGACATCTGTACAATTCAATGGAGGTTTGTTTGATTGTTTGGATGACTAAATGGACTAAAATTTTTGATTTGTTTTAATACCAATTGGATCAATTGATTTTTTTGTTGTTGATGTATTGTTTGTTTGTTTTTTGAAATTTTTAAAAATAGCATTTAATAACACTATTGTCATCGCGAGACATGCAAATAGTCTTAGCCGTATTAAATCTACTCTATGTCTTCAGCAAGAGATCTAATTTTATATCACGAATAAGTACCGAAAAACGACAGGCATTACTCATACGATTGACATATCTGGCAGAGGTTTGTCTTATTTTTTGTTTGTTTGTTATTGTCTATTGTCTATCACTTAACTGATCACTTTTTTTCGGCGGCACTATAAGAGTTAGTTGATTAATGAAATTAAAACCATTAATTCAATTGTTTAAAACAGTGCCGTAAATTAGTAGTTGTCTATAGAGTTTGGCACAGATGTAGAGATCATTTGAATGTCTTTATTTCCGACTGAAACTTACTCTAACATATGATTTGTTTGTTTTTTTTAAATATACCAGAATTGGGGCGGAAAAGAAAACGGTTTCGGTTTAGCCGAATGCTGTCAAAACCTACCGATGTCTGCATTTCCATCCAGTGCTACGACACTTCATTTTGAATACTTTAGTGATTCGGATCCGACAAATACGAAGAAAAATACTTCATCATTGAATGTCATTCATATTGATAGTATCGATCAATTGGACAAAACATTGGCACAGATTATGGAAGAGATGGACGACTCGTATAAGATTCCTGTCGACAAACAGATGCTATTGTTTACACATCTAAGACTAGCGAAAAGTTTTTCAAATTATAAGCAACGTCTTCAGTGCGTTCAGGCGAGACTACAGGCCTTATCCATAATTGGTATGTTATTGTTGTTGTTGTTGTTCACCTGATTTGATCCATTATTTATTTTTTTGATGATATTTTCATATTTGTATATATTTTTTTCTGTATATAGTTTACTGTCAAGCGATGTCATTACAAGACAATGCGGCATCACTTCTCTATAATGGACTAATTGAAGAATTAGTAGACGTATTGGAATTAAAAGACAACAATTTAATTGTATTTTTTTTTTAATTATATTATATTAATTGTTTAATTATAGTTTTTTTAACTCAATAATTAAATTTATATTTTGTTTGTGAATCTATTAGGAGATAAAAGCCGCCTCTTTAAGGACGTTAACATCTATTATACATTTAGATAGAAATTCAAAGTTTGTATAGATTTTATTGTTGTTGAGTTTATTAGTAAATTTTGAATAATAATTGATTCAAATTATTGTCCCAACAATTATAGATTAAATACGATTATTGACGTAACGGGAGCCGCCTCTTATCACGGCTTTTTGCCGGCACTGGTACGCAGTTGTATTCAGGCGCTCATCGATGGTAACACCGATCTATTTCCACTGCCATTTGCAACGGCATTATTTTCATTTCTATATCATTTGGCCAGTTATGAAAACGGTATGTGTATATAAGCACTGGTGGTTTGAATCGGGTTGTCATTAAAAAAATTTATTGTATTTTTAGGAGGCGAAGCTTTAGTCCAGTGCGGAATGATGGAGTCATTGCTTAAAGTGATCAACTGGAAGGGTACCGAATCGGAACACATTACGGTAATTATTTGTTACCATAATTACCGATAGAAAGAGAGAGAGAGAGAGAAACGAAAAAAAATGTTTACCGATTTGTTTTTTTTATCTAAAATTGTTTGACTTCTATAATAACGGGTTTTTTTGTTGTGTTTATTATTTACCGATAGTTCGTGACTCGAGCCGTCAGAGTTATAGATCTCATAACAAACCTCGATATGACTGCCTTTCAGTCTCATTCTGGTCTCAATGCGTTTGTTCAACGATTGGAGGTTTGGATTAAAAAATTTTTTTAGTTAAATTATCGGTAAAATAAATATCTATTTATTTATTTATTAATTTTCAGTACGAGGTTGACATTTGCCGAATTGAACAACCGTTTGTCATTGAAGTGGCCGCCACTAGACGCGAATCAACCGAAGCCCTACTAAATGAATCGCTAATGTCCACCAATTGCGGTGATATACCCATGGAAGTCGATTCGACTGGTGCTGGTGGTGGTAGTAGTAGTAGTCATAATGTCGATGATATTAGCGGTAATCCAAGTACTTCTGGAACGACATCAATAGTAATAGATCAGCCCATCAAAGATATACAATGTTATCCACAAAGAGCGGCATTACTGAAATCGATGCTCAACTTTTTGAAGAAAGCCATTCAGGATCCGGCATTTGCTGATACTATACGACACTGTAATTACTTAATTAATTAGTAAATTGTTTGAAAAATATTTACCGATAATTAATTTCGTTATTTATTTCATTATTAGTAATGTACGGCAATCTTCCGCGATCTTTGCGACACATCATCAGTAACGCCGAATACTACGGTCCGTCGCTATTCCTTTTAGCCACCGATGTCGTCACTGTCTATGTCTTTCAAGAACCATCACTGCTGTCATCGCTTCAGGAGAACGGTCTAACCGATGTAGTCCTACACGCATTACTTGTCAAAGAAGTTCCCGCGACTCGCGAAGTGTTGGCCTCTTTACCGAACGTATTCAGTGCCCTATGTCTGAACAGTCGCGGTCTCGAGGCGTTTGTCGCCTGCAAGCCATTCGAGCGTCTATTCAAAGTGCTTCTGTCGGCCGATTATTTGCCAGCAATGCGTCGCCGCAGAAGTAGTGATCCAATGGGTGATACCGCTTCAAACTTAGGCAATGCTATGGACGAACTGATGAGACATCAGCCAAGTCTGAGGACAGATGCAACGTCTGCTATAATCAAAGTATTGTTTGTCTGATATATTTAATGTTATAATTTGTATTTAATTATTGTATTGATTCAAAAAAAATTAGTTACTCGAAGAGCTCTGCCTATTGGGAACTGATCCCAATTATGTCTGCTCTAAGCCGACAGCAAAATCAAACGATACGAACGGCAGTGGCGTCGGCGGCGCCAACAACAACGATGTCGTACGTAATAATAACACACCAGTCGGTAACGAAGTCGGTTCTTCAGATGAAGAAGAAGAGGAAGACGACGACGCGACCAATGCTGCCACTGCTTTGACATTGAAAACCAATGGCAACGGCGGCACTAGTAGTGACGCCAAAACGCCAGTTCCACTCGTTGACTATATATTGAATGTGGTTAGTAGTAGTAGTAGTAGTAATGTTTGAATTTTAATTGAAAATTATTTAATTGTTAATTGCTTTTGAATTTAATTATTGTTTTCAATTGTTCTCAATCTTCAGATGCGTTTTGTTGACGCCATTCTAAGCAATAATTCAACTGACGATCATTGCCGGGAATTTGTCAAACAAAACGGATTGACACCGTTGCTGAATATTCTTCAATTACCTAATCTTCCCATTGATTTTTCAATGTCACCGGCCTGTCTATCGGTGGCCAGTGTTTGCAAATCCATATTGAATTTGGCACACGAACGACAAGTACTAACCCTTGGCTTAAACGCACTCAATCAAGTGCTCGAAAAGTTAGATCTACTACATCGGCCACTCGATCCACCCGGCGGTAGTGTACTACTAGAAGAACTGGTTCTGGCTTCGGGTAACATCAATAGCGATCCTTTTCAGACATCATCGCTAACACCGCTATTGCACGCCATGTCGGCCGCCCACGCCTACATACTGATGTTTGTGCACGTATGCCGTACCGGCCAAAGTGATATACGTAATCTATCGATTACCCACTGGGGCTCCAAACTGGGCCTAACTGTCCTCCAAGGACTCAGCCGACTCTACACGTCACTCGTTTGGGAAAGTACTGTACTGTTGGCTCTCTGTTCCGAATCTTCGGCCAATGCTAACTGGCAGTTTGGTCGACACCAACTGGAACGGCTTACCAGTGCTCTGAATCTGAACGATACAGATGTTATTGTTGCCGTCGAAATCAGTGATACGGATGCGAATGGCGGCGCCGGTGCTGCCCTTTCATCGGCCACCACTTCGACCGCTACTAACATGGAAGTCGACGATACCAATGACATGACGCCCACCACCGCCTCCTCGGCTGCCGCTGCCGAAGCAATTAAGAAAAATAAGACTAAGAGTCCGAACAGTAGTAGTAGTACTCAATCATCAAAAATGACAGCTCAACAAAAACAGATTAAACCATTGTTGACCAGTGCCTCGCGACTTGGCCGGGCATTGGCCGAACTATTTGGCCTTCTCGTCAAAGTATGTTATTTATAGATAGTTTTTTTTGAGAGGTAAAAGTGTTTGTATTTAAATTATATCATTTTTGTTGTTGTTGTCGTGGATAGCTATGTGTTGGATCTCCTATAAGACATCGTCGTAGTCATCATAACGTTCAAAATCAGCCGTCAGTGCCTTCGGTTTCGGCCCGCAATGTCGCTAAATCGTTAACAAAACTTCTTGCTAGTGGTCTTTCATGGCAACCTCCCTCAACGTCACCTATTCCAAAGTTTAGGTGAGTTTTTTTAGTGGTGGGTGTGTGTAGGAGGGGGGGTTGGGTGGTAAAATTACCCCCATATATTTTTGGCATTAGGTATCTCCCCAATTACAAACCTAATTGTTTTGGTGGTCGTAATCAATGCCTATAATAAATAGCATTCATAGCATCGTTGCTTAAGTTTTTTAATATTTTAATTGAAACTTAAGCTGGAATTCGTATAATGCGATAATTTTTTTTTAATTATAATTAATTTAATTAATTATATATATATATATTACTTATAAATTTAATTATTAATTAATTTTTTATTATTTTAATCAATTAATTAGATTAACATTTTATATATGTTCGGTTGGTTTTACGTCTCCCATGTTGTTTGACGATCGAAAACATCCCTATCATCTGATGCTCCAGAAGTTTGTTATGTGTGGCGGTCAGGACGCCTTTTTTAAGTAATTATTAACAAACAATTGAACGGGTAATTAATTACCGGCTATTAATAATAATTATATATATTTATTTTAGTACATTTAAATGGGCCATCACCCAAGACGGTCTAGTGCCTCCGGTCCAGGGTCTCGAGCACCCGGACCTACCGGAAGGTGCCGGCGAGTTTCTCGACTCGTGGCTAATGCTATTGGAAAAGATGGTCAATCCGCGTATGGTATTGGAATCTCCCCATACAATGCCGGCCACCAAAACGCCACAGTCGGGCGATTTTGAACCGTTCAATGCCGTTCAGTATCTTATACGAACCCATCGGGTTAGTAGTAGTAATAGTAGTACCGGTAGCTAATGCCGGATATTTATATGGTAGGGTTAGCTATAATATTAAAACTTTTTTTTATTATCATTTGTTACGATATTTCTAGCGGGCCTTTGAATGTATATGTCATCTATGGGACAAAAAGCCGCTGAAAGTACACGGCGAACGAATGTCCGAATCGATTCTAGCAATTCTGTGTCATATTCTTAAAGGAGAGGCTATTATTCAAGAAAAATTGGCCAAAGAAAAGGAGACGACAACGACATCATCATCGACTACGACACCTACTGTTACCACTACTACCACCAGCAGTGCTAATAATGCTACCACTACTAGTTCAACCAATACGACAACAACTACCAGTGCTAATGCAGCCGCAGCGGCTGCTGCGGCCGCCGCTGCCAATCCTGTAGCTGCAGCAGCAGCAGCTCCTAATCTGGCACCTGTTGGTACCGGTGCCCCCAATCGCCCGACAGGTCGTATCAATGAAATCGACGATCAGGGTATTAATTCCGAAAATCTTCAACAACTGGTCGATATGGGTTTCGCCCGGGAATTGGCAATCGATGCACTGATGCAAACCAATAGTCTGGAACAGGCAACCGATTATCTGCTCAGTCATCCGGGACCGCTTAGATCGACACCGGTATGTAATTTTTTCACCCAATTGTGTAATTTCCCCACTACTCTACACATATCAGAGGCCAATTATCTGCCATTAATTATCCATACGATAGTTGAGATCCAAAAATGTGTAAAATTATATAAAGATATTGAGAATCAATTAATTGAATTTTTTTGTTTAATCGATTGTTAAAATTTATCACACATTTAATCTATAAAAAAATAAATAATTATTTTTAAAGGGATTGCCAACTGACTGGGATATGTCCGAAGAGGATCAGATGATGAGAGCCATTGCCATGTCGTTGGGCGAAAACATTACCGTCAACGACGAAGAAGGTGACACTGCAACGACTAGCGGCGACCAGTCCGTCGAAATCAAATTGGTTAACGAAGAACCGATAAACAAAGAACTACTGGATTCGTTTACCGGTGATATACTATCCGGTTGTCTACGATTGTTGGATACACTGCCCGATACTGTTTACCGAATATGCGATCTGTTACTGGCTGTTGCCCAACGCAACGGTGATAAATGGTGTTCGCAAATGATATCGCATTTGTTGAGCGAAATCAGTCTGAATGTAACGAAACTAATCGAAAGTACCGGTTATATGCGCGACGCCGATAAACGATCGGTTACCGAATGGGCCTCACAAGTGGCTCAGATACCCGAAGCGTCGAAAGCGGCCGCACGGATCCATTTGTTTACCCTGTTATTTGAAGAACTACGACATCAATGTGCGTTCAACTTTTCCAAAGCCAATATCATCGACGATATGGTAATACTACTCGAAAAGGCTCACCATTTGATGAGTCTGGTGGCCAACAATAACAAAAACAATGTGATAACACCTAAATGGTTGGCACCGTTGATACTGTTAATTGATTTGTATGATAAAGCGGCCATTGCCTCGTCCCGGAGGACACCCTTATTGAAGGCTACGAAACGATTGTGGAAATGGTTTGACGACCGTACTGGTCGCTGGTCAGCCTATGTAGCCGCAAATAACAAAGCTATTGACGAAGCCTATAAAAATGGCGAACAAGTTATCCGATTTTCGGCCGGTCGTCGTCGATATACTGTTCAATTGTCGACAATGGTTCAGATTAACGAAGAAACTGGCAATTGGCGACCGATTATGTTTGTTGTGGACGAGTCAGCTAAACAATCAAATGATGATAATAACAGTAGTGACCTCACAAAAAGTGGTGGCCAACAATCGGATACCGAAAAACTGACACCAGTTATCGAATCCAGACACTGTCAGTCGTTGATTACGACTTTGGTCGGCTTTATCAACATACCTGTCGAAGCCGATACTTTGCACGCCGTTATGCGACTGTGTCTTCGTCTAACACGTAATAACGAAACTGCGGCCTTGTTTGCCGAACAGGGAGGCGTTCGGGCTGTCCTACAGTTGACTCAGGCGTCGGCTTTCACCGGTTTTACATCACTGGCCACACTCATAATCAGACACGTACTCGAAGACCCCTATACTTTACGACAGACAATGGAAAAAGTGATTCGTATGCAAACACATCATTCGCCGCTCGCTTGCCGTGAAATGCATTACATTATGCGTGTGTTGGGTCCGGCCGCCTGTCGTGACGACAAACTGTTCATCGAAATGGCCAAATCTGTACTGCGAATCAATCTGATACCACTGACCAAACGTGAAGAAGAAGATCCCCGAGCATTGAACTCTAATTCGACACAATTTCTCAAAGTATTACCGGGAAAACTGTCAGTTAACGAACAGATGAATACCAGCACTTCATCCTCAGTCACCAACACATCAAACATTAGTCGCGAAGTTATATGCGATCTATTGAATGCACTGACCGTAAAATCGGCCAACAATTCAGCCGACAACGAAACAGCGGTTGTTAACACTCAAATAAACAGTGCCGTCAGTACCACTGTCAGCCAGATTATCAATCGTGACGCCAGTGCCGATATGATACAAGCCGACGATACGGACGAAATATCCAACGATAACGATGTCGCCTCGTCCACTACGACCACTCCGCCAGCGGAACAACAGTTGAAAACTGCTACAGTTCTCAATGTTCTGACTGCCGATGAAGAGGCTAACAATAAGAAAAGTCGTATACTGTTGACACAGTCGCTGATATTGAGACTATTAGCCGAATTGACCCGATCTTACAATATTGTTGCCAAAGCTATCTGCGATCACATCTATACAAGTGGTTTGTATTTTCATCCGAAGTTTATTGTTGTTTGAATTGATTGTTAATTTATTGATTGATTAATTGTTTTTCTACTTCTTTTGTTTTTAAGGTCAATCAGAGCTCATAACCGAAGAATGCACTGCACTGTCGTTCATATTGGATCATCTGTTACCGCCGACACAGACAATCGGCGATCGCGATTGTTCCGCACTATCACGTGTACTATTTGCTGCCCTGGCATCGGCCACTCATACACCCGAAGTTCAGCAAAGTTTAGTCAACGAAGTCAAGTCGGCACTACATCGGACTCTTATTCTGAACGAATCCAACGAAAAACACGCTAAGATTCAGGCGCTGACTTCGCTGATCAGTACAATGATCGAGTCGTGTCCGGCACCGACAACTGCTTCGTCGTCATCGTCGCAACAGAATATCCAGAATTCGTTGCGCAGTCAGACCAGTCTGATGAACGGTATCGTCAAAAATCTATTACGCCGCGGACTGGTTACCGATTTGGCCCGCGTTACCCATTCACTGGACTTGTCATCACCGAATATGGCCCAAACAGTGAATGCAACTCTGAAACCGTTGGAAACACTGTCACGGATTGTCAACATTCCGCCACAAATTGCACTGAAAAGCGGTGGCAAATCTATGTTCAAATCAGAACAAAACAATACAAACGCTGAGGCCATGGAAGAAGATGTTGTTGTGGCCACCAATCTGAACAATTCACAAACGGCTACATTTTCCACACAGACATTATCGTCGGAAGTCAATCATCAACCGAACAACAATGAAACTACTGGTGTACTACTACCGAACGGTAACTCGTTTGCCGATAATCAAAATGAATCGAATAATGTCGGCGACGATATTGGCGGCAATTTTGTGGCCACCGAAGTGGCTGAAGTCGACGATACTGTCGAACAGGAACAAGAAGCCTATGTTCTGGACAGTCTTTGCGAATTTAATGATTCAGTTCATCCGCGTAGCGGAACCTTTACTTCGGACGGTATTCGTACGGATGACGATGAAGAAGATCAACATAACGACGATATTGAACACGAAGACAATGCCGAACACCACTCCGAACATCACGACAATGTAATCAATTCGAATGGTGCCGAAAGCGAAAGTGGAGACGACTCGCAAAGTGATGACGACGACGATGATGAAGATGGCAGCGCTGCCGATGAAGAACGTGACGACGATGATGATGACGATGACGACGAAGATGATGAACACATTGATGACGACGACGACGATGAAGATCCCGAGGAAGATGATGAAGTATCGGCTTATGTCGAACCCGACGATATTGGCGAACATGTATTCCGTTATCACGATCGAGACGATGGTCTGGTGTTTGATTTGGAAGAAATGTTTCCGGCTTCGGTACTACACGTTGGCGATCGTCTATCGACACTTCTGCCGATCATTGGTGACGAACAAACCAATGGAACCGATGCAACACAGCCAACAGTACCGCCGGCACCGGGAAACGTATCCATATCTCATCCGCTTCTTGTCCGCCACGGCGACAATGCCGGGGCTTCCGTACTGTCTCACAGCGCCAATACCAATGCCGGCACTGCCGGAATACTGACCAACCGATCGCATAGAGCCAATCGTCAGCGAATCTATAGACCATCGTTGGGTACCAGTGCTGCCAATCATCATAGTTGGCATTTGCCTACCACCAGACATCCGAATCCGCCAGCAATACTCCAACGTCTGTTGGGTCCAAATACGGCTCAAGATATACTACAGTTGACCAGTTCGTCGGGTTTGGGTGCCGGTTCGACATCGGCTCAAGTAATCCTAACGAGCAATGATCTGCATATATTGGCCACCGATGACGAACTGTTTGAATTGCAAAATCCTAATTCATTTGTTTCGGGAAATTCGAGTTCGACATTAGGCTCTGTGCCGTCGGCAATGCTCCGGTGGACAGAAGAATCGCGTGTCTTAGACGGCGATTCATTGCATGATTGTGTTTCGTTGATTAAGAAAGAAATCATCGACTGTCTGGAGAAACATCGCGACGACGAACTCAATGATAGAAGAGAAAAGAAGAAGAAAGAAGACGAAGAAAAACGATTAGCCGAAGAAAAGTCCAAATCAAATGAATCGGTGAAACCTGATAGCGAACAGGTAAACATGAGTACCGAGAAGTTGGCCGCTTCGCTGGTCGAACAAGTACTCGGACCGGCTTACCAGAGTTCGTCTGCCGCCGCCGCCAATAACCGAACGGCTGGTCTGGCCGACGACGATGTTGCCGAAGTTTCGCCAGCCGTTTCAATGGAAGTAACCGAAACTGCGTCGACAAACGGAGACTTTAGTAGCATTCAAAATGACAACGAAGTTACCGAAATGGTGTGCACTGAAACTCAAGTAATACCCGATATGCCTGAGATGAACGCTTTTGACCAACGAATCCAAATGGTTATCAACGACCGAATCGAAATGGATATCAATAACGATAATGATGTCGATGACGACGACGATGATGTCGACGATGGTGTTGATGATGATGATGACGACGAAACAAATCAATCGTCACTTAGTGAACAACAACATCAGCAGCCAATTATGCCATCACTGAATCCATTATTGCAACCAATTGATACACAACAACAACACACTAATACGACTAACCCACCCGATAGACCGCCGCCGCCTGTCCACTACGAACAGGACAGCGATGTCGGCAATGCTATTACACCTGAAGATCTATCAACGATGACCAATACAAGTAGCGAAGGTTTGAACAACAATATGGTAGCCATCGGCGATGAGAGCCAAACACATACTACATCGACTACTTCTATCGAATCGATTGTACCATCGCTGACACCGACTATAATAGCACCGACGCAGCCGCCACCCCAACAAATCCAGACTATTGGCGAAGCACTACTTGCCCAACAACTACAACAACCTGTTGACGATCTATTGAGTGCAACAATTAATGCGCCAAACAATATAAATACAGGTAATTGATTGTGTAATTTAAAATTACATAACCGTAAATGTATCGGTAATTGATTTTTTATTTTTGTCTCGCCTCCCCCACCCCCCAGAACCAGATATTCCCGAAGGTGTTGATCCATCATTTTTGGCAGCTTTGCCCGAAAATATTCGCCAAGAAGTTATTGCCGAACATTTGCGTCTCCAGCGTCTGCAACAACAGCGGACCACTGCCGCCAACATTACAACCACTCAGGCCTCGAGCAGTGCCCAGAGTAGCAACACATTTACCGAAGTTAATCCCGAATTTTTAGCCGCTTTGCCGCCCAATATACAGGAAGAGGTGTTGGCCCAGCAGCGGGCCGAACAACAGCGTATTGCTCAACAAACGGCCAATCCGGACACACCGGTAGACGCCGGTAGTTTTATTGGTACATTGCCGCCGAGTTTGCGGCGCCAAGTTTTGGCCGATATGGACGACAGTCAACTGGCACTGTTGCCGCCCGATGTGGCCACCGAAGCTCAAGCACTGCGCCAGGAGTTGGAGGCCAGACACAGGCAAATGCAGGAGCGCTTCTTCTCGAGTCACGCCGGAACTGCTTTGTCTCGTATTCTTCGTACAGCAGGTAACGACATTTAATAACAATAATTACCGATATTTTTAAAAAAATATACCGTAATTACCCGATAAAACTAATGAACTTGATTTTTGGTTAGCTACAGGTCGAATGGGTGGTACCCGATATACTATACATACAGTACCGCCTGGCCAGTGGCCATGGAATATTGGCCGATCGGGTGCCGGCGGTAGTAATCTGAATGCCAGTTCCAGTGTTAACGCTCATCGGCCGACATTTACAAGCAGTCGTTTCAAAGGCCGACAATTGCTCGATAACGAAGCCCTATCCTGTCTGCTGATCCTATTGTTTGTCGAAGAACCCAAACTCAATACCATTCGTCTGCATCGTGTTCTACGTAATCTATGCTATCATATACCCACTCGACAGTGGGTCATACATTCGCTGTTGGCCATTATGGAGAAGACAAAAGAGCTCAAAGAGCTGACCAGCGAATCGACTCGTCCGCGCAAAGGAAGTAATGCCAGTTCGTCGACACAGAACCATAAGTATGGGATCAAATAAGTCTTTGATGTTTTTTATTGATTGATTGATTGATTACTAAACTAAACGGCCCAATGATTAGAAGCAAACACTGAGAGAGGGGTTCTGTAGGAGAACAGTGTTGGTGTTGTTTGTTAGAGTCGTTGTTTTTTTTCATCGAAAAACTTCGACTTTAATTAATAATATCCAATAGTTTTCTGAGAGAACTTATGGCTCTTCTGGATGTAGATTATGAGAGATGAGGGCCATTAAGAATCTATAGTTGAAACTAAATCTATTGGATCTGATAATTGATTTCTAATTTTTAATTTTATCTATTTGTTTGTTTGTTTGTTTAACATCACACCAGAAGTGCCATTCATTCGAACTCTTCGTGGCTGTCCATCAGCTTAGACGCCGCACTCGGCTGTCGAACAAACGTATTTCAAGTCCAGAGAACCGGCGGTTCGTCGTCGGCCTCGTCGTCGTCGTCATCCAGCGCTAAAAAGAGTGGCAGTTCTTGCGGCCCAAGTGTAAGCACTATTACCATTCATCCGCAGGCAGCGCCGTTGGTCTGCCGGCACGTATTGGACACACTGATAGCTTTGGCCAAATCGTTTCCCAATCATTTTCTGCCCGACGCTCATCAAATGTCTGCCGGCGTCGTCACTGCCAAGACTGACGACTCCTCTGCTGCTTCTGCTGCTGCTGTTCCGACTACTCCTTCCTCGTCTTCTTCTTCATCATCAAAAGGTGTTACCGATTTCTGGGACGTATTGGTTAAACTGGATTCCAGTAGTAATAGTCGTAAAGGAAAGAGTGTATTGAAAAGTCAAAGTATGTGTATGTATATTATGGTAATCATAATAATAATAATAATTAATTAATTATTTGCTTATTATAGGTATGTCCGGTCTAAACACATCCCAGACCACCGATCCGGACGCGAGCCAATGCAATGTCGAACCGTCTCCAATGTCTAACATAATCTGTTTGCTATCGCATTCGGTAATCAAACGAAGTTCAATGCTTACCGATCGGTTGTTGCGTCTGTTGGCACTAATATCGTTGGCATTGCCGGCAAATGAAACTACTTTACGCCAATCGCAGCCATTGATACCATCTACCTCTACATCAACAGCTGCTGCTTCAGCACCAGTAGTAGTGACCACAGCTAACACTGAGATGACAGTTGATTCGAGAGTCGCCGCCAATGCCGCTGCCGATACTAACGAACTGTCCAACGATACGAATAGCGATAATGTATTAAACGATAAAAAGAGCAACATTTCTATCGGCGACACATCTTCGTCCACGTCATCACTGGAAACGAAAATCGAAAAGATTATAGCGTCTGAAGAACAACTCAAACTGGCCGTCGATGTACTGACATCTAAGTCGTGTTCGGAAGAAGGCCTCGAAGATGCCACTGCTCTACTGTTGCGACTGTCGCGCAGCTGCGGTACCACTCGGGGTGCAGTACTTCGCCTATTACTTCGTGGCGCACAAGAACTGGGTTCAGTTGTCTGCCAACACATCGACAGTCTAGTACAAGAACTGAAGGCACTGAATGCCAACATTTCCGAATCGATTGCCAACGACCCGGACAGTCAGAGTCCCGAAAAGATGGGCAAAGGTCTGTTTCAGGACCGCTTTACCAACACTTTGGTTGTCATTACGGCGCCGTCTAATGTCAAACATAATATAACGGCCCGTGAGGTACAGCTACCGTCGATGTCCGCCCTGACATCGAAAGCCTCGAGTCAATCGTTTTTTCTAAGAATACTGAAAGTGATAATCCAATTGCGGGAAACTATTAGACATCAAAAGACTAAGAAGACAACACCACCGACAACAACAACAACAGATAACAACATTGCTATGGAAGTGGACGGTCAGGACGACAGTCTCAGTGGTGAACTACATCTGGAAGATCTGTGGGCAGCACTGAGTGCCTGTTTGCTCGAATTGGCCGACACACCCGATCATCACGCCGTACTTGTACTGCAGCCGGCCGTCGAGGCATTCTTTTTGGTTCACGCGACCGAAAAAGATCCGACCAAACGCCGCGACAACAAACACGAAACTCGTGACCAACAATTGGCTCACATTAATCGGGAAGTGGCACCACTGTCGCCGGCAGCGCCAGGCGATTCGTTGACTGGCGATCCGAACTCGACGGTTACCAATTTGCCGCCGGATACACAAAAATTTTTGACATTTGCCGAAACGCATCGCGTTGTTTTGAATCAAATTCTACGCCAATCGTCTACACCGCTGGCCGAAGGACCGTTTGCCGTACTGGTCGATCACACCCGTGTACTTGATTTCGATGTCAAGCGGCGCTATTTTCGCCAAGAATTGGAACGAACCGATGACGGCGCCCGACGTGAAGATCTTGCCGTTCATGTCCGACGGGAACACGTTTTCGAAGATTCGTTTCGCGAACTGCATCGTCGCGGTGCCGAAGAATGGAAAAATCGTTTCTATATTGTGTTCGAAGGCGAAGAAGGCCAGGACGCTGGCGGTCTACTACGGGAATGGTATACCATTATATCGCGCGAAATATTCAATCCGATGTACGCCTTGTTTACCACATCGCCGGGCGATCGGGTAACCTATATGATCAACAGTGCCAGTCATTGTAATTCAAATCATTTGAGTTATTTTAAATTTGTCGGCCGAGTCATTGCTAAGGCCATCTACGACAACAAACTACTCGAATGCTATTTCACCCGTTCCTTCTATAAGCATATACTGGGAAAACTTGTTAAGTATGTATTGTAGTCATCGATCAATCAATTGATCCAATATTATTGGTGACAATTGTTTTTTAATAATCTATTGTTTAATCACTGATTAACAGATACACTGATATGGAAAGCGAAGACTATGCCTTCTATCAGGGTTTGGTCTTTCTATTGGAACACGAAGTCCAAGATCTCGGCTACGAACTGACCTACAGTATCGAAATCCAAGAGTTCGGTGTTACCGAAGTACGCGATCTGAAACCAAATGGTCGCAACATACCGGTTACCGAAGAAGTCAAACACGAATACGTTCATCTGGTTTGCCAGGAAAAGATGACCGGATCTATTAAGAAACAGTTGAACGCCTTTCTCGAAGGTTTCTACGAAATTATACCGAAACGTTTTATATCGATATTCAACGAACAAGAACTGGAACTACTGATATCTGGTTTGCCTAATGTCGACATTGACGATCTGAAAGCGAACAGCGAATATCATAAATATCAGCAAAATTCGCTACAAATTCAATGGTTTTGGCGGGCGTTGCGCAGCTTTGACCAGGCCGATCGGGCCAAGTTTCTACAGTTTGTTACCGGCACGTCGAAAGTACCGCTCCAGGGTTTCGGTGCGCTGGAAGGTATGAACGGTTCGCAAAAGTTTCAGATACACCGGGACGACCGGTCCACCGATCGGCTGCCATCTGCACATACGTGGTATGTATTCATATATATAGTTAGTGATTGTGGTATTAATTGATTGATTGTTTTGTTTGTTGCACCGTTAGCTTTAACCAACTGGATCTGCCAGCCTATGAGACATACGACAAACTAAGACTAATGTTACTCAAAGCGATTCAAGAGTGCTCTGAAGGATTCGGTTTTGCCTAAAGAAAACAATTGATCACAAAAACCGATAACTTATTCATGTTTTGTTTAATTAAAAAAAAACAAAAATATTAATTAATTAATTAATTAATTAATTAATATTTATTATTATATGTTATTATATATATATATTAAACGTCTTAAAAAGCCTGTGATTTAAATAGTAAAACAAACAAAAAAAAATTTTATATTTTTCAAATTGAATAATAATTATTAATAATTAATAATAATAATTAATAATAATAATAATAATAAATAATAATAATTTCGATATATAAATAATTATATTATTAATTAATCAAAAATTAATTAATAATTATTACGAAAGAGAGAGATACTGTGTATAATAATAATACTTTTTTTTCTCAATTTATATGTATATTTAATTTGGATTTAACTATTATTATTTAAAAAAAAAACGAAAACAATTAAAATGATAATTAGTTTTAATAATTTTTATGATTTGTAGTCTAATTTTTTTATTAAAAAAAATTGATGAATAATTACTAAATGCTAATATTTTTTTGATTTGTATAAAAAAAACATTTATTATTTAAAATATTAAAATCTGAAAAATAAAAATTATTTATAATATTAATTTTTTATAAAAATTATAATCTACTGTATATTGATTTATATATACTATATATATATATATTATGTATGTAATTGTTTTTTAAATTTATGGTAAATTAATTTTTACATGAAAAATATTTTTAGTTATTATAGTATTAATATTTTTGCATAACTTTACTCAAAATTGATGCGATTTTAAAATTACACACTAACACACATTAACACACACACACACACACATATATATATATATATACCTGGAAAGTAACGTTTAAAAACATTATATATAGTGCACTGTGCAGTGTATCATAACTGTATCATAACATTATATAATCAATTATTTAGGAATTACTATATAATATTATTATATATATATATATTGTACTGTATATACAGTATACCAATAATATATACTGATTTTTTTTTTGAGACTAAACATTTCAAAATCAAATTCTCAGATTTGATATGAAATTTATTTGTATAAACAAACAAATTGTTAGTTAAATACAGTATATATAGGATATATATATATTGATATATTATCTAATATAACAAATTATCAATTAATTAATAGATAATAGTAACCATTGCTGAGAGAAATTGAAATTGATTAACCTAATTTGAAACTTAGAGAGAGAGAGAGAGAGAGAGAGAGAGAGCTGAAAGAGAGAGAGAGAGCTTCTGGAGGTGTGACTGCGCGGTGAAGACATTTCTGGCTCTGAACTACTGAAACAGTCATTTCATCTATACTTTTCTGAAAACTCTAACCAACACTTTACCATTGGTATAGTCATAGTCATGTGATTTTTGGCCCGAAAAACTAAAACTACATCAATATCTCTCTCTCTCTCTCTCTCTCTCTCTCTCTCTCTCTCTCTCTCTCTCTCTCTCTCTCTCTCTCTCTCTCTCTCTCTCTCTCTCTCTCTCTCTTTCAACAGAACAGTTCATTTTTTTTTCGGTCGATACTCTCCTGTGAATGTTGTTGTTTGTTGTCGTTGTTGTTGTTGAGTAAAGAGTGAGAAGAAGAGACAACGGGTTGAGAGGCCAGTACTACCCAAATATATACAGTATACACACATATATCTAATACTACCAGTGCTGCAAAAATATATATTAAACCAAAAAATTATTAAGCCCCCCGCCTAAATAAAAATTAAAAAAAATTGTTGATTTTTTGTTTGTTATTAGTTTTGATTGTTTGTTTTTTTTTGGTGCCAATCATTCATCATAGTCATCATCATCGCTGCTGCTGCTGCAACTGATCCTCTATCATCATCATCATCGTCATCATCACCAATACATAATCATCATATCATTATCATCTGATTCTTGGATTTTTAAAAATAATTGTTTTTTTGCATATTTTTTGTTGTTGTGGAATTTTCTCTCAAATTTTAAACAAAAAAATTATAATAATAATAATAACCAGAAAATAAATAATTATTAACCGATTATTAACAACCAAACAACCAAAAAAAAATGTCCGAAAAAAATAAATTAGAATTAAATAGTTTCGGTGGAACTGGTGCTTCTGCTGGGGAACGGTATCAGCCAAATGCCAACAATACTGCCTCCTCAGCCAATTCAGGCGGTGTTGGCGGTGTCGGTGGCGGTGCTGTGCCTACTGAAGTGAAACTAGTCGATGGAGATATACCTGATAGAGGACAGTGGTCGGGAAAGATGGACTTTCTGATGTCGTGTGTCGGCTACGCCATCGGCTTAGGCAATGTCTGGAGGTTTCCTTATCTTTGCTATAAAAATGGTGGAGGTTTGCAAAATTATTTTGATATTTAATTTTTTAATAAAAATTATTATTATTATTAAAATAATAGTAGTTTTCAAATATTAGCTAGCTGAAAATTTAAAAAAAAATTATTAATAATATAATAATTATAATTCATTGATATTATTATTGTTATAAATAATTTTATTAATAATTTGTTATAAATTTATTTAAAAACATATTAAATTTATATATTCATAAAAAAAATTAAGATATATATTCTACTAAAACAAATTTATAGTTTATATTATTTAAAAAAAAATAAAATAATGATAAATATATATATTTCGATAAAAACAAAACAAAAATTACATTTATTTGATATTATTTATCATTTATTTATTTTTTCTAAATAATAAATTTTCTTGCAACTTATATTGTATATAATATAATAAAAAAAATTACTAATGATTAAAACTATCATCAGTTTATGATTTTATTTTTATTAAAAAAAAATTGTTTGTTTGAAAATTTAATTTTATAAAATGGTGTTTCTTATGTTATGTTTTCTGTTTTATGTAAACCACACACACAATGATAAACCAAAAATCAATTATTATTTTATATATATATATATATATTATTAAATTTTTGGGGCAATATTTTTTGTCCATTTAATTTATTTAAACTGTTTTTTAGTATGATATATAAAAAACACGTTTCTAGAAAAATCAAACCAAGCATTCAATAATTTTTTTTGTAAAACATTTTTTATATATAAAAATCAGTTTTTTTTCTTATTTAATAATTATAAATCATATTTTTCATATAATATTATTTGCTATTATTTGTATATACAGTATATATATATACAGTATTGTATAGTATTTTACGAGGAAATCCGATTCTATGCAATTAATTTTAACATATAGTAAATGCTATTATATATATATGTTATATATATATATTAATACTGTATATATATATATTGTATATACACTGTATTTATGGGGTTTAATATAGTGTTTCTTAAATCTTTTTAACATCAAAATAAAAATGCCTAAACATTATTTAGTGATATATTAGCTACTATTAAGCAAATTTTTAGGTTATAAATTTTTTAGTTTTCTAACAAATTTTTAAACACAAAATTTATTAGTTAATAGATTTTCTATTTTTTAAAAAAAACAAAGCTAATAGAGAGAGAGAGAGAGAGAGAGAGAGAGACATTAAAACAACATTTTATTTAATTAATACAAATTAGTTTAGTTTAATAATATAATGTTTAATATAATATATATATATATATATATATATATTTATCTAATTAATTATTATTTTCTATAAAAGCATAAAAACACACAAATGAAAAATTCAATAGCAAATAGAAATTGATTAAACAAATTAAATTTAAAAACAATTTTTTTGTTTTTGAAATTTTTATTCCTGTAAATTATAGTAAATTTATTGATTGCAATTAAAAATAATAAATTTTTTGTTTTGAAAAATTATTATTTATTATATATATTAGCCTTATTCGTGAATAGTCTATAAAAATAAATAAATAAATTCAATTTTAATTTAAATTCAATTTATTATTCATATATTTTATGTATTTACAGGCTATTATCATATAATTAAATTGTAAAAATAGAAATAACAATAATACTAATAATTTATTTTTAGCTAAAATAACAAATAGTGGTTATTATAATAATATATATATACCGTTATCTATATATATATATATATATATATATATACTGGTTATATAATATAAACAAAATAGTTTTTATTTTTGCTTATAATAGCATTTTCTATCAATTCATTTGAATTGAGTCTCTCTTATCTAAATGCAAACTATTCAGTAAATTCTTTATATACTATATATATATTGTATATATATTTGAAAAATTCGATAAATTAATAGCAATTTGTTGGCAATAAAAATATATATATATATAAAGTGTAGTCAATAGAGAAGGAAAGTGTAGGCTATTTGCTCTATCATTCAAAACATATATATATATATACAGTGTATGATATATGATATATATAATAGTATATACAGTATATTTGACTAAATGATGAGTGAAAATCAATCAAAATGTGAGCATTCAATTCAATTGATATGCTTTTCAAAAAACTACTACTACTATGAAAACCTGTATCCAAAACGCTTTTAATGAAGCAATGAGAGGATGGAGAGAGAGAGAGAGAGAGAGAGAGAGAGAGAGAGAGAGAGAGAGAGAGAGAGAGAGAGAGTATTGCAATGTATTTGCTATGCTTTATAACATATATATATATATTTGTGTGCCTTTTTTGATGCCATTCAAAATCGATTGGCACACAACTGGCATTACACACAACGTTGCCATAGTTGAAGGCCATCATCAGATGATGCTTACGCTTATGGATGCCATCACCACAATTCACTGGATGCTGCTGTGTGTGTGTATGTATGTGTGTATGGCATCGGGGGAACGGTAGTACTGATATGTGTATGCATAACACACACACACACACTATATATATATATATATATATATATACAGAATACAGAATATATATGTATTTCATACAGAATCAAGAATCTCAGTGTGTTTAAAGACTACTACTATTATACTACTACTACTACTACTACTACTACCAGTAGTAGTACACATCAATTACGATTATATGGGTACTACCGTATATTTGGTAGTACCTGATCTCCCAATAGGGCAATGCATATCTATTTTCTTGTTGTTGTTGGTGGTGGTGATGGTGGTGTTGGTGTGTTTTTTATGTAATGATTGCCAGTTAGTTAATAGTGCAATCAATTTACCTCAATTTGTCTGATGATGGTGGTAGTGGTGGGTGTATTTATTTATGGGTTAAACAAATGTGTGTATATGTGTATATGTGTGTAAATAAACTCATTATATATATATATATTATGTCCCCAATAAAATAATTTTGACGGTAAATGTGGGGGTGGGTGGGTAACCCCACATTACCCCCTGAACTGATAGATTGAAAGATAAAACCGTGTGTGTGTGTATGCACCGGGTTTATAGTAAACAATGTGTGTGTGTGTATGTGACAGGAGTTAGGGTCTACCCTTCCGCATACTCCAGGAGCTCAGCTTAACTTACTCTACTTACTACTAGTGCTGATAGAATATTATATATAGTATATATGATATTCCCTATTATATAAATAATAAATTTATAGAATATATTAATATTTTATAGAATATATTATATATTTATATTTGCATTCATCAGCATCTAAAAAATATTCATAAATATATTTTATAAATATTATTATTATTAAAATAAATAAAATAAAAATATACACAAATTTATTTGTTGTTATTGTTGTTTGTTTTTTTTATTAAAAAAATAACATTTTTGTTTTTCAAGCAAATCATTTAATTAGTAAACATTTTTTTGTTGGTTTGTTTTTTTTGTGTGTTTGTTAATGAGTTTTAAATGAGTTAATGTATGAACAAAAACAATGTCTCTACAAATAATGCTATATATAAATATATATATATATATATATATATGCAGTATATTAGTGATTACTATATATATATATATAAATTTATATATATAGTGGAAATAAAATTTGAGAGATGAGTTCACATTACAAATGTATTTGGGGTTCAAAATATTCAAAATAAATCTTGCATTTAATGTTTTATATAAGGCGTTAATCCCTTTAGATAACAGTTATGTTTTGAAAGAGTGAGTGAAAGAGAGAGAGAGAGAGAGAGAGAGAGAGAGAGAGAGAGAGAGAGAGAGAGAGAGATCGACAATAATAACATAAAATAACAAAATCAAAGTTTGTGTTAAAGTATTAAACATTTACTACTACTTAGCCAAACACTACAACAATACAAACGGAATTGTTTGACACTTATTCGGGCAAAAAGTGGTTTTCTGTAGTGGTATATATATATATGTACTGTATATATATAGATAGATATATACAGAATATTGTATATAATATCGTTGGTATAGTAAACAGTAGTGTTTTTGGGGTATAGTTTTGCAAATAATTCAACCGTTAAGACTGTGAACTTATAGCTTCTCTCTCTCTCTCTCTCTCTCTCTCTCTCTCTCTCTCTCTCTCTTCTCTCTTTCATATCCAAAACAGCACACATCGCACACAACAAAAATCAATAATTCACATCATATTTCTCTCTCTCTCTCTCTCTCTCTTTCAATGTGTTTCTCAATGCTTTGCTGTTTGATGTTTGAATTCAATATAAAGTTAAAGAATAATATATATATATATAAATTATATAATATAAAAATTGAACATGCACATGCACACTACTATAATATTTATTGTATATTATTATTATTATTGTAAATATTTGCTTGTTTAGTCAGATTTTGTTATTGTTGTTGTTGTTGTTGTTATATAACACCAACAAAAAACAAGATTATTAAAAAATAATATTTTAACATTTTTACATAAATATAATAATAATAATAATACAATGACTACAAATTTTTATAAATGTAAATATATATTACACACTATAAAAAATGACTTTATATACAGTATATATATATATTGATACTATTACTACCAGTATTTATTTATTTTTTTATTATTCAATGATAGTTTACTTTAACTATAACATAAATAGGGAGAGAGAGAGATATAATATTTATATTGTATAACATAAATAATATTTTTTTTATATATATAAAGTAATATATACTATATATATATATATATATATATATATATATACTGAGAGAAAAAAAATTGTAAAAACTATATAAAGTCAATGAAAAGCCAGATTTTTAAAGAATAATTTAAAAAGTAAAATATATATATATATATATATATTATATATAATAATAAAATTGAATTTTAATGTAATATATTTTGAATGCAAATGAAAAGCCAGTCTGTAATTGATTTGCCGTAACATAAGAGCCATTCAGTGTTTTTTTCTCTCTCAATATATTCTCTCATTTTTAAGCCTTTTATTGATTTCAAATATTTCCTTTACTTTCAACTCTCAATATATATATATATAAAATATATAGCAATTTGTAGAGAAATTTGTAAAAACATTGCCATTGAATTGAATTGAATCCAAAAATATTTTCTCCGTTTTATATCATATATATATATCTCTCAAAATAAAGTTACACAAAGAAAATGGAAAATTTATGTCATTAAAAAAATTACTTAAAAAAATATTATTTTCATTTAATTGTGTGGTTTTTATTTGTATTTATTTGTGAAACAATTTTTTTTATTTAATATTATTAATAATAATAGTATTAATTATTATTATTATTTCTATTAATTATTGTTATTCACTATGAATTTACAGTATTTACATTATTATTATAAAAAATACATTAAATATTTTTTAGTAATAATAATTATATTTAAATAATTTATATTTAATGTTTTTTATATTACTATAAACTGCTTAAATTCCAAATTAATCATTGATTGAGTAATTTAATTGAAATTAATTTTGCAAAACATATTAATTGGATAATAGATTATATATATAGTATATATATATATATATATATATGTTTTTGAAAAATAAATATTTATAATAAAATATATAATATATATATATATATATATATACTGTATTATATATATTTTAAAACAATTGATTTGTCCATTTTATATATGATGCGGTCATTTTGTGGAAATATTATATTACTTTTACTTTTGCTTATTATTATTATTATTATTATTATTATTATTATATTTAAGCCAAATATTATTAGATATTAAAACATATTTTTAATATGTTTTTATTATTATTTTTATTTTATATATATATAATAAAACAAATCAAGCGATGAATTTTTAAATATATTAAATTTTATGAACCAAATATATTTTACTCAATATTTTGTTTGGCTATATATATATATTTAAAAATTTTGTATAAAAATAAAGTATATAGTTGATTTTTCATAATATATAATAAGTAGGTCAAGTATTATACAATATATAAATTTATATACTGTATTATAGATACAAATTAATATTTTTTTAGACAATACTTAATAGAAAATAATAATAATACATAATTTATTATTAGACGATAATAGATGATTATTAAAGTTATTTTGTTGTTGTTGTTGAAAATATTTAGTATAGTTGTATATATAAAATACTGTTAAAATTGAAACATTAATTTTTTAGGTAATAATCTAATAAATTAAATTTATTATGAAATTTATTTTTTTTTCATATAATGATTTACTAAAAATATTAGAAAACAATTGCATGAATACAGTATATATCATATATAATTTTGTTGCTTGCTTATATTATTATTATTAGTAGTAGTAGTAGTAGTAGTAGTAGTATTTTAGTATTATAGTTGCACACAAAACCTCAATATTTTTATTTTATTTTTTTTTAAAATATGATATATCTGTATACATACTATACAACAACACAATATACCAGAATATTCTTTATATATATATATATATATATATATATATATATATATATATAGAGAGAGAGAGAGAGAGAGAGACTGATAGACAAACAGACAGACAGAGACACTAATATATACACACTATTATATCATATATATAATAATATATATATATTATATGTGTTGTCCAGAGATATGGGATGAAAATAATTTGTGTGAACCGTTAGTTATATATTTTTTTCTGGCTGTTTGGATATGAATTATGAGCTCTGATTTCTCTCCTCCAGTAATAGGTTTCTTATTGCTTTTAATATGATATCTCATATATATATATATATATATATATATATTGAGGGGTTTTTTATATGCCATATATATATATATATTTCCCGGTAATATATTTGGCTTTTGCCATAAAAACGCCCAAACAATTGATATTAAGAGATATGATAGCCTTTCAGTGGCAAAGAATCAACATTTTATGTCATTTGGTGTTTCATATTATTAGTATTATTATTATTATTATATATTAATACAGTACTTATCATATCACAGACACTTGTTTTTCTCATATCATTAGGATCTCTCTCTCTCTCTCTCTCTCTCTCTCTCTCTCTCCAATTATTTAGGTACACATACACACTCATACACACACAAACATACATACATACACATACATACATACACACCAACATACACATACATATATACATACACACACATACATACACGCATGCATACATACATACATACTGTACACACACACACACACACATACATTATTTTTTATAATAATAAAATACATTCATTAGGTTTTTATCAGTAGTAAACCACACAAATGCATAATCATATTAAATGAACCTTTAAATTATTGTAACAAATTTTTTTTTAAGTAACAGTAGAGACAAACAATAATATACATAATTATTATTACTATCAAAAAAAAATAATAATAGAAAAATATATGAATTATTTATATTATTTAAACACTCAGAATAAAAATAAATTAATAAAAATTACAATAATAATTGAATATAATTTTTGATTTGTTTTTTCTATCTACCCCCCCCCTCCCAAAAAAATGATCCAGGTGCATTCCTAGTGCCATATATTTTGTGTCTATTATTTGCTGGAATTCCCACATTCTTTTTGGAGGCATCTCTGGGCCAATGGCTCGGCATCGGAGGCGTCAGTGTTTGGAAAATCTGTCCAATTTTCAAAGGTATGACTCCTTATAACTCTCTTTCTCTCTCTCTCTCTCTCTCTCTCTCTCTCTCTCTCTCTCTCTCTCTCTCTCTTATTATTCAATGACTTATTGTAATATATCTGAGAGAGAGAGAGAGAGAGAGAGAAACTAATCTTCAAAAAGCGACATATTGTGACTACAAAGACATATCGATAGATAAGACAGCAATTTCCTCTCCTGTAATACCACTCTCACTGTTATAACAGTGTGTTTCGGTTATATGTCATTTCCTAGTAGTAGTAGTAGTAGTAGTAGTAGTAGTAGTGAATCAATTCCTTATATATATGTACTGTATATATATACAGTACAGTAAATAAAATTGTTATTTAGTTATTAAAAAATACTATATATATATATTTACTGTGTATACAGTATATAAACAATAAATACTGTATATACTGTGTCACAGTCATATATATCACAGTATATATATATATATATATAGTATTATTTTTTAAATAACTAATTATATATCAATTGATAATTATATATATACAGTTTATGTCACTTAAAAGTTTAAATTTGAGTAATATTATGTAATGCTTTAGCCAGGGTACTTTATATAACTTACCTAATATAAGGTAACTTTATACTAAGTTATCTTGCTAAGCGTAAAGTTAACTGTATACATGATATTACTCAAATTTGAACTTTTAATTGGCATTATCTGTATATAATCCTAATAATAATAACACCAATTATTAATCATATTAATTAGACAACAAAAAACCTAATTATAAATATATATCTTATATATAATATAAAAATCTATTTCCTATACATTTGTCGTGTCCGATCACACCTACACCTACACCTACACCTACACCTACACCTACACATATACAGGTGTGGGCTATGCAGCAGCGGTGATGGCATTTTGGCTGAACGTCTACTACATAGTAGTACTGGCCTGGACACTGTACTATCTGTACTATTCGCTGGCCTCGGACGTACCGTGGAGGGGCTGTGATAACTGGTGGAATTCGGTCAAATGCAAGTCCGAATACGATTTGGCCAAATCGGAACGCGAATGTCTGGCCAGAATCGGCGTCAATGCGGCCGTCTGTAAGGCCAACTCGTCATACTTTACCAGTCCTGTCAAAGAGTTCTGGGAGTAAGTGTCTGATTCTGATTATTAAAAAAAAAATTGTTTTGTTTTCTGTTTGTTTGTTATTTAATAAAATAATTAATTTGAAAATAATAATTTTTAATAATATTAGATATAGTAGTAGTAGTAATAGTGATAATAAACATATTTAAAAAAATTATTAATTATATTAATTTTTTAAATAATTTGAAAATAATAATTTGTAATAATATTAGATATAGTATAGTAGTAGTTGTTGTTGTAGTAGTAGTTGTTGTTGTAGTAGTAGTAATAGTGATAATAAACATATTAAAAAAATTATATCATAATAAATAAATAAATAACATATCTTAATATTGCATTGAAATGATGATTGCATTGAAACAAAAATTTATTTATTAATTATTATATTTTATTTTCAGGCGAAATGTCCTCCAGTCCACTCAATCAATGGGCGATTTTGGTAGTATACGTTGGCCACTGGCCTTTACACTGTTGATTGCTTGGGTGGCCTGTTATTTTGCCATTTGGAAAGGGGTCAAATGGACTGGCAAAGTTAGTAGTCATTTATTATTGATATTATTATAACAACAACAACAATAACAATTATATTATACTATTACTTATCAATAATATTTGTTATTTTTAGAAATTATAATTTTATTTTTTTTTAAATAACACTAATTTATGTATGTTAAAATTTTATTTTTTTTTAAAAAAATTATGGGTATAATTATAGTTTAGTTTTCTTTATAGTTATTTAGTTTTCCTATTAGTAATTATTATTATATAACCATATTATATAATCATATATATATTATATATTAAGTTAAAGTTTAAACATTTTAAAAAAAAAAATAATTACTGACAAATTAAATATATATATATTGCAATTTTTGATATTTGCATGGCTAGGTTATTGATTTAGATTATACATAAATATTTCAATGTTTTTCAATTTATATATATAATATAATATATTTTATAATATATATATTTATGTTTACACTACATATTTACAGAATATTCCTAATATGCAAATTTAATTATTATTTAACAATCTTTTAAAAATGCTATATCATTATTTATTATTGATATACAGAAAATTAGATTTATCAACAAAATTTTTAGAAAATTTTATACATAATTTTTTTCAAAAAAAATAAAAATAATAATAATTTAATACCAACTAAACAAATTAATCAATAAATAATATTTATTTATTTAAAAAAAAATAATAATTTAAAAAATTTAATATATATTTTTGTTATACAGATTGTATATGTTACAGCAATATTTCCATACGTTTGTCTGATTATATTATTATTTCGCGGTATAACACTTCCCGGTGCTTGGGATGGCATAATGTATTACATAACACCAAAACTCGATCGTTTAGGCGATTCACAGGTATATTATAATAATTTTTTAAAAAAAACAATATATATATATTATACAAAAAATTCTACTGTAAATAGTATATAACATTTTTTTTATTTATAAATTGAAAATACTAATACTACTACTACTACTACTAATTATTGTTATTATTATTGGGGGACAGGTATGGAGTGATGCGGCCACACAAATATTTTTCTCCTATGGCTTGGGATTAGGCGCTTGGATTGCTTTAGGAAGTTATAATAAATATAATAACAACGTTCACAGGTTTTTTGTTTGTCAACAACAAAAAAATATAAATAAATTTTATAAATTTAATTGTCTTTTTATTATTAATTAAAAAAAAATCAGAGACGCGCTTATCATATCGTGCATAAACAGCGGTACCTCAATGTTTGCCGGATTTGTTGTCTTCAGTATTGTTGGTTTTATGGCTAAAGAGCAGAATAAACCCATAGACCAGGTGGCTGTCTCTGGTATGTCATACAATTATATATATATCCATATTATGCCATAAAAACATACTGTGCAACACATACATATATATACATACATGCATGCATACACATATACATACTTACATACATGCATACACATATACATACATACATGCATGCATACACATATACATACTTACATACATGCATACACATATACATACATACATGCATGCATACATACACATATAGATACATATATACATATATACATATAATATATATATATATATATATATATATATATATATATTCCTAAAATTCTTATAGTCATAAACATTAAACCAATTAGTTTTTAAACACTGTACTATATATTGTATATCTAAATTAAAGTAACTTTATATATACGACTATATAAACAGTAATTACTTTTAAATGCAAATGAATATGCATTATAATTATGAAAAATATATGTTTTTATTTAAAAATAAATGTACTGTACTGCAATAATATGTAACTAACTAACTAACTAACTAACTAACTAAATCAAACAATACTAAAAAGCACCACATACAGTATATACAAGTTAAAAATATTTTTATACCCTAAATATTCAACAAAAATTAGATTTAATAGAAAATAAAAATTTTACTGTTAAGCATGTAATCCAATATAATATTTTATATACACTATATATGTCATCCAATCATCCATACATACATACATACATACATTCATTGATTGATACATACATTCAGTGATTGATACATTCATTCATTCATTCATTCATTCATTCATTCATTCATTCATTCATTCATTCATTCATTCAATCAATTCATTGATTCATTCATACATATGATTCATACATAGGTTCTGGTTTGGTTTTTTTGGCCTATCCTTCAGCGACACTACAGCTTCCCGTAGCACCTCTCTGGGCGATACTGTTTTTCCTAATGATTATAATGTTAGGTATGGACAGTCAAGTAAGTATATATATATACTTTCTTATTTATTTTTTGTTGTTGTTGGGTTTGACACTATATATATATATATAGTAATGTAGTTGTATTAGTAGTAAAGTATGTCTAACACAACTAAACATAAAAACTACTCCCAGTTATCAATAATACAATAAAAACACACAAACATCTTATAAAGATAACTCTGTTATCAGTAATGTCTTAAAACAATAGAGTAAAGAGTGAGTGAAAGAATATTCTGTACATATTCTCTATATATATAAAACTACTGTAATATATATATATATATAAATATTGTACAGAATATTCTTTCACTCACTATATATATTATTCAGTAAATTGTTATATAAATAATACTTAATAGTTATTATTTAGTTTTAGTTTTGACAAAAATAAAAAACAAAAATATTTTTTTTGATGGATATTATAAAATCCTTATGTTTAGTGTATATTATATTCAAAATTATTATTATTATTAATATTATTATAAACTAAAAAATTATATAATGTTTTTAACTTAATTTTCATATGACTGATCTCTCTCTCTCTCTCTCTCTCTTTATTTATCTATCTATCTATCAATCTATCTGTCTATCCATTAACCATCCAGTTCTGCACAATGGAGGGCTTCTTCACGGCCGTCATCGACGAGTTTCCACGACTTCTTCGGCCGCACAAAGAATTGTTCATTTTGTTTGTCAGTGTTGTCTCCTATTTGATTGGACTGGTCTTTGTGGTCGACGTAAGTGTCTGTCTGTCTATCTATCTATCTCTCTATCTTTCCCTAATAATTATAAAAATAAATAGGAAAATAATTTTTTTATTTGTAAATACTTGTTGTTATATATGATTTGTTTGTTATACATATATATATATATCATATTTATATAATGTAATATATTAATACTTTTTTCTATACATACACACATATATATACGGTATATTCAATATATGTATATATATATATAAAGGGCGGCATATATTGGTTTGAGTTATTCAATACATATGCAGCTTCTGGTTTTGCACTGTTATATCTGGTCTTCTTTGAAGTTATCGCCATTTCCTGGTCTTACGGTTAGCTCCTAAATAATATATTATTTATTTATATATTAAAAAAACCATATCTCTCTCTCTCTCACTAATATTTGCTTATGTTATCATATGGTTGTCTCTCTTTCTCTCTCTCTTTCTTTATATACATATTTTTTGTTACAACAACAACAACAACAAAAATAAGGCGTTAATCGATATTATGCTAATCTTGAGGACATGATAGGCGGGAATCTGTGTATATGGTGGAAGTGCTGTTGGTTTGTCTTTACGCCTACCATTTGCTTTGTATGTATCAATAATAATAATAATAATAAAAAAAAATTTTTATACATTATATATATACGATAATATATATGATTGGCTCGTCCATCACCATATAAAATAATTATTGATATATATATATATATATATTTAGAAATATTTTTTGATTTTGTTTGTTTGCAATTTTTGTTTGTTGAAAAAAGTAATATATATCTATATATATATACCGGTATAGTATATCAATCAATCAATTTGTTTGTTTATTTTTAGGGTGTATTCATGTTTAGTCTGGTCCAGTATCAGCCGTTAACCTACATGGACTACGACTATCCATGGTGGGGCGAGCTCATTGGGTGGTTTTTAGCCCTGTCCTCTATGCTATGTATACCTGGCTATGCTGTCTATATTTATTTCAATACACCGGGAGATTTTGCCGAAGTATATTAATAATAATTTTCTAATTTACTAATTAATTAATTAATTGTTTGTTTAACATTACCGTAGAAAATGAAAGCATTATTCAGACCCGATATCAGTGAGATCGAGGCCGAGATCAGACAGCGGGCACTAAAAGATGCCGGTTTGACAACTGTAACACCAGTTTAACGATGACTGAACCCCTTTTATTATTATTATTATTATACAGTATATTATTGTAAAAAAAACATATATATACAAACATATACCATACCATATAACATATCACCAGTTAGATATTTACTTAACTATGGAGGAGGGGTGGGTGTTATTTTCGGACAACAAAATTAACATCGATTAATGATAACACAAACAATGGGGGTATGAATTGATAATTTTAAAAAAAATTAATTAATTAAATTGGTTTTTTTCGGGACAATAACAACAACAAAACACATCAATCGGTTAGTTACCAAAAAAAAATACTACTACTAATAATAATAATAATTAATAACTCACTTAACTTTATGGTTAGATATTTTTTTTGTTTTGACAAATCAATTGGACATATCATATATAATAGTTATATCACAATCACTTGTCGATCAAAAAAAAATAAAATAATAATTAAGTGAAACGAGTCGTTCAAAACAAATTTGTTTAATATATGGCCATAAACTAAAAACTTGAAAATATTTAAAACAGTTTTTTTATTTAAAAAAAATAAGTGGCAATTGATTTACTAAACTAATATTATTTGAGAGAAACTATTGTTATATATATTATATATCACAATATATATATATATATATATATATATATAGATATATAATGTAAACCTATGTCTTCCATATTTAATAATTCAATACCAAAAACAAAGATCATTAGCTTATATATAAAAAAAACAAAATATTTTTTGTTTTTTTTGTTTTTTATTTTAATCATTTAAGTTATTATCTATTGTTATTATTATACATAAAAATTATATATATATATATATATATACATAACTATATATAAATCATTATAATAATTGCCTTTTTCTGGAGTTGAGTCTTACAAAAAAAACATAAATTATAAAATAAAAATTAATAATTAAATAATTCGAGGATAAGTTAGTAAGAAAAATAATAATAATAATAATGAATAATATAAATATTATTATTATATGAATAATATATATTAATTAATTAATTAATGATAATAATTATCAATTTACTAATTGAAAATTATAGTTTTTAACTTAAAAAAACATTGATATACCATTTTAAACTAAAAGCTAAAAACAAACAAAAAAAATTAGTTATTAAATTTTAAAAAAAAATCCATTTATTAATTTTTAATTAATTTTAATTGAGACTAAACAAAGTGTTTTTAAAACAATAAAGTTGTTGATTGAATAGGGCTTCCAAATAAATAAATAAATAAAATAAAATAAATGATAATTTTTGAATTAATTATTATAAATATTGATAATACAGAAAAAAAACATTACCAAAAAACATATATTGTACAACAATTATATATTACAATTTTTTTTTCTATGTTTAATTATTATTATTAGTTTTAGATAATTTTTTTTAAATTAAAAAAAATACATATAATGCTCATTCAATTGTTTTTATTATTAAAAAATTTTAATTATTGAGTTATTAGTGATCGTATTATAAGCCAAACTTTATATACTTTTAAAAAATGTTTATTATATAAGGAATTTATTACCAAAAAAAAATTGATTAAAGTTTTTATTTATCAAATAAAAATTACAATTAAATTAATTAATTTTTATTTTAATTAATATTTATTTTTACATTTATTAATAGAAATTTAGAAATTTAGAAATTTAAATAAGTTATCAATATTTGTCAATAATTTTATTTAATTTAAATATTAATTAGATATTACATACTCTATAATCAATTTTAATTTTATTATTATTATTATTATTGACTAAATTTTTACGATCACTAATAATATAATATTTAAAAATACTAATAATAATAAATCTTTACTTATATATATATATACTGTTTTCCCAATAAACTAAATAAAACATTTGAGACAAAAACCAAATTGTGATTATATAAAGAAATTAAAACAAAAAAAGCTTTTAATGCCTGATTGTTAACTCATTTACAATATATTATTATTATTATTATATTATATAATCATTTGTGGTTCACAAACACATTACACATATGGTTACACACATTAATTGAACATTTCATTGAAACAAAAATGCAAAAATAAAAATGATGTAAACTTGTCTTCCAGTAATTAAAACAAACAAATTTTAAAATAAAAAACAAACCAAAAAATAATATATATATATATATATTATGATATATTTAATATTTATTACACACTTTTAATTCCAAATTATCGTTTTATATATATATTTAGAGAGTTTATTTGGATTATTTAATAATAAGAGAAAAAATTTAGTAACATATAATAATAAAAATATTTAATTAAATATATATATAACTTATTATTATTATACACGTAATATACATAATTAAAAAATATACAATAAATTAAACTATAAAAATAACTTTTGATTGATTGAGCCCAACAAAAATGCTCACCAATTTTAATTTTAATTGTATAAAAAAAATTATTAGTTAAATATTATTGTTTTATCTATTATATATATTATATATAATGTTATTATTATATGATTATTAATTAATTAATTAATTGGATTATTAAAAAAAAATACAAACTAATTGTTTTTTTGTAAATGAATTTAATATCTAATATAAATATGATTTCTACTTTGATAGTAATTTATTTAAACTAATTAATTATACTAAAATATTTTTATGTTTAGACACAATTTTTTATTAATTAATTAATTAATTGTAAAATATTTTACACTATAATTACAAATGTTTTTTTTTAAATTTCTGTTTCTAATAATAACAATAATAATAAGTTATATTAAAAAAAATATAATAGAAATTCTGTTGTATAGTTAATATTTATTTATTAAATTTACTTTAATTATAACTACTAATATTAATTATAAAACACATTTATTTGGCAAAAAAAAATTGAAATAGTTTAAAATAAATCTAAAAGTTAAATTATGAAAAAATACAGTATTATTATTATTAATTTTTTAAATCAATGATTGACTATTATATTATTAACTATTAGATACTGATATTATTTAGTGATATAATTAGTATTTTTTTAATTTTTTAGTTTTTAGTTTTATAGTGAACTAGTAGTAGTAGTAGTAGTGTTAGTCTATTTAATAAAAATAAATTATTGTATTTTTTAAAAAAAATAATCACTAAAATCAAGTGAAATTATTATTTTTTAAAAATATATAAATAAAAATTTAATAACAAATATCTTACGTTTAATAACAACTGGGATGTCTGTCCTCTCTCATCAATAAATGAGACTATTTTGGGCTTTAAAAAATAAAAACTACTGTATAAACAGTATGATATTTAAGTATAATATCTACTGGTATTATACTATTGACATTGGATCTAATAATAATAAATTATCACTTATATTAATAACTATTAATAAATATCTATTACATCTAAATAGCATAGATAGATGAAACCATAATTGTATTGGTCATCAATTAATATATATATATATTAATAGATAACATACTGTATATTAACTATTGACAAATTTATATAGCCATTACAGGGTATTAAGTGTAATAAAAATATTTTTTTATTATTTAATTATCAATAAATTATCAAAAAAAAAGAAAATCGTTTTTAGTTTTTTTTACAATTAATAAATATTTTTTTTTTAATTGATTACTATTTATTATAAATGAAATATTAATACAATTTAATTTCAATAATATTCTATTATTGTTATTATTATTATTATAGAATTATCGTTGTAATAGTAAATATAATTATATATATAAAACATAATAAAAACATTTTTATGAATTTTTTTAAAATAGAAAAAATGTTTGCAAAAAACTTTAGATATTTATCTTTTATACTAAAAATATTTTGTTTAAATAGAAATTTATAGATAAAATAATAGTTTTACTTTTAATAAGAAAAACAATCGGATTGTCGTAAATCCTAATATATTATTGATTTTCCGGTTGTTTTTGTGATGAAGTTTTTTTCAAAAAAAAAGGAAATTAATAAACTTTTTTTTTAAAACAAAAATATATATGATTTTAATATTAATTACATAATAGTGTATAAAATTGCGAAAACTTAAATATTTTTTTTAATAAAAATAATGTTATCAAATATATCAAACATTATATTTTTTTTCGGTCATCTATTGGTGTCCTCATGAATGTCACACATCATATACTGACAGTATATACGACCATCCGATGAGGTCAGGGATGGGATTATATTATTGTTTATTTATTTTTTTTGGTTAGCATTCAGTGATAGCCAACATTTTCATCATCAATATCTAGTTTGTCTATAATAACGGACTTATTAGTTAAGATCAATTACCATCTATATGGTTGATCCGTAAATATAGCCGTAAATACAGTAGATGACGATATCGTCGGCGGCGGTGATGACCAACGATGACCAGATCAGATTGAAGGCCATTGTTAGTCTGTTTAGCATAGATTAGGATAAATATTTTTTTTTAAAATAAATAATCGGATTCTTGTAAATCTCAGTAATTTTGACTTTCCGTTGTTTTTTTAAATAATAGTTTTGAAAGGAAATAGTTTATTAAAGTTTGCGAAAAAAAAACTATATATAACTTTACATATGAATATATATATATATATAGTATTATACATATTGTATATATATATTATATATATATAATAACTAATCTTTGTATAAATTCTGACTAAAATATCATTTTTATTTGCAAAATTAAATTATCATTTCTAAGTAAAAATAATAATAATATTGAATAATAAAATTTAAAAAAATAATAATTTCTGTATAATTATAATAATAATATAATAAATAAAAACTAATTTCTAAGTAATACTATTGAATAATAATAATAATGGCATCAAATGAGACATTAAATTCTTCGTCATCAACGACTACTGTTGTCCTCACGAGTAGTATCACATATACGACATCCGATGAGATCAGGGATTGGATTGTATTATCGATACATTTGTTAACATTTTTGTTGGCATTTATTGGCAACATTTTCATCTGTCTGGTCGTCTATAATAAGAAAAAGTTAAGATCAAACACTTATATATTGATAGTAAATATAGCCATTTCGGATCTCATCGGCGGTATTGTCATACCCGGTCAGTGGCTATTTTGTTCGACATATATGCTAGACATGGGCACAGGTAGTCAACGAGTCTGCACTCTAGTTAAGTCATCGCAGATACTATCCTATTATGTGTCGACATTTTCGATGACAGTCATAGCCATAGACCGATATCGGCTTATATGTAAGCCATCGGTAGCGCGTATGACACCTCTAATACCGATACTAATCACTTGGATATTGGGCTCCATATTCACGACAACCACGTTATACTCGATACGTGTTTCGGAATATTTTTCGCCGATTCAGGTAATCAATCAATCAATCAATTAAATTATATATTAATTAAATAATTATTATAAAAAAACAAAATAAAAATCAATTAAAAATTATCATTCAATCACTGTTAGGGACTAATCGGTTGTCGTCTAGTATTTGCATCCAATATAAACTATCAATTAATTAGGTTAAGGGTAATAGTCATCACTTTCAGCCAATACTTGATACCACTGTCCCTAATCGGCTATTTCTACGGTATGGTCATGTATACAGTGTGGAAAAGGGAACGGGTGTTGGGCAGCAATGGTGTAGGTGAACGGGTGAACAGAAACAGTGGTAAACAAAAGTTGTTTAACCGGAATAAAAAACGTACGATAAAGATGTTGATGACTGTTGTGGTGGTATTTGCTGTGTCCTGGTTACCCACACATCTCGAATACTTTCTAACATTTGTCATTAATGACATAACTGTCCACAACAAGCCGATGACAACCTCCACCACCATTACAACCACCACCACTACCAACCAGTGCAAAGTATCCATAGTTTATATACTATGCAATTGGCTAGAAATTAGCAGTTGTTTCTACAATGTGTTCATCTATTGTTATTTCAATCATGATTTCCGATCGGAAGCCATCCGATACTGGAATTGTATGATACCTAAGGGCTGTTATTGTTTTCAGATGGCTTTACCAGCACCGGGTGCTGAGTCGTCGTCTTCGTCGGATAATACCAACAGTGGTGCCACAAATACTACATCTAATAGTAGTAGTAGTAGTAGTAATAATAATAGTTGTTTAACACAAACATAGTTATCAACTATTATAATACTACTGTATTATCAAATAATATCGATATAATAAAAATCAGCAGAAATTAAATAAAGCACTAAAGAAAATCAAGTGAAAAATAAATTATATTAAAAATAAAAGTTTATTACATCTATTACCGGATTGTATAGCTCTCTCTCTCTCTCTCTCTCATCAATAAATAAGACTATTTTTTTCTTAAAAAACTATCTCAACTCCAAATATAATATTTATTTGCTAAAATTGTATACCAATTGCCATTGCATTTTATAATAATAATAATAATAATAGATTTGATTTAATACATGACCTATGTTAATATTACTTTTGTTTTTATTTACTGTAAAAATCGTATTTATTTATATATATATATTTTTTAAAATCAAATTTTTATTAAATAATGATATCGATTAATTATGTTATATTATAATATAATTCACAATACTAAACAAATACAGTAATAAAAACAATAAATAACTATAAAAATAAATTTTTAAAATTGAATTACACTTAAATGTCTAATTTTGATGATTTATTTTTTATAATAAAAACAACACGTGTATTTACTTTAAACAAAATAAAATTTAGAAAAAAATTAAATAAAAACTTTGATATTAATAAATTGAAAAGTAGATAATATCAACAAAAATTAAAATAATAATAATATAAAATAATTAATAAGTTTACTAATAATTTAGTATATGTACACTAAATATAATTTAATAAAAGTATTATATAATTAGTATAATAGTAATAATAATAATGAAATTGACATTTTAAATGTGAACTAAAAATATATAATATAAATAGTAAATTTTTTTAAAAAATAATTTAAATAATAATTTAATAAATAAAACATAAAAACTAAAATTTATATACCATTTTTATTACTAACAATTTATATTAGTATTATTACTACTGTATATTAATTTTGAATTTAACTATTAAACACTTTGCAGTTGTTTTGAACGCATATTAAATAATTTTTAGTCATAAAACTTACTTTAATTGAATTTATATTTTATAATCATTAAAGTCAGTTAAAATTAGTGTACGATTGATATCGATAAATGTTTTCAATTAAAGTAAGTTTTTTAATTTAAATTATTCATTATTATTATTATTATAATTATGTTTATCTTATAATAATTTTTAAATGATAATCTTAATATATATATATATAAAATAATAGTTTTACTTTTAAAAAGAAAAACTATCGGATTGTCGTAAATCCTAATATATTATTGATTTTCCGGCTGTTTTGGTGATGAAGTTTTAAAAAAGGAAATGAATAAACTTTTTTTTTAAATATATGATTAAAAGAGAGAGAGAGAGAGAGAGAGAGAGAGAGAGAGAGAGAGAGAGAGAGAGAGAGAGAGAGAGAGAGATAGTATATATATATATAATAACTAATCTATGTATAAATTCTGACTAAAATATCATTTTTAATTTGCAAAATTAAATTATCACTTCTAAGTAAAAATAATAATAATACTGAATAATAAAATAATAATAATTACAGTATAATAATAATAATAATGATATCAAATGAGACATTAAATTCTTCGTCATCAACGACTATTGATGTCCTCACGAGTAATATCACATTTACGACATCCGATGAGATCAAAGATTGGATTGGATTATCGTTGGATTTCTTAACATTTTTGTTGGCATTTATTGGCAACATTTTCATCTGTCTGGTCGTCTATAATAAGAAAAAGTTAAGATCAACCACTTATATACTGATAGTAAATATAGCCATTTCGGACCTAATCGGCGGTATTGTCATACCCAGTCAGTGGCTATTTTGTTCGACATATATGCTAGACATGGGCACTGGTAGTCAACGAGTCTGCATTCTGGTCAGATCATTGCAGATACTGTCCTATTATGTGTCGACATTTTCGATGACAGTCATAGCCATAGACCGGTATCGGCTTATATGTAAGCCATCGGTAGCGCGTATGAAACCACTAATACCGGTACTAATCACTTGGATATTGGGCTCTATATTCTCGACGACCACCTTATACTCAATACGTGTTTCGGAATATTTTTCGCCAATTCAGGTAATCAATCAATTGTCACAAAAATTTTTAAATTTAAAAAATCAATTAAAAATTATTTCAATCACTGTTAGGGACTAATGGGTTGTCGTATGCTATCTGCATCCAATATAAACTATCAATTACTTAGATTGCAGGCAGTAGTCGGCACTTTAAGCCAATATTTGATACCACTGTCCCTAATCGGCTATTTCTACGGTATGGTCATGTATACAGTGTGGAAAAGGGAACGGGTGTTGGGCAGCAGTGGTGGACGGGAAGGGTTGAACACAAACAGTGGTAAACAAAAGTTGTTTAACCGGAATAAAAAACGTACGATAAAGATGTTGATGACTGTTGTGTTGGTATTTGCTGTCTCGTGGTTTCCCACACATCTCGAATTATTTCTAACGGCTTTCATTTATGACATACCTGTCCACAACCAGTCGATGACAACCACCGACACTATCGACGAATGCAAATCCATATTTTATATGATATTCAATTGGCTAGAAATTAGCAGTTGTTTCTACAATGTGTTCATCTATTGTTATTTCAATCATGATTTCCGATCGGAAGCCATCCGATACTGGAATTGTATGATACCTAAGGGTTGTTATTGTCTTCAGATGGCTTTACCAGCACCGGGTCCTGAGTCGTCGTCGTCATCGTCGGATAATACCAACAGTGGTGTCACAAATAATACATCTAATAGTAGTAATAGTAATAATAATTATTGTACAACACAAACATAGTTATCCAACTAATGTATTATAATATATTATGATTCATATTACTGTAATATCATAGTCACGGTATAATATTAATAAAAATCATAGAAATTAAATTATCCCTAAAAAATCAAGTGACAAATAAATTATATTATAATTACTCTCTCTCTCTCTCTCTCTCTCTCTCTCTCTCTTTCTTTCTTTCTCTTTCTCTCACTCACTCACTCACTCACTCTCATCAATAAATAAGACTATTTTGTTTTTTTTTAAAAAAACTATCTCAACTCCAAATAAAATATTTAACTATAAAAACTATATACAATTGATATTAGATTTTATAATAGATTTTATTTAATACATGACTTATGTTAATATTACTTTTGTTTTTATTTAATAATTAAAAAACTTATTTATTTATATAAAATTTTTTTAGCAAATTATTTATTATAATTATTTTATTGAATAATAATATTAGTATTTTAAAATGAATTCACTAACACATAGTTATAATATAATTTTAAATACTAAAAAAATATAGTAATAAAAAAACAATAAATAAAGATTTGTTTAAATTGAATTACACTTAAATGTCTAATTTTGATGATTTATTTTTTATAATAAAAACAACACGTGTTTAAACAAAATTAAAATTTTTAAAAAATCAAATAAAAACTTTCCATTAATAAATTGAAAAGTAGATATCAAAAAAAAATATCTAATATATTAAAAAATTAATTAGTTTACTAATAATTTAGTATATGTATATTAAATATAATTTAATAAAAGTGTTATATAATTAGTGTAACAATAATAATAATAATGATAATGAAATTGATATTTAAAATATTAACAAATATATATATATAATATTAAATTTTTTTAAAAAAATAATTTCAATAATAATTTAATATATAAAACAAACAAAAAACAAATATTTAAATACAATTTTTATTACTAACAATAATTTATATTATTATTATTATTTTACTATATATTAACTTTTAAGTTTAACTATTAGGCACTTTGCAGTTGTTTTGAAAACATATTAAATAATTTTTAGTCATAAAACTTTCTTTAATTGAAATTTTATTTTATAATTATTAAAGTTTAGTGAATTAGTGTACAATTATTGATATCGATAAGTGTTTGCAATTAAAGTAAGTTTTATTAATTTAAATTATTTATTATTATAATTATAATTATTATTATGTTTATCTTATAATAATTAGAAAATTTTAGAAATTATAAATTTATATTAGAATTATAGTGAATATTGTGTATAAATATATATTTTATAATTATTATTATTATTATTATTAATATGTTTATCTTATAATAATTAGAAATTTTTTAAAAATTATAAATTTAAATTAGAATTAGAATATTGTGTATAAATTTCAACTAAAATATATTTTTTTATTGTTGAAAAAAACTAGTTTCTAAGTAATACTATTGAATAATAATAATAATGGCATCAAATAAGACATTAAATTCTTCGCCATCAAAGACTACTGTTGTACTCACGAGTGATGTCCTCACATATACGCCATCCGATGAGATCAGAGATTGGATTATATTATTGATGTCTTTCTTAACATTTTTGTTGGCACTTATTGGCAACATTTTCATCTGTCTGGTCGTCTATAATAAGATAAAGTTAAGATCAACCACTTATCTATTGATAGTAAATATAGCCATTTCGGATCTCATAGGCGGTATTGTCATAACCAGTCAGTGGCTATTTTATTCGACATGGGCACTGGTAGTCAAAGAGTCTGCACTCTAGTTAAGTCATTGCAGATACTATCCTATTATGTGTCGATAGTCATAGCCATAGACCGATATCGGCTTATATGTAAGCCATCGGTAGCGCGTATGGAACCGCTAATACCGATACTAATCACTTGGATATTGGGCTCCATATTCACGGCGACCACCTTATACTCGATACGTGTTTCGGAATATTTTTCGCCGATTCAGGTAATCAAACAATTGCCACAAAAATAATAATTTAAATTAAAAATTATTTCAATCACTGTTAGGGGCCAATCGGTTGTCGTCTATTATTTGCATCCAATATAAACTTTCAGCCAATATTTGATACCACTGTCCCTAATCGGCTATTTCTACGGTATGGTCATGTATACAGTATGGAAAAGGGAACGGGTGTTGGGCAGCAATGGTGGACGGGAAGGGTTGAACACAAACAGAAACAGTGGTAAACAAAAGTTGTTTAACCGGAATAAAAAACGTATGATAAAGATGTTGATGACTGTTGTGGTGGTATTTGCTGTCTCGTGGTTTCCCACACATCTCGAATACTTTCTAACGTTTGTCATTAATGACATAACTGTCCACAACATGTCGATGACAACCAATCAATGCAAAGTATCCATAGTTTATATACTATGCAATTGGCTAGAAATTAGCAGTTGTTTCTACAATGTGTTCATCTATTGTTATTTTAATCATGATTTCCGATCGGAAGCCATCCGATACTGGAATTGTATGATACATAAGGGTTGTTATTGTTTTCAGATGGCTTTACCAGCACCGGGTGCTGATTCTTTGTCGTCATCATCGGATAATACCAACAGTGGTGCCACAAATACTACTAAATAGTAATAATAATAATAATAATAATAATAATAATAATAATTGTTTAACACAAACATAGTTATCAACTATTATAATACTGTATATAAAATAATCAGTATATAATAAAATTCAGCAGAAATTAAATAAATCACTAAAAAAAATCAATTGAAAAATAAATTATATTAAAAAATAAAAGTTTATTACATCTATTACTGGATTGTCATCTCTCTCTCTCTCTCTCTCTCTCTCTCTCTCTCTCTCTCTCTCTCTCTCTCTCTCTCTCTCTCTCTCTCTCTCTCTCTCATCAATAAATAAGACTATTTTTTTTCTCAACTCCAAATACAATATTTAATTGTAAAAACTGTATACCAATTGACATTACAATTTTATAATAATAATAATAATAGATTTTATTTAATACATGACTTATGTAAATATTACTTTTGTTTATATTTAATTAAAAACCGTATTTATTTATATAATTTTTTTATATAATTAAATTTATGTTTCAAATCAAGATTATGTATTATAATTATTTTATTGAATAAAAATATCGATTAATAATATTATTATTATAAAATTAATTCACTAACACATTATATATTATAATATAATTTTCAATACTAAACAAATACAGTAATAAAAAACAATAAATAACTAAAAAAACTATTTAAATTGAATTACACTTAAATGTCTAATTTTGATGATTTATTTTTTTTATAATAAAAACTACACGTGTATTTACTTTAAACAAAATAAAATTTAGAAAAAAAATATTTAATAAAAACTTTGTATTAATAAATTGAAAAGTAGATAATATCAACAAAAATTAAAATAATAATAATATAAAATAATTAATAAGTTTACTAATAATTTAGTATATGTACACTAAATATAATTAATATTATATAATTATTATAATAGTAATAATAATGAAATTGACATTTAAAATGTGAACTAAAAATATATAATAGTAAATGTTTTTTTAAAAATCAATTAAAACTTATTTCAATCACTGTTAGGGACTAATGGGTTGTCGTATGCTATCTGCATCCAATATAAACTATCAATTACTTAGATTGCAGGCAGTAGTCAGCACTTTCAGCCAATATTTGATACCACTGTCCCTAATCGGCTATTTCTACGGTATGGTCATGTATACAGTATGGAAAAGGGAACGGGTGTTGGGCAGCAATGGTGGACGGGAAGGGTTGAACAGAAACAGTAGTAAACAAAAGTTGTTTAACCGGAATAAAAAACGTACGATAAAGATGTTGATGACTGTTGTGGTGGTATTTGCTGTCTCGTGGTTTCCCACACATCTCGAATTATTTCTAACGGTTTTCATTAATGACATACCTGTCCACAACCAGTCGATGACAACCACCGCCACTATCGACGAATGCAAATCCATATTTTATATGATATTCAATTGGCTAGAAATTAGCAGTTGTTTCTATAATGTGTTCATCTATTGTTATTTCAATCATGATTTCCGATCGGAAGCCATCCGATACTGGAATTGTATGATACCTAAGGGTTGTTATTGTCTTCAGATGGCTTTACCAGCACCGGGTGCTGAGTCGTCGTCATCATCGGATAATACCAACAACAGTGGTGCCACAAATACTACATCTAATAATAATAATAATAATTTTTATTGTTCAACACAAGTATAGTTATCCAACTAAAATATCATATTAAGATTATACAAGATATCATATTATAATATATTATGATTCATAATACTGTAATATAAAAGGTATAATAAAAATCATAGAAATCAAAAAATAAATTATATTATACTCTCTCTCTTTCTTTCTTTCTTTCTTTCTTTCTCTCTCATCAATAAATAAGACTATTTTGTCTTTAAAATAACTCCAAATACAATATTTAACTGTAAAAAACTATATACAATTGACATTAAATTTTTTTTATATAATAAATTAGATTTAATACATGACTTATATTAATATTACTTTTGTTTTTATTTAATAATTAAAAATCTTATTTATTTATATAAAAAATTTTAGCAAATTATGTATTATAATTATTTTATTGATTAATGATATCGATTAATAATAATGTTATTATTTTTAAATGAATACACTAACACATTGTATGTTATAAATTAACTTATAATATAATTTTTCAATACTAAACAAATACAGTAATAAAAAAACAATAAATAAAGATTTGTTTAAATTGAATTACACTTAAATGTCTAATTTTGATGATTTTTTTTATAATAAAAACACGTGTATTTACTTCTAAAAAAAATCAAATTTTAAAAAAATCAAATAAAAACTTTGCATTAATTAATTAAAAAGTAGATCATATCAACAAAAATTAAAAAAATAATAATATAAAATATCTAATATATTAAATTATTAATAAGTTTACTAATAATTTAGTATATGTATAAAAAAATATAATTTAATAAAAGTATTATATAATTAGTGTAATAATAATGATAATAATGAAATTGACATTTAAAATATCAACAAAAATATATATAATATTAATTTTTTTTAAAATTTCAATAATAATTTAATATATAAAACAAACAAAAAACAAATATTTAAATAAAATTTTTATTACTAGCAATAATTTATATTATTATTATTATTTTTACTGTATATTAACTTTTAACTATTTAACTATTAGGCACTTTGCAGTTGTTTTGAACACATATTAAATAATTTTTAGTCATAAAACTTACTTTAATTGAAATTTTATTTTATAATCATTAAAGTCAGTTAAAAGTAGTGTACGATTAATATCGATAAATGTTTGAAACTGAAAGTAAGTTTTTAAATTTAAATTATTTATAATTATTATTATAATTTTGTTTATCTTATAATAATTATAAATTATATTATAATTATAGTGAATATTGTGTATAAATTTTTAACTAAAATATATTTTATTTTTGTTGAAAAAAAACTAATTTCTAAGTAATACTATTGAATAATAATAATAATAATAATAATGGCATCAAATGAGACATTAAATTCTTCGTCATCAGCGACTATTGATGTCCTCACGAGTAGTATCACATATACGACATCCGATGAGATCAGAGATTGGATTATATTGTCGATGTATTTCTTAACATTTTTGTTGGCACTTATTGGCAACATTTTCATCTGTCTGGTCGTCTATAATAAGATAAAGTTAAGATCAACTACCTATACGTTGATCGTAAATATGGCCATTTCGGACATTATCGGCGGTATTGTCATACCCGGTCAGTGGCTATTTTGTTCGACATATATGCTAGACATGGGCACTGGTAGTCAACGAGTCTGCAGTCTAGTTAAGTCATCGCAGACACTGTCCTATTATGTGTCGACATTTTCGATGACAGTCATAGCCATAGACCGATATCGGCTTATATGTAGGCCATTATTGCCGCGTATGCAACCTCTAAAACCGATAGTGTCCATCTGGATAGCGGGTACTGTATTCACGGCGACCACCTTATACTCGTTACGTGTCTCGGAATATTTTTCGCCGATTCAGGTAATCAATCAATTAATCAATTAAATTATATATTAATTAAAAAAAATTATTATAAAAAATATAATAAAACAAATCAATTATACTTTTTAATCTCTCTCTCTCTCTCTCTCTCTCTCTCTCTCTCTCTTTCTCTCATTTATTAGGGACTAATCGGCTGTCGTATGCTATTTGTATCCGATAAAGGTTTCCAATTGATTACTATACGTATAGTATTGGTCACTATTACCCAGTACTTGATACCACTGTCCCTAATCGGCTACTACTACAGTATGGTCATGTATACGGTATGGCAAAGGGAACGGGTGGGCGCAGCCAACACAGCCACCGCCGGATTAGTCGACAAGACAAAGACAAAGTTGTTTAATGCCAATAAAAAACGTACGATAAAGATGTTGATGACTGTTGTAGTGGTATTTGCTGTGTCCTGGTTTCCCACACATCTCGAATACTTTCTAACGTTTGTCCTAAATGTCATACCTGTCCACAAGTCGACGACCACCACGACAACCACCACCATCACTACCAACCAATGCAATACATCGACATTTCATATGTTTAGCTATTGGCTAAAATCTAGCAGTTGTTTCTACAATGTGTTCATCTATTGTCATTTTAATCATGATTTCCGATCGGAGGCCATCCGCTACTGGAACTGTATGGTACCTCAAGGTTGTTGTTGTTGTCTTCAAATGTTGTATTTGCCAGCACCGGGTGATGAATTGTCTACAACATCCAAACCATCAACCGATGATACCATCAAAACCAGTGGTACCATAAATCATTCAACTATTCAAACTTTTACTACTACTACTACTAAAACTTATGGATCAACTATACAGTAGTTTTCATATATACAGTATATATACTAACTGTATATATATATCATATTATTATACCAATAACTACAACCAAATTAAATTAAAAGTTTGTGTGTTTTTTATAATTTATTAATGTTTTTCTTTATAATTATTATATATATTATATTTATAGCACCATGGTACTATTATATATAAAGTCATCATCGGATAATACCCAGTGATGTCATAAATAAGACAACTATTAGTATATAATAATAATAATAATAATAATAATAATAATAATAATAATAATAATAATAATAATAATAATAGTAATAGTAATAATAATAATAATAATAATAATAATAATAATAATAATAATAATACTTATGATTCAACACTAGCCGTGTTGTCATTTCAATTTAATTAAATAAAAGTTAAGTTATTATTTATTTATTATTTATTTTTTAAAAAAGTATGGATTTTTCCTAAATTTAATTATTTATTCAATTATTTGTGTAATTATTACATGTACATGTACATTAAATAAAATATGTATATTTAATAATAATGTGATATATTATATATAGTACTTGAAAACAGTTTTTATTAATATTTATATTAAATTTATTCAGATATTATTAGTATTTTTTTTGTGTCAATCAATTATCTACTAATTTATATTTATATTAATAGATATCAATTCAAAAAAAAACAAAATTGTTTAACAAATATGTTACTTTATAATAATATATTACAATATCTAATACATTATAATATAAACATTGGATTTGTTTTTATAAATATAAAAAAATACAATTATTAATACTAAAATTATTAAGTAAAACTATAATTTAATTTTATATAATATTTCAAATTAATTTAATTTAATGAATTAGTAGTTAGTTTTATATGATTTACAACAATATATTACATTTTATTTGTCCAAATATATATCAATATATACTGTATATATTGTAAGTATAACATATAATGTAAGTGTATAATAAAGTAATTGAATTAATTGGCAATTATTATATTAAATATAAATATTATATGTATATATAGTTTTCCACTACAAAAAAATATAATTAGAAAAAGTTATTAAAAAATTATACAATAAAACTAATTTATTTGATATATATATATAAATGTTTATATGGTTTATGATAGCTCTCAAAGTACTATCATATAAATATCATATTAAAAATAATTGATTAAAAAAACTCATAATTAGTTTTGATATATTTAAACTTTACTTTTAATTGTAATTATTATCAATTATTTTTAGAAAAAAATATGAATGAAAATTTTGTTTATAGTTATTTATAGTAAGAAATATTAATAATCTTGTAAAATAATATATGAAAATTAATAAACTATTATTTAATTTACTATTTTCTGATATATTGCTAATTGATTTAATTTTTTTTGATAATAGATTAATTTTTTTTAGTTTACTCTTTGACTATTAATATTATAATACAGTATAAATGATTTATAATAATAATATTAAATAAAATAAAGTATAAGAAAATTTTCAGAATAACTATAAACTTTAAAATCTTATGTTAAAAAAAGTCTATTATTATTATTATAATGATTACTAAAATTAATTTTTTTTAACATATATTAAAGATAATCACTTTGGATGATATCCTATTAAATAATAAAAAAATATATTTTTTTAAATGAGACAAAATTTTATCTCAATCTATAATAAAACGGGATATTTATAGTCCAATCTATTGACAGTTTAAATCTATTGACTCGTATATGACATTTGGTCTAAATAATGATAAATCAAATGATAAATATCTGACTCTATATTATTAATCACTTATATATTATATATATATGAAACCATAATCGTGTTGGACATCAATTAATAGATATAATAAAATATATTGAAAGCAACAATTTGTATTGTGGGAGTAAATATTGATTAATAATTTTTTTTGGTGTATTTATACTGTATATATCATATATATATATATTTATATCAATAAAGGGGTATTATTCATCAAATAACAGTTTATTTATAATTTTTTTAACAATTTCATTGATGAAAAAAATTAATTAATTACTAATTTATTTTATTTATTTTATATAAATGAAAAGTTCAATGTTATATTAATAATAATACTGTATTACAATATTAATAAGTAATGTTACTATTTATATATATAAGTAGTTATTATTATTATAATAATATTAAATGTTTATCTTTATAATTGTATCAAAAATTTTTTTATACATGAATTAATCACACCAAACAAAAAACATTTTATTTTATTACACATTATATTATATTTTATAACATTATTATTATTATCAAAATAAAACTGTATTATACAAAGTGTAATGTAATTCACTAGAGATTTTTTTAATAAAAAAAATTATCTTAAAGTTTTGAAAACGTATGTTTATTTTCTGTTAATTTATTGACACTTTAAATAGCAATTCACAAGTGTATTATCAAATATATTCAGTACTAAAATTTTTTTTTATTATGTATTATTGTTGAATTGTTAACTTTTTTTTATATGATAGTTTGTTTGTCATATCCATTCAATATAATGTATATAAATTTATATATAGTATAATAATAATAATAAGACAATATTTACATTTAATTAACAACAATAACTTTTTAAACATTTATTTGCTAAATGTGTGAAAACCCAACTTTTTTTTAAAAAAATTTTGTTAACAATATTTTTATATATATATATATAATTGTATTCAAGGCTAAACATACTTATTGTCAAAATTATTACATAAAATAAATAATTTTTATTCAATATTTACTACCAAACTAAAAGTTTTTAGTTTATTATATAATAATAATAATATATACTGTACGTACATATGTATATAAATTTTTAAAATAATTATCATATTATGTATATATACACAGTATATAATATGATAATTATTTTTGTTTTATTGCCAAAAATAATTGATTAGTTTTATCTATTTTTGAATATATTTATATGACATTTAAAAATAGTTATATTTTACTACTCTATGTATATATGAATAAATAGTTTTTAACTAAAATAAATAAAAAACAATCGGATTTTCGTAAAATCCTAGTTTAGATTTTCCGGTGTTTTTAAAAAAGGAAATGATATTAAAGTTTTTTTTTCTGAAAATTTTTTTTTATATAATTTTCTATTATATATATATTAAATATGCGGAATAGTAATAATCATAATTTATTGAAAAATAAATAATAGGTTTTTAAGTAGTAATAATAATAGTTATTATTATTACTACTACTTAATAGTAATAATGGCATCAAACGAGACATTAAATTCTTCGTCATCAACGACTAATGGTGTCCTCACCAGTGATTTACTTACATATACGACATCCGATGAGATCAGAGATTGGATTATATTGTCGATGTATTTCTTAACATTTCTGTTGGCACTTATTGGCAACATTTTCATCTGTCTGGTCATCTATAATAAGAAAAAATTAAGATCAACCACCTATAAGCTGATCGTAAATATGGCCATTTCCGACATTATCGGCGGTATTGTCATACCCGGCCAGTGGCTGTTTTGTTCGACATATTTACTGGACAACGGTTCCTTCAATCATCGACTATGCGGACTGTCCAAGTCGTTGCAGATACTGTCCTACTATGTATCAACATATTCAATGACCGTAATAGCCATAGACCGGTATCGGCTTATATGTAGACCGCTGGCACCGCGTATGCAACCGTTGATACCCATACTAAGCACCTGGATATTGGGTGCCGTATTTACGGCGACCACATTTTTTTCGATGCGAGTATCGGAATATTTTTCGCCGATTCAGGTAATCAATCGATTGGGACAAACATTTTTTAAAAAATCAATTATAACTCTCTCTCTCTCTCTCTCTATCTTATTAGGGACTTATCGGTTGTCGTGTAATATTTCCGTCGGACATAAGTCTGCTGTTAAGAAAATGGCGAGTAATGCTTGTTATTATCACCCAATACTTGATCCCGTTGTCACTAACCGGCTATTTCTACGGTATGGTCATCTATACGGTATGGCAAAGGGAACGGGTGGGCGCCACCGGAGGTGTAGGAGGTGTCGACCAGACAAAGAAAAAGTCGTTTAATGCCAATAAAAAACGTACGATTAAGATGTTGATGACGGTTGTGGTCATGTTTGGGTTGGCCTGGTTTCCCACACAACTCATGCATTATCTTAAATTCTATACCAGTGTCATACCTGTCCAAAAATCATACAACAAATGCAATTCAACTACATTTTATATGCTATGCTATTGGCTGGGTATCAGTAGCTGTTTCTACAATGCCTTTATCTATTGTCATTTCAATAAGGATTTCCGATCGGAGGCCATTGCCTACTGGAACTATCTGGTACCTCAGTGTCTACAGATGGACTTACCAGCACCGGGCGATGAGTCGACATCATCACCGAAACCATCAGCCGATGATACTAGTGGTGCCACAAATCAAACTACTTCTTCTAATACTAATAATAATAATAATTATGGCTCAACACAAGTGTAGTTGTCATATAATTTATATATATATATATATATATATATATATTGATATATAAATCAAATTAATTAATTTTTTAAAAAAGTTTGATTTTTATTATTTATTAGTTTTTTTTAATTATCTTATTAATATAATGTATGTATAATATTATTGTAGATTTTTTTAATATTAAGTTTAATGTATAATTGAAATACTATATATTTCATATCATATCAATAATGATAATATAATAATATAAATATATATTTTTGAAAATTTTATTTTAGATGATATTTCAAATTATAACTAATTTACTAATTAATTAATTAATTGATAGATTAATTTTAGAATTATATAAAAACTTTGTTTTTTATTAACTATAATTACTTTTTATTTATCTATATATAAATTATATATAAATTATATATTATGGTGATGTACAAGTAGTAAATATATAATAAAGTAATTGAATTAATTGGCAATTATTATATAATATTAAAAACACTAATATAATTAGGAAATAATACTTACTATTAATAATATACTTTATACAGTATATATATATATATAAATATGTTTTTATTATACTATATATGGTTTATGATGGTAACCCACTAACAAATAAATATATATTATTAGATAAATATGATATTTAAAATATAAGATCATATATCATATATATATGAGTACAGTATATAATCGATTAAAAACTCATACACTATGAGGCATATATATATATATATACAAAACCGTTAAAACATATTAAATTTACTCATAGATTGTATATTATAGTATAGTTGATAAATAAATATCAACTTATATATATATATATATATATATATATATATATACCTGTACTGTATAAAAATATTATACATTAAATATTTAAACGTATTATTATTATTTATAGGAGTAAAACAAAAACTAATAAACTATTATTATTATTATTGCACACACAATACACAATGTGTGTGTATGTGTGTGTGTGTGTGTGTGTGTGTGTGTGTGTGTGTGTGTGTGTGTGTGTGTGTGTGTGTGTGTGTGTGTGTGTGTGTGTGTGTGTGTGTGTGATATTTATTTATAAAACAAACATAACATTTTGTATAATAGACTTTGAGTTAGTTTAGTAGTTGACAGGTGTGTTGGTTGGTGTGGTTGGTATGGACTTAAACTTTATATTAATTGGTTTAGTCCTCCAAAAAAATATTAAAACCACACTTGACTACAGAAAACTTTTTATTTATTTATTTTTTTTGATGAGTGTTTTATTTTATATATATATATTTATTTTTTTAAAAAATAATTTTTGTGTGTCACTAAGTTGTCATTAAGTAATATTATTAAATTATGAATTTAATAAATAAAATAAATATTTATTTTTTTAATCTAATTTTTAATCTATAATAATAATAATAATAATAATAAAGATTATTTTTTATTAATTTTTTTTTAAATATTTATCAAATATATAATGATATCAAATATTATAATGGATCATCATCTTAATGATGATGATAGTGATAATGGTGTTAAAAATTTGTTTTACATATCGGAGCTGACATACGTGATTATGACAGTCATATTAAGTTTGGCCTCACTGTTGGCCATACCTGGCAACATACTGGTCATACTGGTTGTAATGAAAACACCTGTCCTCCGATCGAAAGCTGTCAATATATTGATTGTTAATCTGTGTGTCAATGATTTGTTGAGTACTTGGATAGACATACCGCTTATGTGGACAATACTGGAGCTAAATTACGGCCGAAGTACTAGTAGTTATCAATCATCGTCATCGTCACCATTGGATTGGCTGTGCAAATGGCAAATATTTATCAACTCATTGGCCACTTGTGGCCAGGCTGTTGCTTTTGTTACCGTCGGTAATAAAAATTATTGTTAATATATATATAAATAAATATTTTTGATATACATATTTTTTTGTTAGCAATGTGAAAAATTTACAACAAAAAAAGTTTATTTTATTATATTTTTTAAAAAATTGTTTTTTTTGTGTGTGTATATCATATACTAATCCCTACCATCACTTAGGTTATGAAAGATATCATACAATATGCAAACCGTTTGATAAGGAAAAGGCTAATCATATAACAAGTATATCCATAGCCTGTTCGTGGCTTATCTCGCTATTCATGTCATTGATTATACTATTATTAGGTATTATATGATAAAAAATATTTTTGCTGTTGAAATATCATTCATTGTTTATTTTTTTCATTAAACTATATTTTAACTAAATTTTTTTTTTAAAATTATTATTTTGATTATATATGAAGTACCCGACACAATAACCTACGAGTTTTGTATGCTATCGACTAATTATACCAAACACGAGGCCATGTCCTTTATAATAGCACCGTTCGGTATCCTATGTTTGGTAATCATCGGATTTTTCTATACAAGAATCGTTTGGTTAGTTAGACGACACTGCAAGACAACAGCTGATACAATCCTAAGAAATGCCGGACCGCCGCTGGTTGTAACGTCAACGGCACCGGCAGCGGCGGCGGTAGCAATCGCCGACCAGTCGTCCACTACCGGCCAGACACCGGTATCTGAACAGCCAATGATGATGCCATCGATTTACGGGGAAATATGTGTAATGAATAGCAAAAACCGATCGCTGGGCAGACGTCGCGTTGAGGCACAGACAGCCAAACGGTCGCTGTTTGTTATCATTACGTTTACCATCATTTGGTTACCGTATCCGCTGCTGGTATTGATTGAAAAACTGTTGCTAATTACTGGTAAACCGATGTCCCATATCTACGAGTCTATCTATGAATGGCAATACTGTGCGCACACCATGTCTTGCCTGTCGGCCGGTCTCAATCCGCTGGTCTACGGGTTGGCCAACAAACAGTTTCGGACAGCTTTTTGCCGTATTTGCCGACATTATTACAAACGATATAAAGACGGAGTTCTTTTCCAATGATTAGACAATTAGATTCATTAATTGAATTAAATACTCATTTTTATATACAGTATATAAAAAAAACTAATGAATTAATTAATGCAATTAAACATAAATTTATTTTTAAATCCCTAATCAATCATTTTTTATCTAAATCTAATTATAATTATATATTATATTTATATTTATATATAGATCACTACTATATTGTATATTATTATATCTAATTATTTATTTATTTGAAAATATTAAATTGAATTAAATTATATATTAATATACTTTATATATATATATTATATTAAACAAACATATCTATAGTATAGACATTAGTGGCCAATAATTGTTGATAGGTTTGGCACAGAGTATCATAGATTTGCTGAAACATTTGGCAATCGTAGACAGCATGGGATGTGTTGGTCCTATCAAACGGTTCCTCAATACAAATGTGTGGCCAATGTTTGCCATTCCTCAGCTTCTTGTCGTACAGATTGGCCGGTGTGACCAGTGAATCGCGATCGATGAGTCGGGCCTTGCGGACACTGATAACCTTCCGATAGTCAAACAGACAATAGTATTTGAAAAAGTTATGAAACAATTGGCCCAATGATTGCAAATTTTGCGACCGAAACACTATCCGTCGGTAATCGTTTAGCTGGAGTTTGGTTACGTCGTCGACAAACAAATGGGGAAAGTCTTGCTGAAGACTCGGCAGGACTGGCGGCCGGCAAACCGATTGCATGAAAAATATGGCCATCAATGATATACTATAGGATGTTAGGGTATTATTGAAACCGGAGTTTATGTTACGACTGCGGGCCCAGAGTTTCAGTGCCAGTATTAGTGGTCCGACACGTCCGTCCATTTGGTTGTACAGCGACAACAAGTGGCTGTTCTTAATGGTAACCGTTCGGTTCAAATTGATATTGACTTCGAGTCCGGAACTGCTGTCGACAAACTTTAATATGGGTACCAGTGCTGGTATCACTTGGGTATGTCTGGATAGGCCGCTGTCATCGATTATCTGTTTCAGTTGATCCAGTTTGACGACTGCCCGATCTTTTAGCAGATAGTTTTCATCGATTTTGTTCGGGTTTCGCGAATCGTATAAAATCAGACAAAAATCCGTATCACTTGATTTGGTACCCATACCCGTAATGGATGAACCAATTAGATATAAGTCAATCTTTTCCGATTTCATCAATTTTGTTGATAATAGCCGATAGAGTTTCTGCCGAAGAACCAGTTTTTGTCTATAGATATCATGTGTTTGCTGTCGCTGTTGATGGATAGACATCAAGGTTATGGTTAGGCCATCCCATAACTGATCGACCAACTGATACTGATTATTGACAACAACAACATTATTAGTAGTAGTATTATTATCGTCATCAGTGGTATCGTAACATTTATTATTAATGGGAGTACTAGTCAATTGTCTATTATTATTAGCTAATTGGTAGTCATTAATTGCAAACATTTTTAATCAAAAAAAAAAATTAAATAAATAAATAAATAATAATAAATCACTTAAAAAAGTGTTTTGTCTTTTATTTTATTTTTTTTAATCAAAATATTTAAGACACAAAACAACAACAAATTAGTTATAAAATTAGAAAATTTTTTTAGATAACTATAATTTTAAACGAATAGTAATCTATTAATAATATTAATAAATAAATAATTATTAATTGTTGTTAAGCACGAGTTTAGGCTATTATTATATTTTTTGTATATATGGCTTAATCATTGATTTTGATTTTTATATTAATATTTAGGAATCCAATCAACAAGTTTTAAGATTATTACTTTCAAATAATTAGTAGTATAATTAATAGATTATCAGATATATATATAATTAATAGATATATAAAGTTTATCAATTATTTTAATTACTTATATACTGTATATATATAAATATTTAAAAAAAATTATTAATACTTAATATTTTGTAATTAATATTATTTATTTTTTTTATAAAACATGAGTATATTTGTACTTTATTATTTACTTTATTATAATATAATGTTTGGATGTTTCACCATTTGATAAGTATTTGGTATATACTATATGATTAAAAACAAATTTTTAGTAGCAAACTATTAAAATGTCATATTATTTCTGATTTAATATATAAATACTAAGTTTAATTAGTTATTAATTAAGTTATTAATAATTAATTAGGTATTTGTCTATAAAAAAAATTTTTGAATGAAAATTGATTGAAATTATTTTTACTTTAAACTTTTTTAAATACATATTTACTAAATGTTTAATTAAATTCTTGAATACTGTTGTATTAGATATTAATAAACAGTTAAATTTATTTATTTTTTGGTAATTAATTTTTATAAATTGTTTACAATATTATTGGGTTTTTAAAAAAAAAAAATAATAATTTGCTTAGTTTTTTAAAGTAAAGTATTATATTTGTTGGATATCAAAATACAGTACCAATAATAATAATAATAATAATAATAATAATAATAATAATAATAATAATAATAATAATAATAATAATAATACTATTGAATATTCAATATAATGTATTTTATATTAATTTTTTTTAATTTCCAAATAATTATTATAAAAACTAAAAAATACTGTATTATATTATATATCTATTATATTTCTAAATGAAAATCACAAAAATAAAACAATATATAAAATTATTAGTAAAACAATATTCTTGTAATTCAATTATGCAATAATTGTAATTTAATATATTTTATTATATAAATATATATTTATAAAATATAATTTATTTATTTCAACATAAATTATTAATACAATGTATTATATATTTATACAGTATTAAATTAATAACTAAATTATGTACATTATTATACTGTTTATATAATTATTGATACTTTTATATTGTATATATATTGTGCAAATTTAATTTATTGTATACATTAAAATTATATCGTTTACTTTATTGTTATTGTTATTATTAGTTTAATAATTATATTCAGTATCTATGCTATTATTACACTTTTTTTTAAAAAAAAAATCTATATAATTTTTATTTTATTTTTTTAAAAATAGTAATAATATACATGTGTAATATCATACATCCTATTATACAATTTATTTTTTTACTAGTAATAGTATCATACTTGTACTGTAAGTTATTAAAAAAAATTAATAATATTTGTTTATATTTTATTATAAATTATATATATATATATATATATATATATATTGAAATTATTGTAATATGAATTTAAAAATTAAATACCCTTGGTAAAAATAGTGATATATATATATATAATTCTATTATTATAATATATACAGTAATAATTTAATTTTTTTTAAATGATAATAATAATGTTTTAAATTATAAATTAATTAATTATTTATTATTGAATATAAAAAAAAAATAAAACAAAAATATAAATATATTTGATAATATTATTAAGGTAAAGGTTAAATAACAACAAAAATAGTGTATATTTAAATATTAAATATTATATTAGTATTAGTATTATTATTACTTATTTTCCTAACTAACTAACTATCGTATTATAAATATTTTGAAATAGTTTGTAATCTAAAACATTGAATCTCTTATTTGTTTTTTTCTCTCTCTCTCTCTCTTTTATTTTTATTTCAATTAAGAGAAAATAAAAATATATATATTTAAATATAAATTAATATTAAGCGACAAAATGTCGCGACATTTGAATAGTTGTCGCACTACTAACACATTAAACTATTAAAAATAATTACAGTATTATTATTATTATTATTATTATTATTGAATAATTAATTAATTTTTTTGTTTTGTTTTCTGTTTTTTTAAGTAATCATTAATATTAATTTATCTTTTATTTTATAGTATAGTGTTTAGTCGCTTAATTTAATTTACTATTCAAGTCATTATGAAAAAAATCAATAGTATAATGATAATATAAAAAAAACTAAATGATCGTAAATCAATTATTGTAATTAGTTTTAATGCTAAACAATTATAAAATAATATATATATATATATATAATATAATATATTAAACAATAAAATAACTAAATCTAACTTATAATTAATTCCAGCATTAGATATATCAATATATAATTAGTTAAAAAATACATTTACTCGTATTTAAAAACAACAAAATAAAAACATTATTATTATTATCAATTACATTTAAAATTATAATTATATGTATATTAATAAATATGTAATACCCAGGGTATCTATTATTTGATATATATATATATTAATAATATACAGCAGGTATAGGTTAAACGTATTTATAAAAAAAATTGATATTTAATTTATTATAAAAATAGAAATATGTATGTTTATTCTGTTGAATAATAATAATAATAATAATAATAATATTGTTTTTTTTTTGTTCAAATATTTGTTTTGTCACAAATTTACGTCAGTGTCTACTAATATAATCGTATTATTATTATTATTATTGAATTGAAATGCATCCAAAAAAAACCTCTATATAATTGTTTTTTATTTATTTGTTTTTTTTCTGTGTGCTATGAATTACTTGTTAGTAATATACAGTTTTTTTAGATATATACATGTAATGAATACATATAAATGAAATACATATGAAATGCTTAGAGAAATAAATATAATAATAAAACAAAATTTATCAATTCATTGGAGATATATTTATGTATATATATATATATTTATTAATAATACAGTAAATATTAGCTAAATATCATATAAATAATATATGATATATAATAATAATAATATCATAATGTTGTGATGTAATTAATAATTATTAGCAGGCGTTTTTGGCTATCTATCCGACCTTTAAATAATAATAATAATAATAATGTAAACCCTTTTTAATATATTAAAATATAACTGTATTACTATATCATATATGTTTCACTATATAATTATTTTTTAAAAAATATTTTTATTTAACGACATTAATGTGTTAATACATTTTCTCTGAGGCTAATTAAAAACAATCATCATTTACTGTATTATTATTATATCAATATTTTTTTATACAGTATTTTTTGTTGTATTAACTGTTAGATCATATTTATCGCATTTTTTGTTATTTAGTTTTTTAAAAAAAATTAAGTAACTTATTAGTTAAAACAGTTATATATAAAAAAAACTACCGGTAATTAATACTGTCTCTAGCAGTAGATAAATAATAATTATATTATATATATATATAAACAAAATTCTTTGAACTGTTTTTTTTTAAAATGATCTATTTTTATGACTAAAATTAAAAAACTTAAAAACAAATTTTTTTAAAAACAAATCTGCAACCATGCGTTATCATATCAAACTAATTATTGCTATCATTAATATGCAATTCATTACATTGTTTACTAGCAAAACAAAAAAATATTTAAGTAATCTCTCTCTCTCTCTCTCTCTCTCTCTCTCTCTCTCTCTCTCTCTCTCTCTCTCTCTCTCTCTCTCTCTCTCTCTCTCTCTCTCTAATTATTCACACTTTTTTTTCTTAATAAATATTTTATATATATATATCATATGATATAATGATAAACATATATTAAGATACAGTGTATATATATACAGTATAAGTATAGTACACGTGTTTATCTCTTATCTATTTATGAGAAATATAATAATAATAATAATAATAATAATAATAATAATAATAATAATAATAATAATAATAATAATAATAATAATAATAATAATAATAATAATAATAATAATAATAATAAGTATTTATAATATACTTGAAATAATAATAATAAGTATTTATAATATTCAAAATATTTTTTTTTTTATTACTCCACGAGTTATTTTTATTTGATTAATAACAACAACAACGACATTCATATTAAACAATTGATAATTTTATTATATAATAATTAATTTGTTATATATGTACTGAATTAATATACATAATATTTATGATGATATAAAATTAATTTCCAAGTATTAAGCAAACAAAATATTATTATTATTATGTTTAATTAATTATTATTTATGTGTCAGTTAACCTATAATTATCATAAATGAATCATTGGTCCAATTATTTATATATTTTATTTTATTACCTAAACGTGTCGATTCTGGTAAATAAAATTATCATGGATGTTTTTTTCTATTTTGCATTTATTCTAAGTTATAATACAAATAATAAAATTATATTACAAATGACAAAAATTTTTTACTATTGTTATATAAGGTTTTATATTATTATTAATATATATTATATATATATATTGATATTGATATTTAATGACATTCAGTATACACTGTATATAACTGTATACATAAAAGTAATAGTTATGTTAAAGTTTATATAATCTAATTTAATATAAAATGGTTAAAAATAACTAACTAAGTATCTATCTATCTATCTATTAATAATAAAATAATAATAACACAATTATTATGCTATGACATAATTGGACAAATGCTATTAATATAAAAAAATATATTATATTATTATTTAGTAGTAACTAATGTACTATTTTTTTCTACATAATATACTGTATATATATATATATATATATATATATATATATATAAATAGCAGAAAAAAAATAATTATTAAATTGTAAGTAAAGTCGTTAAAAAAGTTTTGTATAAAATAATAATATCATAATATATATAAATATATTGTTAGTTAAATGCTTTATAAATGACGTATTCATATTATAATAATAATAATAAATATTAAATATCAATTGTGTTTGGTTAAAATATATAAATTTTATATTATTATTATTATTATTTTAACGTATTATTATTATAATTATTTTTTTAAGTAATAATTTTTCAATATTCAAGGACTAAGAAACATAGATAGATAGATAGATAGATAGATAGAGAGAGAGAGAGAGAGAGAGAGAGAGAGAGAGAGAGAGAGAGAGAGAGAGAGAGAGAGATATTCTCGTGACTCCAGAAAACATCTGATATCACAGAAAATATTTAGTGAAAAAAAACTAAATAAAAAATTTTTGTTTCTCTTTTCATTTGAAGGAGACTTTCAGATGATATTATTTATACATAATTTTTTGTTTGTTTTTATTTTGTTTGTTACTTATATGAAAATCACACAAACTCTCTGATAATTTCATATATACTGTATATAAATATGTTATTACGTATACAGAGAAATAGAGTGAAATAACTTATTTAAAAAAAAAATTAAGTGCTAATAAACAAGTGCTTAATATATATATATATATATATATATGTTTACATGTATATACATATACATATTTATATATATATATATAATTAATATACATATATATACATGTATATATAAAATGCCAGTCATTAGACTATTACAATATATATATATTTATATATATACAATAATTTATATATATATTAATATACAAACTCTAACTATTGCTTTATTAGAAGGGCGTCTAACTGGCGACTAAAATATACACTCCATAATAATTATCATTTTTTATATATATTTTTATTTTATTTTTACGTTTATATTATTATTATTTTTTAATGACACTATTAATTTTTCAATAGTATTTTACTTGTATAATATATATAATATATATATATACAGTATATATGATATACCAAATTAGTATTATGATATGATTTTGAATGAAAAAAAAATTAAAATAATTTTTTTTATGTTCCCTTTTTTCTTTAATATTATTAAATACAACAACAACTACTACTACTACATAATTGATTGAAAAAAAACTTTTCCTTTAAAATTTATTATTATTATATATATTATATAAAATATAAATTTATACCACTACTACTACTAGTAAAAGTTATTGTAATTTATTATTATTATTATTGCTATTGCTATTAAATATATATCAATGGTATATCAAACTACTTAAACTATATATAATAGATATATAGATATATATATTCACATGATATGTCATGTACTGGTAATATCGTTATAATATAATAATCTATAAATGATATATACAAGTAATATAAGTGTTTTACATTAATTTTCAAGTTTTTTTTCACAAAAGTGTTAACACGAAAAAAAACTTTTATTTTTGTGTGTGAAATATCAATACTATTGCTATATTACTGATATCGCGCAGCTAATTGATATCATTTATATATATATATATATATATATATATATATATATTTCCAAGTATTGCACATTAGTTTTTCAAAAAATAATCAAATGATTATTCACACACAAAACTACAGTATTATCGTCAATGTCTTGCATAATATTGGTTTCAATATAAACATACAATATATACAGATATATATATACAGCATATTTGACTATACATACAGAATATTTAGTATATTATAAAAATAGTATTTGACATTTGGGTTTGTTATGTCATATGAAATTTTTTTTAACAACAACAACACAGTGTGTGTGTGTCATCACAAATGCCAGTCTCATCTAAAAAAACTAAATTTTAAATTTATTAATATATAAAAAACAAATTAAAGTATGATATATGATATATATATATATATTAATATAACACATATAAAAAATTATTATTACATATTAGACTTGTTTAAAAAGTTTATATTAAAAAAATGCTATTTTTAGAAATTATAATAATAATAAAATATAATATAATATAAAATCAAGATAGCAAGTTGCTAATAATAAATAATTTATAAAATATATATAACATGATAGTTTATTATTATTATTATTATTATTATTATTATTATTATTATAATAATTGTTATATATCTAAGTTATTGTATAGTTCATTTGTGGAAACTATTTTTTTCATTATTTTTTGATTAAACTCACAAAAAAACTTTTATCAACTTTTTTTTTGCAAATCATAAAAACTTTTTATATTATAGATAAAACAAAACACAAAAAAAAATTCTAATGAAATGCTTTTTAATATTAAGTTATATTAATAAAACTTTTATATTTATAAAACATTGTACACAGGGGTTAAACTCCACATTTATTTTATTTTGTATATTATATATTTAAAATATATATATATATATATATATTAATATACTGTATATATAATTAAATAATTTTTTTATTGATATTATAAAAAATAAACTAAAAATGATATTGAAAATAATGTTAAAATAAATTTAAAAAATAGTAACAAGTTTTTATATAAAAAATTATTATAATTATTTAAAAAAAAAACAATTAATTTAAGTAATAAATGTTATATAAATTTTGGAATTTTTTAGCATGCTCACCCACCTAGAATAATAATAATAATAATAATAATAATATATTATCATAAATTACGTTTTTTAGCGTGTCATAAATAAATACCTACCCACCCACCCACTCACCCAAGTGGGTTGAACATGTTTAAAACAATGTAGATGTAGTACTATGTATCAATGTGTATTATAAACTGTACATATTTTTTTTAAATATTTTAATAAAAACTTATATAATCATGTACACTGTATAGAGTGTTAACTGTAGTAAATAGTAGTAACAACTAGTATTGCCTAGTAGTAGTAGAATAGCTGAATCATATATTTGTTGAAATAGAGGATTTTATACCCCTTTTTATTTTTTAAAAAATATTTTCCTCCCCCCGTTCCCAGAAAAAAAATTATTTTTCATATTTTTTTTAATTAGTAATTGTTTACAGATTTCAATATTAAAGTGTAATTTCTTCTTAAAATTTAGAATTTCATTTTATTTTATTTTTTGTTGTAATTATTTATTATGTCATCATAACATCAATCAGCATAAAAATAATAATAATAATAGTTGGAAAAAATGCAAAATATTAATTTAAATGACTTTTAAAAAAAATTAAAAAATTATTTAATTTCCACACACACACACACACAATAAAAAAATCAATTATATTCTATACAATTACTATACATATATATTATAATATTAAAATTATTCTACTAATTATAATTAATTATTTAATTTAACAAAATTGTTTTATTATTTTATTAATAATTATTATTTCCACCAATACTATAGAAATACATGCATAAAAATATTAATTATTATTATTATTATTAATATTATTTCCAGTGAACTAACTGGACAGTTGGCAATTCTATATTAGTATAACAACTATAATATACAACTATACAGTAGTAGTAGAATTGATGCGTAAGAATGCGCACCAAATACTACACACATTTTCAGAGAGAGAGAGAGAGAGAGAGAGATGACTGACTGACTGTGAGAGAGAGAGGTATAGTAGTAGTAGTACTACACACACAACACAACACAACACAATTGCAGAGAGAATTACAAGTCATTTAATATAATAATACATACTTTTAGTACTGTCTGTACTGTATGTATATGTAGTGTATATGTGACTCAATATATATATATATATATAACAATACATATATATTAAGCATATTATAAAGCATTTGATTGTATACAACACATACACTCAAACACACAGTGTATACACAACAACATCACTGACTGATTGATTGCTTCAGAGACTGACTATCTGTGAGTCAAACAATATATATGATATAACCATTGAATTGATCTGTTAATTGATCCGCCAATTGATCCACCAATTGATCCACCAATTGATCCACCAATTGATTTGTTGTTGTCATCATCCGATTTGAATACCACTAACCATCACTAGACACACACACACACATCATCGACAAGGAAGTGATAATCAATTGATGGTTTGAAAAAAAATAAATCTGCAGACAATTGATGGCTAATAATATCGTTAAAGACATTGCGATTGAATTATCAAAACAACAACAACAACGACAACAATACCAGTGTTGACAACAAATGTCACAAAATGTGTGCTCAAACAACCAGACATCATCATCAACGACAACAACAACAACTACACCAACAAACCATTGTAACCACAATAACCGATTGGAGAAAGAGGAGGACAATAGTGACCACAAACGGACTAATATTATCTCTAATGACAAACAAATCGGCGACAGCAGTGGTCAACAACAACAACATAATTGTTTAGTTAATAGTGATAGTCAGGTAAAGGAGGACATAGTCATCATAGGCGGCAACAGTAGCAGCACTTTCGGTAGTAGTGGTGGTGACAGTAGTGGCCAACAACCAGCCGTACAATTGACTAATTCGGCGTCCGATATGGTTCCGCTAGTGTCGTCCGCCATCGCCGCCGCCACTACCGACAATAACACAGTGGTGGCCAACGGTAATACCAATGGCATGACAAACGGTGACACAAATCAGTCGTCGTCGTCGTCATCGCCGCTGTTTAATGACATTCATCTCATCGACGACAAGAACAACATGAAGAACACTACTATTAATAATATTATTAGTGATAACAATAGTGATCATCATATCATCAGAAACAATAAATTCATTATTCGTAAACTAAATACCATCGATGCTACTAATGAGACCAATTTATGTGATAATATTATTAACAATGATTTAACAATTGTTAAAAGTGATGCTCAACAACAACAACAAAGTCATGTCCACCACAAACAAGAAGAAGAAGTAGTAGAAGAAGAACTGCTGACTAATCATAGTGTCGATAACAATAGTGTCAACAATGGCAACAATAACAACATCAGCGGCGGCGACAACAACAACACTGCCGTCATCAGCAACACCGAGGAGGTGGCAGCGGTGGTGGTGGTGGCCAACAAAGAGGACAAGGAAGAGACAGAGGAGACCGAAGAAACACCGGACGAGGCGGCCGAAACGGCACAGGACTCGTCTCCCGATGATCGGTGGCTAAAATTTGAAGAGATTGGTCGCGGATCGTTCAAAACCGTCTACAAAGGCCTGGACTCGCGGGATGGTGTAGCTGTTGCCTGGTGTGAACTACAGGAACGGCTCAACAAGAACGAGAGGCAACGATTTCGCGAAGAAGTGGAAATGTTGAAAGGTTTACAACATTCAAATATTGTCCGCTTTTTCGACTACTGGGAAGTAAATACACCGAAACGTAAATATCTTGTTTTGATTACCGAACTGATGACTTCCGGAACGTTGAAAACCTATTTGAAACGATTCAAAAAAATCAATCAAAAAGTACTGAAAAGCTGGTGCCGACAGATACTGAAAGGTCTGAATTTTCTACACTCGCGTACGCCGCCGATAATACATCGCGATCTGAAATGCGATAATATATTCATTACGGGAACTACTGGATCGGTTAAGATTGGCGACTTGGGTTTGGCCACTTTGAAAAACCGATCGTTTGCCAAAAGTATTATCGGTACACCCGAATTTATGGCACCCGAAATGTATGACGAACACTACGACGAATCAGTGGATGTCTATGCGTTCGGTATGTGTCTGCTGGAGATGGCTACCGGTGAGTATCCCTATTCCGAATGTGTTGGACCGGCACAGATCTACAAGAAAGTATCGTCGGGTACGCCGCCGTTAAGTATAACAAAAGTCGAAACACCGGAAGTCAAACAGATCATCGAAATGTGTATACAAGTGAAGAAAGAGGACAGACCTACAGTGAAGGATCTGCTGAAACATGATTTTTTCGAAGAAGATACCGGTTTTAAGATTGAATTTTGCGATCGGGATCAAAGTGTATCCAATTGTGACTCAAAAGTCGAGCTCAGACTTCGCGTAACCGACGCTAAGAAACGAAAACATAAGGAGAACGAAGCCCTTCAGTTCTACTTCGATATCGACAACGATTCCGTCGATGATGTGGCCAAAGCTCTGGTCAGTTGAAAAACAATTTTTTTTAATTTATGTATAATTGTCTTCAATATTATTAATATATATTTGTGTTACACTACTATTACTTCCTAATATCAAGTAATACCAGTCCTTCAATAGTAGGGTATTATTATTATTAACTTAAAAAAATTAATAATAATAATAAATACACAGTATATCGGGGACACACAGATTACACACCACACCATCGTTAGTCTAGTTTTGTTTTTTTTCTCTCCTTTTAAATATTATTAGTATTTTTGATTTGGCATTGATTTCGCAATAATAATGATAATCACTTCACTTATTCTCTCGTTTGGTCTAATTATAGACTCTTTTTTTAAATATGTATAGTCTCTCTCTCTCTCTCTCTCTCTCTCTCTCTCTCTCTCTCTCTCTCTCTCTCTCTCTCTAATATATACTGTATATATATATATATCTTTCCTTCCTTATCTCTCTCTTCCTCTCTCTCTCTCTCTCTCTCTCTCTCTCTCTCTCTCTCTCTCTCTCTCTAATGAAACTATAAATTGTATATTTATTTATAAATTCAATGCCCCGAACCCATCACTGCTGCCTAATATCCATGGCTTTACAGTGAGTGAGTGAGTGTGTGCTCACAATTAGCCGACAATCTTGACTTAGATTTATAGTATACTTATATATCATTTTTTATTTTATTTTATTTTGATTCCCCAGTTATTAATAGTCATCAATTAAATTAGTATTACTGTATTTAAAAAAATATTACTGCTATTATAGCTATATTTTTTATTTATTTGTTTGTTAAGTTTAGTTAGATTTGATTATAATATTAAGATTATTGTTTTTTATTATATATATATATTGCTATTAAAATGCATATATAAGCATAAAAACGGGTAAAATATATAGCTGTAAGCCATTGACTTCAATATTATTATTATTATTAGTTTACTGTACACTCAGACAGTACACATTTTTTGAAGTCAATGAATCAAAACATTTACTGTAGTTTTTTTACTGTATATTTTAATTATTTTTTTTCTGTTAAGTGTAAAGGGATTGCAGACATAATATATATATATATATATATATATATATATATATAATAAAATACTAGTTTTTTAAGGGGTAGACGACAGCACACTTACTTAAGTCAGTGTAACCTTAAGTTTGTTAAATAATTTGTTTTTTAAAAAATATATATTTAATATTAATGAGACGCCTTTTTTTACTCTTCCATTGTGTTGTGAACCCCCCTCTCAACTCACCACCCCCTTAAACAACCCCAACAACACATATATATATAAATAGGTTGAAACAGGCTTTCTGAGTACGGAAGACGATGTCCGAGTGGTGGCCCAATTGATCCGCAATAATATCTCCGTATTGCTTAAAGATCGGCAACAATATCTCCTCCAACAGCAACAGTCGGCAACTAATCAGCAAAAGTCGACAAAGTTTGAGTTAATACAGAAACTGAAACAACAGTACAAACACGCAGAAAAAATAACAAACGCCAGAGTCGATGATGTATTTACCGCTATTATCGAGAGGTACGGTATATGAGCGCTGAGCTGAGCTTATGTATAGTGAGAAACATAAAAAACAATTTATTATTACTTAAAATGAAATTATTTATGATATATAAGCAGTGATTTAATGGTTGAGATGACTTGCATAACGACTATGTTTTTTTTAAATGAATGTATTTATTATTATTATTATTTTTGTTGTAATTTTTCTTTTCTGGTATTTTTTTTTCTTATTAGACACGAAAGAGAGAGACGAGAGTTAGAGGAAAGACATTTCCACGAATTGAATCTGTTTTTCCTGAAAAAGCATCACTTGAGTAATGAAAACATTTCAAACGATGACAAAACAAATAGTAGTTCCCAATCGGAGACATCATCGACAACACTGAGCGTCGCACAGGAAGCTCATCGACCTCAGAGTCCAACAACGTCTCCCAGTTCTCCAAATAATGAAAGTCAAACCAGCAGTACATGTATATCGACGACAAACCAATTAAATGATGAGTTGTATAAAAAATTGGTTCAAAACCTGAATCCTAAAGCACTGATTGTTAATAATAATAATAATAATAATATTAATAACAATAATATTATTAATAATACCATTAATAATAATAATACAAATAATACTACAAATAATACCAATAATAATACCATTAATAATACCCTTAACAGCGATGATCTGCATATGGAAGAGCTTAACAATAAGCTAAACAATGTTTGTCCCACTTCTTCATCTTATAGTACCAATGATGGCACACAGCCATCGTCTTCATCATCGGCATCATCGGGAACGGGATGTGATATTAATGTCAACAACAACAACAATGCCAACAACAACAGTAGTGGTGGTGGTAATCAACTATCACTAACTGAAACTCAACAACAATTATTAATAAGACGTTCGTCGAGCTGTAGTTGTATTGATAGTAATGCAGAACTATTGTCACCGAAATACTGGTGTTTGACTAACCAGAAGATTAGATTATCAGATGACAAATCATCGGCGGCTGATGTCGTCATACCAGTTGTCGGTGACCAGTCATCGTCATCGTCGTCATCCACATTGGGTATCATCTATAAGAAGAATAATAAGAAGAAGAATACGCCAATAGTTTCATCGATGCCTTCCGTACTAAAGATTGATTCAATGTCTACAACAACGACGATAACCACACCATCGATAGCAACAACAGCAACAACACCGTCGCCGACCACTACCGCCAACACCACCACTACTACTACTACTACTAGTATATCGACCACTTGTAGCGATTCGGGTGCTTATTATACTACAAGCAGTAGCGGATCCAATGCATCCAATAGTAGTTCATCGACTAATAATAATAATAATAATAATAATAATAATAATGCTATTAGTTATGCCATTAATAATAAAAATACTAATAATAAGACAACAATATTAACAACAAAAAAGTAATGCCATTCCTGTATATTATATGTAAAGCTTAAGACAAAAAACAACACTTTTATTACAATAATTATTATTATAATTATCACTCGTATTGTAAATACATTTATAATTATTATTACTATATTTTTTAGTACAATGTTTTTATTATTATTATTATTATTGATGAAAGCCTTACAACAACAACAAAATTGAAGCTTTTTTTTAATTAATTAATTTATTGATTGTTCATAAAATTGTTTGATTTTTATTTCTGGTCAAAACTTAATGCCTTTTTTTATTTTCTACACAAAAAACTAGTTGTCATTTAATTTTTTTTTAATTATTATTATTATTAAATTATTTGTCTTAATTATCCCTATATTTATATATATATAATAAATGCTTATATCACCCAATTTTTTTTATTAATTATAATTTTAATAACCCATTAGTTAATTTTTTTTATTAATTACTTAATAATAATAATGTAAATTATTTATTAATTTTAAAAAACAAAAAAAAACTAATTTAAATCCCAGTTATTTTTTTTAATAGTTTTAACAGAAAGCAAACATTATGTTTAAAATTATTTTAAAAATTTTTTTAATCAATACAATAACAAAATAAGACATTTATATGATATTATATTACGGTATATAAATATTGTGTACATAAATACATCGATGATATTTACATCAAAAAAAAAAAATTTATTTAAATTATATAAAACATTTTCACACAAAAAACACGAAACAAACACTAAAATGTGTTATCATTTTGCTTGGACTGTGATTTTTATATGTAATATATATATATATACTGTATATTGCTATCCGTCGGGTGTGTGACCATCGATGATGAGCCGGCACTGACCCTAAACTTAGTTATATCATACAGTCGACTGTTATCACTATTATTATTATTATTATTATTTCGCTGATAGACTGAAAGTCTTGAATCGGTTGTTAAAAATGATAAACACGACGACAACTGATGGGTTAAATTGATGACCACATCCATCATCGATACCTATTGCTATCGTTGGCCGATATCATCCATATATTGTCATCCAATTGTGGTTTATATATATATATGAAAACATTATACAACTGATTGTCATTGAAAGAGATGAAGAACTGAAAGCCATGGAAAACAACTCCAGAAGATCAATGGTGTGAATATAAAGTGTGAATAAGTTATGTATCCATTTGATGAACAATCAACAGAACCCGATGGCTTGGATCAGATTCAGTAACGATAGTATCAATGCATACATACATATAAAACGATTGTTTGCCTATTGTTTTATTTATATATCATTCAAAAACAATAAAATTATTATTAATTGGTTATCAAATATCATCATTACATCTATAAGACACTATCAACACAACAACAACAACTAGATCTACCACTACTACTACTACAACAACTACTACTCATTTAATTAATGTGCAAACAATTATTTGCTTAATTAATTGATAATTTTAATATATTCAATATATATATATATAATTTTATAAAATATTATATATAAGTTATGATTTATATTATTAACTAAATATAATAGTCATTACCACACATATACTTTAAGAGAGAGAGAGAGAGAGAGAGAGAGAGAGAGAGAGAGAGAGAGAGAGAGAGAGAGAGAGAGAGAGAGAGAGAGAGAGAGAGAGAGAGAGAGAGAGATAGAGAGAGAGAGAGAGAGAGAGAGAGAGAGAGAGAGAGAGAGAGAGAGAGAGAGAGAGAGAGAGAGAGAGAGAATAATTGATTGATAGAGAGATAGTGATATGCATTAGACATATGGAAATAATTAATTAATTAATAAAAACCAATTAATTGGTCCCGAAGTGCAAAACAAATGTATCGATTGAATGATACCTTATTTTATGCAATTCTGTATATTATTATTAATATTATTATTATTTTATATATACTATAAGATCTTATATTATATAATAAGCTGTATATTATATATACATAAATTATTGTATACTTTTATTATATAAAAAAAATAATTAGATTTTTTTTGCCTAAACTTTTTTATATATAACTTAAAAGCACACTAACTAACTAATAGTAGTATAAATTATGTAATATATAAATATAAAAAAATTGATTTTTCTATCAATGGATTTGTGTGACAAACACATGGATTTGTGTGTTGTATGAACTGTCCATATGTCTGACGATTATTATTATTATTATTATTAGAAAAAAGTGTTAATTAATTGATTGATTTTTTAAAATTAAAAATAATTTGTCTTATTTTGTAACAATAAAAAAATATATAAATAAATTGTATGCAATATATTTGTACAAACATAACAAAAAGTTTTTTTTAAATAAAATTGAGGAAAAATAAATGAGAGGAATAAAGACAAGAAATGTAATATTAATTTATAGATATATTTATATATTATTATTGATTTACTGTATAAATGTCTTATAAATAAATGAAAAAATAATTTCAAAAAATATATATATAATTTGTTAATTCATTTACTGGAAACTGGTATTCATGGATCAAATACAGTGATCAATAAATTTTGGTCACAAAAAATAACTAATATTTAAAATTCTAAAAGAAAATTTAAAATTCACAAAAATTAATAGAATTAACTAACAAAAAATTACTTTATCTTAAATAAAACATTTTAACATCATATCGAAATTATTAATAATTAATATCGATGTCATTTTTAGTTGATATAAAAAGTAATTTAAAATAACTTAAAATTATATAAAGATTCAATTATGTTTTTTAATCATTTTCAAAATTGTATTAAAATCAGTTCAATATCATTCAATAAATTATTAAAATGATATTTAAGATTCTTTAAGATAATTACAGAATACATTTAAAATGAGAAAGTTTTCGGAATTCAAGATATCAAATTCGATGTTAATTCAAATTCGATGTTAATTCAAATTCGATGTTAATTCAAATTCGATGTTAATTCAAATTCGATGTTAATTCAAATTCGATGTTAATTCAAATTCGATGTTAATTCAAATTCGATGTTAATTCAAATTCGATGTTAATTCAAATTCGATGTTAATTCAAATTCGATGTTAATTCAAATTCGATGTTAATTCAAATTCGATGTTAATTCAAATTCGATGTTAATTCAAATTCGATATTAATTCAAATTCGATATTAATTCAAATCCGATATTAATTCAAATTTGATATTAAATCAAATTTGATATTAACTAAGTAGAAAATTTTAAATTTTATAAACTCGAAATTAAAAAATTCTTTCAAAACTCGAAATTCAAAAAATTCTTTCAAAATTCGAAATTCAAAGATTCTTTCAAAACTCGAAATTCAAAAATTCTTTCAAAACTCGAAATTCAAAAATTCTTTCAAAACTCGAAATTCAAAAATTCTTTCAAAATTCGAAATTCAAAAATTCTTTCAAAACTCGAAATTCAAAAATTCTTTCAAATCTCGAAATTCAAAAAATTCTTTCAAAATTCGAAATTCAAAAATTCTTTCAAAACTCGAAATTCAAAAATTCTTTCAAAACTCGAAATTCAAAAATTCTTTCAAAACTCGAAATTCAAAAATTCTTTCAAAATTCGAAATTCAAAAATTCTTTCAAAACTCGAAATTCAAAAATTCTTTCAAATCTCGAAATTCAAAAATTCTTTCAAATCTCGAAATTCAAAAAATTCTTTCAAAATCTCGAAATTCAAAAATTCTTTCAAAATTCGAAATTCAAAAATTCTTTCAAAACTCGAAATTCAAAAATTCTTTCAAATCTCGAAATTCAAAAATTCTTTCAAAACTCGAAATTCAAAAATTCTTTCAAAACTCGAAATTCAAAAATTCTTTCAAATCTCGAAATTCAAAAATTCTTTCAAATCTCGAAATTCAAAAAATTCTTTCAAAATCTCGAAATTCAAAAATTCTTTCAAAACTCGAAATTCAAAAATTCTTTCAAAACTCGAAATTCAAAAATTCTTTCAGACATTTCCACGAATTGAATCTGTTTTTCCTGAAAAAGCATCACTTGAGTAATGAAAACATTTCAAACGATGACAAAACAAATAGTAGTTCCCAATCGGAGACATCATCGACAACACTGAGCGTCGCACAGGAAGCTCATCGACCTCAGAGTCCAACAACGTCTCCCAGTTCTCCAAATAATGAAAGTCAAACCAGCAGTACATGTATATCGACGACAAACCAATTAAATGATGAGTTGTATAAAAAATTGGTTCAAAACCTGAATCCTAAAGCACTGATTGTTAATAATAATAATAATAATAATAATAATAATAATAATATTAATAACAATAATATTATTAATAATACCATTAATAATAATAATACAAATAATACTACAAATAATACCAATAATAATACCATTAATAATACCCTTAACAGCGATGATCTGCATATGGAAGAGCTTAACAATAAGCTAAACAATGTTTGTCCCACTTCTTCATCTTATAGTACCAATGATGGCACACAGCCATCGTCTTCATCATCGGCATCATCGGGAACGGGATGTGATATTAATGTCAACAACAACAGTAGTGGTGGTGGTAATCAACTATCACTAACTGAAACTCAACAACAATTATTAATAAGACGTTCGTCGAGCTGTAGTTGTATTGATAGTAATGCAGAATGATAGTTGTCACCGAAGTACTGGTGTTTGACTAACCAGAAGATTAGATTATCAGATGACAAATCATCGGCGGCTGATGTCGTCATACCAGTTGTCGGTGACGACTCTTCGTCGACCTCGTCGTCATCGACATCCACATTGGGTATCATCTATAAGAATAATAAGAAGAAGAAGAATACGCCAATAGTTTCATCGATGCCTTCCGTACTAAAGATTGATTCAATGTCTACAACAACGACGATAACCACACCATCGATAGCAACAGCAACAACACCGTCGCCGACCACTACCGCCAACACCACTACAACTACAACTACTAGTATATCGACCACTTGTAGCGATTCGGGTGCTTATTATACTACAAGCAGTAGCGGATCCAATGCATCCAATAGTAGTTCATCGACTAATAATAATAATAATAATGCTATTAGTTATGCCATTAATAATAAAAATACTAATAATAAGACAACAATATTAACAACAAAAAAGTAATGCCATTCCTGTATATTATATGTAAAGCTTAAGACAAAAACAACACTTTTATTATAATTATTATTATTATTATCACTCGTATTGTAAATACATTTATTATTATTATTATTACTATATTTTTTAGTACAATGTTTTTATTATTATTATTATTATTGATGAAAGCCTTACAACAACAACAAAATTGAAGCTTTTTTTTAATTAATTAATTAATTTATTGATTGTTCATAAAATTGTTTGATTTTTATTTTTAAAATAATTATTTTATTTCTGGTCAAAACTTAATGCCTTTTTTTATTTTCTACACAAAAAACTAGTTGTCATTTAATTTTTTTTTTAATTATTATTAAATTATTTGTCTTAATTATCCCTATATTTATATATATATATAATAAATGCTTATATCACCCAATTTTTTTTATTAATTATAATTTTAATAACCCATTAGTTAATTTTTTTTATTAATTACTTAATAATAATAATGTAAATTATTTATTAATTTTAAAAAACAAAAAAAACTAATTTAAATCCCAGTTATTTTTTTTAATAGTTTTAACAGAAAGCAAACATTATGTTTAAAATTATTTTAAAAACTTTTTTAATCAATACATTAACAAAATAAGACATTTATATGATATTATATTACGGTATATAAATATTGTGTACATAAATACATCGATGATATTTACATCAAAAAAAAAATTATTTAAATTATATAAAACATTTTCACACAAAAAACACGAAACAAACACTAAAATGTGTTATCATTTTGCTTGGACTGTGATTTTTATATGTAATATATATATATATATACTGTATATTGCTATCCGTCGGGTGTGTGACCATCGATGATGAGCCGGCACTGACCCTAAACTTAGTTATATCATACAGTCGACTGTTATCTGTATTATTATTATTATTATTATTTCGCTGATAGACTGAAAGTCTTGAATCGGTTATTAAAAATGATAAACACGACGACAACTGATGGGTTAAATTGATGACCACATCCATCATCGATACCTATTGCTATTGTTGGCCGATATCATCCAATTGTGGTTTATATATATATATATATGAAAACATTATACAACTGATTGTCATTGAAAGAGATGAAGAACTGAAAGCCAAGAAAACCTGTCTCCAGAAGACCAATGGTGTGAATATAAAGTGTGAATAAGTTATGTATCCATTTGATGAACAATCAACAGAACCCGATGGCTTGGATCAGATTCAGTAACGATAGTATCAATGCATACATACATATAAAACGATTGTTTGCCTATTGTTTTATTTATATATCATTCAAAAAACAAAAACAATAAAATTATTATTAATTGGTTATCAAATATCATCATTACATCTATAAGACACTATCAACACAACAACAACTAGATCTACCACTACTACTACTACAACAACTACTACTCATTTAATTAATGTCCAAACAATTATTTGCTTAATTAATTGATAATTTTAATATATTCAATATATATATAAGTTATGATTTATATTATTAACTAAATATAATAATCATTACCACACATATACTTTAAGAGAGAGAGAGAGAGAGAGAGAGAGAGTAATTGATTGATAGAGAGATAGTGATATGCATTAGACATATGGAAATAATTAATTAATTAATAAAAACCAATTAATTGGTCCCGAAGTGCAAAACAAATGTATCGATTGAATGATACCTTATTTTATGCAATTCTGTATATTATTATTAATATTATTATTATTTTATATATACTATAAGATCTTATATTATATAATAAACTGTATATTATATATACATAAATTATTGTATACTTTTATTATATAAAAAAAATAATTAGATTTTTTTTGCCTAAACTTTTTTATATATAACTTAAAAGCACACTAACTAACTAATAGTAGTATAAATTATGTAATATATAAATATAAAAAAATTGATTTTTCTATCAATGGATTTGTGTCACAAACACATGGATTTGTGTGTTGTATGAACTGTCCATATGTCTGACGATTATTATTATTATTATTATTATTAGAAAAAGTGTTAATTAATTGATTGATTTTTTAAAATTAAAAATAATTTGTCTTATTTTGTAACAATAAAAAAATATATAAATAAATTGTATGCAATATATTTGTACAAACATAACAAAAAGTTTTTTTAAATAAAATTGAGGAAAAATAAATCAGAAGAATAAAGACAAGAAATGTAATATTAATTTATAGATATATTTATATATTATTATTGATTTACTGTATAAATGTCTTATAAATAAATGAAAAAAATAAGTTCAAAAAAATATATATAATTTGTTAATTCATTTACTGGTATTCGTGGATCAAATACAGAGATCAATAAGTTTTTGTAGTTTAAAATTTGTTACCAAAAATAATAATAATAATAATCTTTAAATAAAATTTGAATTACTTTATCGATATCACCATGGACATTTATCTATCTATCTATTTGTGTCAAACTACCATGATAACATTTTTTTGACAATATATTTTTAAGGCAATGATTCAAAAAAATTTTCTACTCTAAAAAAATCTTTTATATATAATTAAAAAAAAATTACAGTTAAATAATAATTTCAATTTAATTTAGTAATTAAAATAATGATATTTTTATTTACTAATTTTAGTTTAGAAAATGTTTATATAAATATATTTATTTATTTTTTAAAATAATAATATGTTTGAAAATTACACACATTGGTATTAGCCATTATTTTATTATTTTCAAATTTTTAATATAATTTAAATAATAGTAATTTAATTACGGTATTATTTTTATTACAGTATTATTATTAAATTATTTATCTTAATTATCCCTATATTTATAATAAATGCTTATATCACTCATATTTTTTATGTATTAATTAATTTTAATAAACCATTAGTTAACATTTTTTTTTAAAAATTAATTACTTAATAATAAATAATAATAATAGTGTTAATTATTTAATTACTTTAAAAAAACAAAACAAAAATAATTTAAATTTACAATAGGTTTAAAATTTGATTGTTTAAAAACTTTTTTTTTAATCAAATACATTAATAATAACTTAATAACAAAAAAAAACATTTATATTATATTAATTTATAATATATTATATCATGAATATTGTATACATAAATATATCGATAATATTTACATCAAACCAACAAAAAATTTATATAAATTATATATACATTTGAATCGAAACAAACAAACAAAAAAATAATTTAATTTTCAAAAATGTGTTATCATTTTGCTTGGACTGTGATTTTGTTGTTGCTATCCGTCGGCGTGTGTGACCACCGATGAACTGGTACTTGACGTCGTAAACTGAGTGCTCTCATACAGCCGACTGTTATCACTATTATTATTATTATTATTACTCCGCTGATAGACAAAGTCTGAATCGGTTCTTAGCGACGAACACGACAACTGATGAGGTAATTGATGACGACATCCATCATCATCGTAGACATCATTGCCGCCGATACCGTTGCTATCGTTGGCCGTCTCGTCGATATTGTCGTCCAATTGCGGCTTATATGAGAACATTATCACCGATTGTCGCTGAGAGAAGAACTGAGCCAAAAACGTCCAGAAGACCAATGGTGTGAATAATGTGAAATAGATATAAGTAGTGACGTCGACCATACATAGGCCGGCTATGTGTCCATTGAAGAACAATGAACTACCGATGGCTTGGATCAGATTCAGTATCGACAGTATCAACGTATAGATATAAAACGATTGTTTGCCTATTGTTTTATATATAAATTATTCAAAAAAAACAAAACAAAAAATTAATTAATTGGTTATCAAATATCATCACTACATATACTTTATTAGACATCACAACTATAGCTACTACTACTACTACTACTACTCATTATTAATTAATTTGCAAACAATTATTTGCTTAATTAACTGCTACTTTAATTTATATACTGAATAAATAAGATTTATTTATAAAAATACATTTGTTTCCTAAAAAAAAGTTTTTTTTGTTTAGTCACAAAACTTATGATTTGTATGAGCTTTATATATATATATATATATATATATATATATATATCTGATTAATATCTGAAATGTTTTTTTTGAAAATAAAATTTTTGTCAAATTTTTTTCTTGTAATAAAAAAATAAAAATAAATTGTATGCAATATATTGTACAAAATAAACAAACAAAAAATTATTTTCAAAAAATGAGAGGAAATAAAGATAAGAATAATTTATAGATATTTATATATAAGATATAAATGTCTTTTGAAAAATAATTTTTTTTAAAAATAAATAATTAAAAAAATTGTTAATTCAATTACTCGGAAGTGGTATCCGCTGTCGGCATGGAGTCCACGGTAACAGAAACACTGCAATATAGACGATGGCAAATATAAGACACGTACAAAACCAGAATATCATTCCTCCGTGACTGAACAGATAGTATTCTTGTTCTTCAATATAAAACGATTCATCGGGTGATATAATCTCCAGACATCCCTGACATATACTGTAGGCCAGAGATATGAACGACGTAACCAACAGTACCCGTCGGATGGATGTCTGTGAGTCCAGATGGCCAAAGGCTAAGCCAAACACCAGTACTGATGTTTCGGTTGACAATAGAAAGAACCGAACGATAACCCAGAATACCTGAACCGAGGGATCAAATGATAAGATCAATTGAATAGTTTTTTTAGTCTTATAATTGTCACCAAAAAAAAAAATTAATTAATTAATTACTTTATCGGTAATATCACCGGCAGGTGAGGTAACATTGATTAGCATTGAGATAATACATCGCAACAGACTTGTGATGACATTGATCCAAACGAGTAGATAAAATGTGGCAAATATTGGCGAAGTTGTCTGTCGTAGCTTTTGTTTGGTAGTCTTCAGTCGAAGCAAAAGAAATGCCATAAACAGGACGTTCGGTACTAATATGATTGCATCCCAATAGCGAAGTCTGATCCCAGAGGACGAAGAAGAAGAAGATGATGAAGAAAAATCATATCAATTAAAAGATAAATATAAATAATTAAAAATAATTAAACAGAAACTAATCCATTGATTATATATCAATAGATTGTAATAAAAAAATTTTAGAAATGGATGACCACTTTATATCCGATCGGGTCACTCGTATATATATATATATATCAACCAATTGGTTGACAAAAAAAAAATAATAATAATTAATAACCAAAAAAAAAAATGTTTTAAAACAAAACAAAAATCAAACCTCGAATTTGCAATGTCTTCGTATAAAATCCTTTTACACCAATGAATGCTAGCATTGGTTATCACCGTATGATTGGTATCATTATTATTGATGGTAACGATGTCCGCCATAATGTTTGTGTCCACTAAAAAAAATCCCGTTTTTTTTGTTGTTAAGTTAACAAACAAAAAAGTGGATCAATAAAAATGTGACAATCAATCAATCAATTTTTCTTCAGCATATATATATGATTGATCCACTAATTCTTCATCAATGGTACGGTTGACTATACTGTATATATATATATATATGGATCAACTGATATCATCTAATAATAATAATAATAATTAACACCTATTTGTTTAAAACAAATTTAGTTTAAGTGGCAGATAATGACTGTGCGATTAATAACCAAAAAAAACAAAAAAAAACAAAACAAAACAAAAACAATGTTTACATAAAAACCATTGTTTTTAATATACAGTAATATTAATAATAAGTCATATACAGTAAACATTTCTATTTATGCAGTATAGGAGTGGGTACAATAAAACCTAACAACTAATACAGTAATATATTAATTAATTAATTAACTTAATTTGTTTCAAAAATTAAATTATTATTACACCATATAATAAATAAATATTAAAGTGTCTTAAATATTTAATTTTCTGATAATTTAATGCAATTAAAAATTAACAAAAAAATTGACGGTTGGTGTAACGTTATCAGGAAATTTAATGTAGCTTTATTATTAATAATTAATAATCATCCTGCAAATTATTAACACTTAATATTTATTTTGTTATTTGTTTTGAAATCTGTTTTAAGTATTATTTTAAATAATTCTTTTCTAACTAAAATATTAAAATTAAATTTGACTGAAAAATGTGATCTAATTATTTAAAACATTTTAATTTTTATTTATAGGTAATGTATTTTAGTAACTGTGTAATTATAAAAATGCATAAAATAATAGTTATGAAATCATTAAAAACTAGATTATAAAAATAATTTAATTAATAAAATTAAATAAAAACAGTATTTTTTAACTACTTTTATCACATTAATGCTTATAATATAATTAAATTTATAGACATTAATTTTAATAATTCGTTATTTTTAATTTAAATATTGTAATTTTAGTTAAATTTTGTTAAATTATTTATAAGATATTAGTTTATAATAACATTATTTTTAAATTTTTGAAGTTTAAACAATTAATATGAAAAATTACTTAATAAAATAAATCATTTTGTCTTTGTATTTGTTAATGTATGTAATGATTATATTTTTATGAAATATTAATAAACAAATATTTTTAAATACTTGTAGCAATCTAAAAATTAATAAAGTATAAAATTATTCCATTATTTATTAATTATAACAAAAAATATTACTATTTTAATTATTTCTAATTATACATTATTTTTATTTTTTAATTTGAATAAATTGAATAATTTGGTTAAAAAATTAGTTGATAGAATTCAGACATATTTAGTTATTATTAAAATTTAGTTATTATTAAAATTTAGTTATTCTTAAAATTTAGTTATTATTAAAATTTAGTTATTATTTATATTTAGTTATTATTTATATTTAGTTATTTATATTTAATTTGATTTTTATTTCCTGATTGCGATGCACAACCTTATTAATTAATTAGTGATTATAGTTATTATTATTTTTAATGTTTATGTTATTTCTTAAAATAATCTTTATAATTGATATAATATTAATATAATTGATAAATTAAAGATTAGTATAATATTAGTTAATTTGAAAATAATATTTTTAATATTTAATAAATTTGTTTATTTTAATGAACTTTTAGTGGATTTCATATAAGCATAGTATAAACAGTGCTTTCCTATACTGCATAAATCGAAATGTTTACTGTATTATAAACACATTTACACTGTTATGATATACAGTACTGTGTATAGAGTTTAACGTATTAATACATTTACATTAATAATAATAATAATAATATCATATCATATGTTGACGTCAAGTGTGTTATATGTTTACTATTAATATATACTTTTAATTTATATGTATTTATATTATAATAATAGTAATGTTTTTTTTGACAGTAAATGTCAGTACAGTTGTTGTAAAACATATATATATATATATAGTGTGTGGTAACTGATACACACCTACTGTTACTTCTTTCAAACAGATCCAACTCAACCAACCCAACCAAGTGATCAAATGAGACAATAATCCACAAGTGTTTCATCGACGACAACGACGACAGCTAACAACACAAACTGAAGACATAGACATCAAAGACCTCCCTCTAGAGCTCTCTCTCTCTCTCTCTCTCTCTCTCTCTCTCTCTCTCTCTCTCTCTCTCTCTCTATCCACTGAAGAAGTGGTCGTATAATGAATGGTCTCGAAAGGGAACCATTGGTAACATCTAATAGACCACTGTTTGGAGATGGATCTCATCATAGGGTTAGTATATAAGATGGATATTATCTGAAAATAACACTTCTTTTTTATTTATTAATTTATGTCTTCTTGACCACCATATATGGTAGGATCGGATTATCAATATATCATTATTTTCGTTGTGCGGTATTCTTCTGCTGATAGCCATCATTACATTGTTGACCATTCAGTTCAGTGCCATTAATCTGATAACAATTGTAGTCATCCTGTCGTTTGTTGCCTCACACGCACTGCTCATCCAATGGTATCGATTAGGTATTAAACTAAAAACAATTAACAAATAACACGAAGACAACAATCGGATTGGCATTTGGATTGTTGTCACGATTTTTTTGTGTTTAATTTGTATTTTCATTTGTTTGTTTGTTTGTCATCTGATCTAACAATCATTTTATATTTTATTATTTTGTATATAATTTACAGGCGATTTAGACCCGAAATTTCGTTACCTATTACTCTGGAATTCAATCAACATCTGTGTCCTCTGTATTGTTGCCATTGTCTACTATCACCGAAACAGTAGTACTAAGTGACTGTGATTGTCTAATCAATCATCATCACCATCACCACATCCATTACTACTACTACTACTACTACTACTACTACTACTACTATGAGGTTACTGTCTTAATAGATCCTATTAATCACATCATATTAATTGTCAATTTTTTTTTAAAAATTTAAATTTCACATAATTTTTTTTAAAATAAACAGTGATTTCAAAAACATTTCATCCAATCATCCGCTTCACGCTTACCGCAAATGTGTCGACCATTTTATGCCGATTGTCTATAATAGCAGCTACGATGTCTACTTCTTCAAAATTGAAACTATTCATCCGTTCGATACGAAAAAGTGGTCAAAAATAGCGGCAAATCTTGAAGAATATTTCAAAATTGTATTTGACATTTGTATTGTTTATATATACAGTATATTATATTTCATCTAATTGTTTGGTAATTTTCATCAAAAAAAAATTTGTTTTCTTTACCGAAGAAATATCCGAAAGGATCCTCCCATGACATCATCGACAACAACAACAACAACAACAACACACTAACATATTGTATATCTCCATCTCATTACATAACCAAAGATGAACTATCATTAGTTCATACAAGAAGTTTTATTTGTCGTATGCATTGTTCGCCACTATCGGTGGCCAAAGCATCGGAAGTTTGTCCACTGGTTTTGTGTCCGATATGTATAACCGAACGAAAACTATTGCAACCAATCAAATGGCAGACCTCTGGTTTGTGTTTGTCATAAGTTTTTTCATTTGAATTAGTGGTTATAATTAATTTACAATAATTTTTTTTGTTGTTGAAATCTATCGGTTGAAATATTAGGTTCAATTTTGGCCGGTTTTCTGGCACTTAAGTACGGCTGGGCTATCAATATTGGCGGCGGTTTTCATCATTGCAGTGCTAACAGTGCTCAAGGTTTGTGTCATATTTTTTTGGTAATATTTTTTTTTTAATTACCGGTAAATAATTTATTTTTGTTTTGTTTATAGGTTTCTGTTTGTTTGCTGACATTACGCTAACCATTCGCTATCTATGGCAAGAAGTTAGCGACAGATTAAACATTTTGATTGTCGACTGTGACGTACATCAGGGTAATGGCTACGCACGGGATGTCCTATCTATGAAACCGCCGGAACAGTTAGTATACAAAACAAATAGATTATAATAACATTTATTGTTGTTTTTTGAAATTAAATTTATTTTATTTTTTTTTAATAGGAAAAGGATATACATATTGGACTTATTTAACCCGAATATATTTCCGGGCGACACAATCGCCGAGACGGCCATCAATCGTGTTATTTATCTCAAGTCAAAGATCGACGACAAGGAATACTTATCATTACTTGAATTGTATGGATATTATTATTATTATTTATTTATTGATTTTATTTTGTTTCTGATAGTTATTTAATTATTTTTTTAAAAAAATTATTCACCAAAAAATAATTACCGATATTTTTTCCGTGTAGTCATATGGAGGCCATATTAACTACCGATCATTTTAAGCCCGATTTGATTATATATAATGCCGGAACTGATATCTTAATTGGCGATCCATTGGGTCGGCTAAGGATATCAGCAAATGTTAGTTTTGTATAGTATTTAATTATATATATAATAAAAATTATTTATTTATTTATTTAATAGGGAATTACAAAACGCGATGAAATTGTTTTTAGTTTTGCCAAACAATATAACATTTCAATAGTAATGCTATTGAGGTATAAATTATTATTTATTATTTGTATTATATTTTTGAATTTTTTTTGCTAATATTTATTTTTTTAATATCTTATTAAATGTCTTCAAACACATCCAGTGGTGGTTATCAAAGAAGTAGTGCTCAAGTGATAGCCCAATCAATTCGCAATCTGTTTGATAAACAAATATTGGATGTCATCAACAATTGATTAGAAAATTGCGATTATTATAAGTCAATTAATAGCTTTATTTTAAAAAAAAATATATTTGATATGATAGCTAATAATAATAATAATAATGATAATATAAAGATTATGTTAATTATTTTATTATAGTCTATAAACAAATGGATTTTATTATTTTACTTATTTTTGTGCATAATTTATAATAATATAGTTTGTAAATATTAAAAAATTGTTGTTTTAAAAAAATTGATAATAAAAATGTTTTAATTTAAAAGTAAGTACTCCTATCCATCACTACATGGGATGTCATACTCCCCATCTAACCATAACTGCTATAAAAATAATAATTGTTATTAACGTTATATTAGTACTCTATATAATCAACAAAATTGACCTTGATTCAGCTACTTTTATAATAAATATAAATAAATTGTTTTATTTTAAATATTTAAAAAACAATTAGTAAACAATCCAATGAATTAACTATAAATATTTAATTATATAATTAATTTTTCTAAATAAATTTTATTATACAGTATTCAATATATCTTAAATTTTTTTTAGTACTTATAAGATATTTTTTTATGATTACCGTAATCACTAATACTTGTATATTTCATTTGATAATGAAATGACATTTTTATTTATTATAATAAATTTATTTCACAGTATATATATACTGTATATCCCATATATGTACTAAAACTCATATATATGTATAAAAAATAGTATAAATTTAATAGTAATTATAATAATAATTCCTATTAATTAATTATATACCGTATTATACAATACAAGCCTAACATTACAACAGTATAACTATATATATATTTTTAATGTAAAAATGTCTGACAACTTATCGGCAGAATTAGTGTCCAGTTCGGCCTGTTTTGGCGGCCGACAGGAAGTCTACAGTCATCAGAGTCGCGAATGTCAGTGTCGGATGAAATTTTCCATATATTTACCGCCAAAAGTTGTCACTACCGACGGCAGCAATACCGGTGGCCAGAAAGTGCCGGTCATCTACTATTTGCCGGGTCTGCATAACAGCGAACAAGAGTTTATTATTAAAACCGGTTTCCAGAGATACGCTGCCGAACAGGGAGTGATAGTGGTCGGTACGGATACCAGTCCGCGTGGCGTCGACATTGATGGCCAGCACACGGATCCCGATTTTGGCAGTAGTGCCGGATTCTATGTGGACGCCACCGAACCGAAATGGCGCCAACACTATCGTATGCATTCGTATATTACCAAAGAGCTGCCCGAAGTTATTGAACATAATTTTCCGGTTATTGTGGGTTTGAAATCGATTTTCGGTCACAGTATGGGTGGTCACGGAGCACTGGTATGTGCATTGAAAAATCCAGGCCTCTATAAATCAGTATCAGCATTGGCACCGTTAGCCAATCCGACTAAAGATGGATGGAGTAAAAAATGGTTATCCGGTTATTTGGGCGATAATACGGGTAATGTTTGGGAGGAATGGGATGCATCGGTATTGGTTACCAAATACCGGGGTCCAGCACTTAATTTGCTTGTTGATTGGGTATTATTATTAGTAGTATTAGTACCTAATCTATACACTACTAAAACAATTATAAGGATGTATATCAATATATTATATATTTTTTGTTGTTGTAGGGAACTGTCGATCCATATATGCCGGCACTTCGGTGCCAAAACTTTGTGGACGCCTGTCTATCGGCTAATATACCGATTGACTATCATTTGCACGATGGCTACGATCATTCATCATTTCATGTGTCCACTTATATTGGCGAACATATTAGACATCATTCAACTATATTGTATGAATTGTTAGCTGAAGAAAAATAAATTAAACCATTGATGACTAACTGACTAATTGATGATTACTATATATATTAATAATTTTGATAATTTAATTAATTATTTAATTTTTAGTTTATAAAAAAACTAATAAATAAATTGAACACAATCATTAAGTTTAATAATGTAATGTTAGCTAGATAATTTTTTGTTGTTGATGATATTATACTGTATATTATATTTAAACATGTACTGGTAATTCAATTAATAATATATAACAATATATGAATAGGAAATTTTTTAATTAATTATTTATGATTTTGCATTATTATTATCATTAATTTTTGTATAATTATTATTATTCTACTGTACTATCGATTAAAAGTTTTTATTTTTTTTAAACAATAAATTTTAAATCAGAGAATTAATACATTTTGCTAAATTATATTTTTAAATATATATATTTTTTGTATAAAAAATAACTTTTTAATAACTAACTCGAAAAACTATACTATAAATTATTAATTATGAAAATTAAAATTATGAATACAAAAAAAACTATAAATAATTTATTTTATTTTTAATTAATAAGATATTTTATGTCTTATATATATAGTTATAGTTAATTTTTGATTTTAATAATCATTTAATTTATTACTTTTAAAAATTTTATAATTTTATTTTTAATTGCATATTAAAACTTTGAATCCAATAAAACAAATAAAAATAAAAAAAGTTATTTTTCAATGAATTTATATACATTTAAATGATAGTACTATTGACGTAAGTTATGCCTTAAAATTAAAGTCTAAAAACAAAAGTTTATTGTGTTTTAGTTATTAATAATACTTTTAAAAAGTTTTTTTTTATAAAAACATTTATATTATTTTTGGTGGGAAAACACATGAAAACATATGTTTTTATAGTATTATTATTTGATTTAAATATTAAAGTAATTTATATAAAGTTTTTTTTTTAAATATCAAACCAATTGATTGGCAAATAATAATAATAATAATAATAATAATAATAATAATAATAATAATCACAACAAACAAAAACAAACAAAAAAAGTTTTACAGAGAAGAAAACTAATGATAAAATCAATGGATCAGATGATTGTGTTTTATAAACCATTGTTTGGATAATTAAATGTCTAATCAATTGATTTGTCTTAAGATTATTAACCGATAACTAATTGGATTCAATTCGTTCATTCATTCAGTCATTTATAACTAAACAATGAAATCAAATCAAAGAGTGAAGAAGTTGTTGTTGTTATCGTCGTCGTCGTCACCGTCGCCGACAAAGACACCCAACAAGACATTGTCGTCATCGCCAACAATGATAACAAAGAAGACGAGGTCGTCGACGACAAAGACACCAAAACAGTTGTCGTCGCCGACAAAGACACCGAAGAAGCCGTTGTCGTCGCCAACAATAACAACAAAGAAGACGCGGTCGTCGACGACAAAGACACTGAGGAAGAGGTTGTCGCCGCCGCCGACAAAGATACCAAAGAAGAAGCTGTTGTCGTCGCCAACAAAGACACCAAAGAAAACGCTGTCGTCGTCGCCGACAAAGACATTAAATAAGACATCGTTGTCGACAAAGACACCGAAGAATAAGAATAAAAAGAAGACATTATCAAACAAAGAGTGTCTAGATTTGGCTCTTCAGAGATTGTCGTCCAATTCGACTCCCGAATCGCTTCCGTGTCGTGGATCACAATTTACCGATATATTCAATTATATCGAGAATAAGCTCATCGAAGGCAACGGAGGGTATGGATCTGATATCTTAATGAAAGTGATTGATAACGACTGATAACTGTTTTTTTGTTTTGATTCTACCGATGATGACCACTACTACTTCTAATACTTGATTGATTTTCAATCGACATCAGATGTATGTACATATCGGGAGTGCCCGGAACGGGAAAGACGGCCACTGTTCGCGAAGTTAAACGCAAACTGGAAGCCGACAGCAAATATCCGGCGTTTAAGTGGATCGAAGTCAATGGACTTAAACTGAGTGATCCGTATCAGTGTTATGTCCATATTCTTCACGTATGCGATTGTTATGATATGATTGGTTAATATATCTAATGATTATGTTTTTTCTTGAACTCAAAATCTTATACAGGAATTGACGGGCGAAAAGAGATCATCGGAAGCAGCGGCCGATACACTGAACGACCGATTCTCTGACTGCGATCCCGATCACGAGTTTGTCATCTTATTTGTCGACGAACTGGATCTGCTGAGGACACGCAAACAAAACATTTTGTATCATCTGTTTGATTGGCCCACTCGACACAATTCCAAACTAATAGTCTTAGCCATTGCCAACTCAATGGATTTACCAGAAAAACTAATGATAAATCGTGTGGCGAGTCGTATCGGACTAACTCGACTAGCATTTCATCCGTATTCGTGGCAAGAACTGGAATCGATTATCACTTCCCGATTGACTGGACTGTTGCATGTTTTCGATTCGGATGCACTGAAACTGATCAGCCGAAAAGTGGCTGCCGTTTCTGGCGATGCTCGCAGAGCGCTGGACATATGCCGTCTGGCTGTTCAAACTGCACAGTTGACCGCCGCCGCCGCTGCCGATGATGAAGATGACCAGCAGCAGCAGGAGCTACAGTCAACTGTTTCCATGGAAAGTGTCGATCAGGCACTGAAAGAGATATTCAATTCGTTGAAATTGGTTCGCATACGTCTGGCACCGCTGCAGGAACAGGTGTTTCTTCAGGCCGTTTGTCAAGATTTTCGGATATCCGGTGTCGAAGAGGCCAACTTCATAGATGTCTATCAACATCATATCGAAATATGCCGTTTCGAGGGCCACTACATACCCAGTACTGTCGAATTGGAGAAAATTGCCTACAATTTGCATACATCGCGACTGATAATTGTCGAAAAAAGTGTTTCACATCTCTTCAAGAAAATTCGTCTGAATATATCCGTCGATGACATTAATTTTGCACTGAAGATGTCTTGAAAAAAACAAAATGTTTTTGTTTTTTAAATACTTTTTTTAACACACTTTTTATTAATTAAATTATGTATTAAATTCATGTTAACTATTGAATTCAAAACAACAACAAAAAAATCAATACTTTCTATAGAATATTCTTGATTTAATTCATCTAATGATCTCATTAGACAATAACATGGATTTTAATTTTAAAATACTTACTATTAATCTATGATTAGATAAGTATTTAGTATTTTTATATCAATAATTTTTATGATATATTTTTCAATGTGTTTTTAAAATTATTAATTAAATTGCACAAAACAAACCAAAAATTGTTATCAATTATTAAATATTATTATTTTTTCTGTATATAAATATTTTTTTTATAATCGATTTAATAAAATATTTGAATATTGCATAAGAATTATTTAGTGTAAATAATTTTGTTTTATTTTTGAATACTAATATTGAAAAATAATAAAATACAATATAATTTTTGAAAAATTATTGAAGTATTTTATATAAAGTATTGTTAACTTTCTTTTTTTTATTATTTTTTTTGTTAATGTGTTTTTAATTTCATTGGAAATTTGGTGCACTTTTTGTTAGTTTTATTATTTTTATTTGTAAAGTTATATCAAATTTATATTTAATATTACATTAAACCTATAATTTATTGCTCAATACATTATTATACTGTATTTAGTCAATAACTAAAAACTAGTTAAACCCATAATTATAATTTTTGAAAGTTATAATACTATACTATGTAGTATTATTATTATTATTATTATTAACAAATTCAATTCTTGCGAAAGTTATATACAATATTAATATAATAAATATATATAATATAATATATTATATATACTGTATATAAAACATGTTATCAATTCGTCAATTTTATTATTATTATATTATTATTAAACTTATTTATAATTTATAATTTGATGTTTTATTTGATACACATAAATACTGTATAAGTGTTAGTAGAATATAAGATAATATATATTTATTCAAATAGTTATGTAAATATTAGTTAAAAAGTTATTAATTAAATTAAAAATATTTATTGTTTTATTTTATGTTAAATTATTTTTTGATAATTTTTTTAAGTAAACGATATTAAGTTATATATATATATATATATATAAATATTTGTATATTTTAATTATGTATTTTAATCACTAAATAATTTATTATATAAAAAATGAGAAAATATTATTATACAATAATAATATTAATATTATTAGTTTATTATATATGTATCAATAAAAGTGAATCAGTGTTTATTGATAATAATTTTAATGATTTTCTTAAAAATAAAATCTGTTTTCATTCAATCAACAAAACACATATATTTTATACAAATCTATTAAATCAATCGTTGATTAGTAGATATTTAAATGAAAATTCATGCTATTGTCTGATGAGATCATTAGATGAACTAAATCAAGAATATTCTATAGAAAGTAGTATTGATTTGTTGTTTTTTGAACAAAAAGATCTCTATTTGATAATTGAATTCAATAGTGAACATGAATTTAATAATAATAATAAAATTACTGATAATTTATTTAACAATCATTTTTCAATGAATATTAACTTTATTATAGTATTGAAAAGTGATTTACTTCCGGATCTCGAGTTAAAAATCTATCACAAGTTTAACAATTTTCGTTGTCTTATCATTAGATATGTCAGTGATTTGACTGATGTTAAGGTTTCATACATCAGACCCGTCATCAATGGTTGTCATTCATATAATGGTATATTGTATTCAATGGATCCCAATGTTAGACAAATGTTGACATCAAGTGTTTGCAATCTTAATGGTACTCAACTCAAAGTTGCTGTCAATATTGTAAGTATTTTATTAAATTTTTTAAAAATTATTTTTTGCTGTGAATCCTATGATATAATAATTTGTTGTCTAAAATCATTAAAAAAGGATTTGCCGTATTGTGATCTGGGATATGATTCCGATGGTAAATATGTGATGAAAAAATCAATTGAGTTCAATATGATTAAACTGATGGCCAACCGATTCAATTTTACCATTGAATTGGTTTACGCCAACCAAAGCTGGGGTAGTCTACAGAATGGGGTTTGGATGGGAAGTGTTGGCCATCTCTATAATAAAGTATTTTTTATTGATTTATTTGATTAACAAATTAATTAATTAATTAACTAATAATAGACTGCAGACTTGGCTATCTGTGACCTGACCCGCAATAGCGAACGGTCAAAGGCCGTAGACTTTACCAAAGCCTACATAACAGTTCCCGTAACGTTTGTGGCCACCAAACCGGGCCTGAAGTCGCGCACATGGATTACAATAACACCGTTTTCGACTAATGTCTGGCTGGCCATAGTCATGACATTTATCATAACAACCCTATTCCTACAGTACATCTATCGGATCAAACATCCCGGTGCTAATCGGGTCGACTCGATATCCATTACCCTATTCGGCACACTATTACAGCAATGTATGACCAAAAAATATATATATATTAATTTACCGGTAATTGTATTTAAATTTTATTTTATTTTTTGAAAACACGCACATAATTATAGCCATAATAATAATTGATTCAAAATATCTGTCGTTACGACTGATAATATGTCTTTGGCTAATGTCGACAATGATACTAATGAAAACCTATTCGGGAATATTTTTCTCAATACTAACTGTTCCCGAATATGATGAACCAATTGAATCGCTAGATGATCTGGTCAGGGCCAGCAAACTAGCCGATCGCTATTCAGTGATAACGGTTCCCAATTCGGCTTATTTCGATCTGTTTGTCCGCAGTTCGTGTTGTAGCGACTATTACTATATCGGGAAAAATATTAATAAGACATCCCGCGAACTACTGATGCCCGGCTCGACCAATACGGGTATCGATAGGATCAATGAAGGAGGAGGAGGACAGGGAGCAGCCAAGAGGAATGTCATATTTATCTATACATCGGTTCCCATATTCTATGGCATACGTAAGTACGCCAAAGTCGAAATGCATGTCTCGTCTGAAACATTGATGATGGATCAGATGGCAATGGCCCTGCAAAAGGGTTCACCATTGCTCCGGTCGATGAACAAGGCGTAAGTACAGTATATACCGTAGAAGCAAAACATTTTGTTTATTAATTTAAATATATATAAAAACTTTTTTTTTATTTAATGGGAACTACTTTTTCCAAAAAAAAAAGTATTGAACAGTTCACTGAAAATGGTTTATTTGATAACTGGATGACTGAGACAATGAATGCCGTCGGTGGTGGTGGTGGTGGCGGCGGCGGCGGTGGCCATACAGACAACAACTCACCGATAGTTTTAATAAAACAACTAAAACTAGAAGACATACAAACAATTTTCTACATTTGTCTAATTGGTCTCTTTATTTCAATCGTTATATTTTTCAGTGAATTATTAGTTAATTTACAAAACAAATCAATTAGATTAAGACAAATCAAATTGAGAGCTAAATACTTAACAAAACAATTATCGCGTATAATATTATTATAACAACAAAAACAAAAAATTGTATAAATCATTAAAAAAAATTGTTTATAAACTATATTTGATTACAGCTAAAAAGCTCATTAAAAAAATTTATAAATTAAATTCAATAAAAAATAAAATCACTAAAAAAACTTATTAAAAAAAATTATACACAAAAAAACTATATAAATTAATATAAAATTTATAATTAAATTATTGATATACAGTATAGATATACAATTTGTTATGATATTGTGGTTCAGTTTAATGATGGCAGTGATCGATGGGTTGGCTATCATCTTAAGTATTATCATCTCCTCCGTCATCATCATTATCATCATCAGAGGACACACTGATGCAATGGACAAGTGTCGCAATAGATAATCAGATTGGACTGAAACATATTGAACTGAGGGAACCGATCAATGCAGCCGCTCATCTGATGATAGTTCAAGATATCGTACAATCGTTGAATGATCTCATCGATGGACAGATTGGTTTCGAAACGAATCAAACAGGAACTACATGTCAAATAGCCGGCCGATAGTTGTAATTCATATGTACGACAATAGGGACATAGGATGGCATGTCTTGACTGAAGAACATTCAAAAATTTCAGACTTTTTTGCTGGTCTTCTTTGGTTTGTAAGCCTTCCCACGATTTGTTTTGTTCTTCAAGAAATTCTTGTTTAACTTCTTCAGTTAATTGCTGCAGTTCTTCGCCGCTGATGTCGTTCATGTTGTCGTCGTTACGGATGATATGTTCCAATTCTGTATCGACAAAGTCTTCGTCGACAGTCATACCGTTGCCGTCGGTGTCATCCAAGTCTCTGATATTGATTTTCCTCATCCGATCCACTAGTGATGATCGCATTTCGTGGCTTTGTTTCAGTCTAGACATCAGCCGATCTCTGCACAGTTGTCTTGTATTTGGTGAATGCCATCGACTCATCTGTTGGTGTCTATCGGCGACGGCTGCTGCGATACCACCACCACCATCATCATCGCCGCCGCCGGTGGCCATTGTAGTCATAATTGTCGTCATCGGCTGTTGTTGTTGGTTAACCAGACACGTGTCGATCAATAACATGTCTTTGGACATCATTTTAATATTACAATCAAGAAAAACAATTTGTGGATCAATTTGTTTAAAAAAAACTAAATTAATCTTCAAGGAGGACAAGGAGGAGGAGGAGATCCACACGTGTTTTATTTTGTTAACACATTTGGCGCGCCTTTAAATGGCAAACGCGCGGATTAGGCAATCATTTTCATATACACAGTGGTCAACATCGGCGACGGCAGCGGTAAATCTGATGACGGCTTAGAATTTGATTGTCCACTCGAAAAATCAATCAATCAATTGATCACTCAATCGGTTCCCATATTTTCATTGATAGGTCTCAACACTACTATTACTACTAATGTATAGCAAAAAGCCTTCAAATAAAACTTTTTTAATTACTAAACGATCCCTTTTTTGTACAGTCGTTGTGTAATAAACTCATTGACTGTCAGTCTGTCAGTCAATGTCTTCAACAATAAAAAAAAATTGGACAACAATTTGATCCCATTTTTTTTGTTTTCTTCGACCACCGAAACGATAATCTTATCGATCATTTCTATAGACAATGTCTTCGGCATTGGACTTACTGGAGATGCGTCTGAAGACACTCGAGGATCGGCTATTGAGTCAACGAAACAATGGCCAACAACAACAGTGTCTTACGGATCAATTGCTACAAATCGATGGCAAACTCAAAGAGCTAACCGCTGGCAAAGACAGGTTTAACAATTGCTATAAAAAATGTCGCCAATTGGACAAGTATTTGGACACGGAATACATTGATCGATTGACGGCAACTGATTCATCAAAACTGGAACAAATTGTCAACTTTGAAGACCAGATCAAAGAAGAATCAACAGGTTTGGAACGAGTGGATCAATTGTCTTCAGTTATCGATTTGCCACATCTACGCGATTTCGATAAGTTTGACAATAAACTCAATGGTATTCGTCTGATTGGTTTAAGTCAGAGCCAGGAGTCGGCAAAGATTGGCGAAAAAAGTAGACAATTGCTTCTGACGTACAATGAATGGCTCGATAATATCAAACAACAACTTCAGTACTGGGATCAAGTGATCACCGATCTGGAGGTCAAACACAAGAGTCGTAATAATACTAAGCGATCGTAACTTTATTTTTAATAAAACTTTTTATTAATTATATGATATTATTTGGATAATAAAAAAAACTATTATTTAATTTTTAAAAAAACAATTGATATCTATTTGTATATTAAATTAAATTATTTTATATAATGATATATCATTATCATCAAGAAAATGATGGCCAGAACGGGTGTGACTGACTATACTATAAATGTTTTTATTTTACCGCTATTTCTTCGACTTATCGTTGTTGGGCTCTTTAGATTCGCCATCGGTTCCCAAGACATTCCTATCGATCTCCCAGATGTCGATCTTTTGTTCAGTCAATGCCTTTTTCACACAACTTTGATACAGTTTGAACAACAGCTGACACGGTTGGTCACCGCCGCCGTCGGCTACGGCCACACCTTTCAGATATTTGTCGGCAAACCAGCCGTTAAAACAGTTTTCGTATTGTCTTTTCAGTTCATTACAGTCTTTGCCAATGCTGTTCATCGCCGGTAATATATATGAAGAAATAATAACTAGTAATCATCGGTTGGCAGCAATTAATACATACATTTAGTTTACAGTAAATATAAAATACATATAATTGAAAAATAATATATAAATAAATTTATATTCAAAAATAATATCAATAATAATAATAATAATCGACTAAAATATTGCAATGTTTTACATATAAACACATGCATTGCATTTGAAAAATTATATATATCTAAAATGGGCCCAATTTTATGTACCTATTTGTTCCTATTGATTGGTACTTTTTGTATTATACTAAAATATAGTAAGGGGACCGATTAGCAAGCTAAATTTTGTTTGTTTTCAGAAACTTATTAATTGAAAATAAAATTATACAGGTCAATTTTTTAAAAATTAAGTTAATTAAAAATAAAATATTTATAAATTAAATTCATGTTAAATATTTGTGTAAGTTTTATGGTAATTGTATTGTTTTTTTTATAAATATGAATTTAAGTTAAAAATTATTTGTTAAATTATTATATATTTATTTAAATTAATTATGTTTTAGCAATGAATTTATACAGTGAATCGATGTCTAATAAATCCATATAAATAAGTGAAATATTTGGCTATTATTTTATTATTTTTAAGACAACTATTTTTTTTTATTATTATTAATTAAAATTATTGCTTAAATTTTAGTCAAATATTTCTATATATATAAAAAAAATTATAATATAAAATATACAAACAATTTATATATGATATAAATTATATAAATATATATTCATTCAAAATAGTTGTCAACTAATGGTATTAATTGTTTGATTTTATCGAAACACTTGGCATCGATGATACCCTCAATAAAACAATTGCTTGATTCAAATCGTTGGACACGAAATATGATCTCCTGATCCAATCGGATGTATGGCATCACTAGATTTTCATCGACATCGTCGCCCATATAGATAGTGGCATCGATACAGCCGCCAATCATTGTACCGCAATATGACGATCCCATCCTATTTCAAGAAAAATCAAACAAAAACAAACAGTTATATTAAATCAGATACCAATCCCCACAGTAGTAGTAGTAGTAATATCAGCAAAACAATCGGTTTTAAATCAAACAGAAAAAAACTAATTACTTATTAATTTTGCCCCGAATTAACTGTCCGTCGATAATATTGGATGTATTGAAATGGGCGCCAATTGTCCAATAGATATACGGCTGGTCATCGATAATACGGCCCAAATCGCTGACAAACTTCAAGTGACTGTAATCAAGTAAAATGCCTTTAAGTCTGAATGAAAAAAGAAGAAAAAACAAATCAATTGATGACAATTGTCTTTCAAATGATGGTGAAGAAGAATAAGAAGATGAAGACAATACTAAACTCGTTATTGTATTTGTATTTCATATTATCGACAATACGATGAATGGCACGCTCTTCGTTGCCGATAAACTTGGGATCCAATGCAATCTCCAGCTCCCGATAGATGGTCTCAAAACAGCAACTTTCGTCGATAATCTGGTCATCGCCGCCACCACCGCCGTCATCGTCGGTGCCGCCGCTATTCATTGTCCTCTACAGACAATATTAACTTTTTTTAATTATTATTATTATTACTTTTTGTTTGTTGTTGGTCTCATCAAAGAGTTTTCATCGATGGTTATGATATCATATAATTATTTCGTTTAGTATACCATTTGTATTGTTAGATATATTTTTAATTAATTAATTGTATTTAAAAAAAAAAATTAATAATTAAATCCAAATAATAAAACTATTGATTGATTTTATTTCATCTGTTTGTTTGTCTGATTGTTTCGTATAAAAATTAATTAACATTTTTATGAGAGAGAGTGTGAAAAAAAATTTCAAAACAAACATATCAAACACGTGTTATATTTTAAGTTAGAGTTGAGGCTATTGAAAAAAAATAGTAGGAAAGTTCCCTTAAAAGTTCCTTACAATATGTGATGGATAATTAAGGAAAATATTTTTTAAGTAGATTTTTGTCGGGGAATATATAACTAAAGTAATCAAATATTAATTGTATGGTAAAAATGTAATGCAGTGAATGTGTGTGTATTTGTGTGTTTGTAATGCAATGCTATGACAACTGCATAGCTATTATTGTTAGTATTAAACGTTATAATAATAATAATATTACTGCTATTATTAAAACATTGATTATTATTATTATTGTATTACATATTATTAGTTAAAAACATTGAATACAAATAACTATATTTTGTTTTGTTTTTTGTTGACAACAATTAGTGATCAGTTTAAGTGATTGATTGTCATTGCATATGATATTCAAAGACAATATATCAACAAATATTTAGTGATTTTTTTATGTAATATATTAATAAATTACAAGATATTTGATACAAAAAAAACTTGATTTTTATTTTATAAAATATATTGTTTTTGTTTTGACAATCATTTTCTACAGACTGAAGATTATTATCATCAGTGATCACACCGTTTGTTTGGTAAGTTTGGTAACCATTGATGTCTATTGATCTTAAGATATCTTAAGATAACATTAAAAAATTATTATTCAAATTTGATTCCCTGTGCCAATGGTAACTGTTTGCCATAGTTGATAGTACAGGTAGATCTTCTCATGTATTGTTTCCACGAATCGGATCCAGATTCCCGACCACCGCCCGTATGCTAAAAAAACAAGATATTATTAAAATCAATTATCACCAATCAATTGATCCTATCATTTCATATATCCTATACATATATATCACAGACAACTTCAATTGTCATTTACCTTTTCGCCGCCAAAAGCGCCGCCAATTTCGGCCCCATTGGTCGGTATATTGACGTTAACTATACCACAATCAGATCCTTTAGGTCCCATCCACTGGTAATCAGAGAGAGAGAGAGAGAGAGAGAGTGAGTGATGATAATCAAAGTGGTTAAGACATTGATTGATTGATTTACTAGATTTGATGAAATACCTTAAAAATATTGCCGATATTAGCGGTAAATAAACTGCTGGACAATCCTTGTTTGACTTCGTTGTTGTAGGCGATAGCTTCGTCCAAATCGGTAAACTTAATGGCATAGACTATCGGCGCAAATGTCTCCGTCTGGACCAACGGTGAGTCGTGTTTGAGGCCAGCAATGATTGTCGGCTCTACGTAATTACCGGAGCGATCGATACGTTTACCGCCGCACACTATAGTACCGCCAGATTTGATCGCTTCGGCGATTACCGATAGATAGGCATCGACTGCACCAGTTGTATGCAACGGTCCGTACAATACATTACTGTCCAATGGATCGCCGACTCGGATCTGTGCAAAGGCTTTCTTGAGTCCGTCTATGACTTTGTCGTAAACCTAATTATAATACACAAAAAAAGTGATAATTATTTTTATCAAACGATTTCAATGACTGATCCAAACCTTTTCGTGTAAAATTAGTCGTCGAGTTGTTGTACATCTTTGGCCAGCAGTTCCAGCGCAGGCAAAGACTGCGGCTCTGATAGCCATTTGAATGTCGGCGTCTTCGCAGACAATGATTGCATTATTACCGCCCAATTCCAGCAAACTTTTACCAAATCTTTTCTGAACAGTCTGACCGACCAATTGGCCGACTCTTGTACTACCAGTAAACGATACCAATGCCAGTCGTTCATCGTTGGCAATGGATTGGCCGATATCCGAATCGCCGCACACTAGCGAACATATAGCACCGGGCAATGAATTGGCTTCAAATATTGACGATACAATCTTAGTGACGGCAATACTGCACAGTGGTGTAGTCGGTGCCGATTTCCAGACCATTGTATTGCCGCAGACCAGAGCCAGTGCATTATTCCAGCCGTAAACGGCAACCGGAAAGTTAAAAGCCGTTATTATACCAATACAGCCCAAGGGATTCCAGTTTTCGATGAGTGCGTGATCTGGTCGTTCCGATGGCAATACCTGTCCGCCGATCATTCGGGACAAACCGACTGCATAGTCGCATATATCGATATACTCCTGTACCTCACCTTCACCTTCACTCAATATCTTTCCCATTTCAAGTGACACTAGTCTTCCTAAATCTGATTTCTTTTGACGCAACGCATCGCCTATTTGTCTGACTATTTCGCCTCTTCTCGGCGCCGGTAGGTCTGCAAAAATTTTTAGAGATAGAGAGAGAGAAAAAAAAATGTTAATATCCTAATTGTCGGACATATCCTTAATAACGGTTCAATAAATACCGGCCCATATTTGCCACGAATTTTGTGCCAACTTTACGGTTGTCTCGTAATCTTGTAGATCACCAGTCAGTACTTCGGCAATAACTTTGTTATTTGATGGACATATCGATTGGATTACCTGTCAATGAATGATTGATTGAATGAATTGTTTAAATAATTTGATTATAAAATTTTTTTATACATACCTTTCCATTGCCCGACCATTCATTGTTATAGACGCCTAAATTTTTTCGCTTAATACCCAACCGTTGAAGGAAATCATATTTACTATTATCGTCGACCAAAAATGTTGAGCTCATGTTTCTCCAGTGTTTAGTTATCGGACTATAAGTTATATTATTAATAATAATAATGAAATTAATATTCAATTGAAAAAAATGTGTTTTCAATTTTTATATATGATATATCAAAATTCAAGGATAAAAGTTTATATATAATGAAAAATATACTATACTTTCTTAGTTGTCTTAAAAGTTTATTATTAATATTATTAGTATTATTATTATTGAATAGACAAACAGTTTTTGTCAGATTATAAAGTTTGCTAAAATAGACTGTTTGATTCATTTAAAATAATTATAATTTATTACATTTATATCATTTAAAGTTGTTTTTTTAAAAAAATATATATAATTAAAAATTTTGGTTGTTTTTTAATGTTATAATAATTATTATATTATTTGTTTACTTTAAAACTATTCAGTGGTGTGTCTCCAACTGAATGATAAAAATAAAATTTTAGTCTTTTTAAAAATAAATTGAAGAAAACATGTTATCTCTAAAATAAAAATACAGTATTACTGATAATAAAAAAAATTTAATAGCAATACCTGCGCCCATGTGTTTGCCCGGGGAGCTACGTATATTGAAATATTTATGATGGGCCCATAGCTTATTTAAATAATTATAATTATAAATTTTATAAAAACAAAATTTCAACTATATTACACATTAATTTCATATATTAAATTTGAATATTATTTATAAGTTTTAAAAAAATATTTATTACTAATAAAATTATTAGTCATTATTTATTTGATAAATTTTACATATTGGTAATAATGATAACAAAAATTTGTAATTTATTATGTGATTAGTTTTTTTTGACTGTGCATATTTAGATTATTAATATATATATATATATATATATTTATAAATTTATTATTGTTAAAAAAATTTTAGTTTAATATATAAAATACACTGATAAAGAGTAATATTGTTTATTAGAGATTATATTGTATTATTAATTTTATTTTATTAGATAAGAAAAATTAATATAAAAAAAATTGTATTATAATATATTTATTTTTTTTGTATATATTTTTTTAAAAAAGATTCAATTGATTGATCCAAATGGTCAGATTAGCCGGCGGTGGTGGCGGTGATCGCTATGAATACGATACAAACCGTTTGTCTTGGAGGACAACAAAAACATGGATTGAACTGCTATTGGCACCTATTATAGTAATAACCGCATTATATACGGCATCGATCGGACCGATCTCAACATTAGTAACATTATTGGCTGTTTTGCCGACAATCATATACAGTGCCCGAAGATATTATTTAACTATTAATCGATTAACGCAAACAAAAGTTAGTGTTATTTTTGTTGTTGATTATTATTATCTCAAAAAAAAAGTTTTTTTTTCTGGCTTTTAATGTTTTCGTAATAACATTATTGATATTACAGTATTACTGTATTATTATTAGTATAACATATATACTGTATATAACTTATGATCATTACTTTAAGTGATAAATTGTTATTTATATAAAAGAGAAAAAAAATTGAAGTTATTTTTTTGAAATGATTGTGTTTGCGATAATTAATGTCTAAATATATTTTTTTTAATTTTTATTTATTTTTATAGTTTTTTCTATCGTGGAGTATATCAACTCTTGTGATTCTTATGTAAGTTATATATATATAAATAGACAATAATTAATAACACAATTAACTTAATATATATATAATGTTTTTTATTTTATTTATTTATTATTTTATTAATTATAATTAGATCTGTCTTTGAGTTGGAAGTAGTGCCATATCTTGAGATATTGATTGTCGAAAATTTTGTACTAATATTGTTGACTTCATCGGCAGTTATATTGGTTTTGTTTATCCGAAAGAATCAAACAGTAGATAATAACAGTAGTAATAGTCTTATTCAAAGTCATATAATTACAAATTGTGATCAAATTAATTGTAATTATAACTATTGGATTCAATCGTATATATCAAATAGATTTAATAGCATTTATCTAATAAGTCAATTGTTGACATTAATGGCACTGATATATGGATCTCAGCTAACATTGACAACAATATGTCATTCAAGTCTTATGTATCAAACAATATTGATTCCCGAAGACTGTTCCGATGTCTACTTTGACAGCGAGTATGTTATTGTTATTTCCGATTGATTTTATAGTATAATTAATTTTTATTAATATATTTAATATAAAACTTATATAATTGATATATAAAAATAACAACAAAAAAATATAAATAAATAATTCATAAGTCATTTAATAATTTATATCTATTGATATACAATATATTATTGATTTATTTTTTAGTTGTTGTCTATAACTCTATTATATATATAAATAACTTTAACATAAATTGTTAGTTTGTGTATATAATATTTAATTATTAATTAATTAATTATTTTAATTATTATTATTATCTTTTTCAGCATTAAATTATGTTTTGTATCATCGATTTACTCGCTATTAATCGCCGCCTGTATTATACTATGTCTATCGAAATCATTGATAAAATTGTGGTTTTTTAAAAAGCAAACTCATGTCAAATATGTACAATTAAATAAGTTTATTGGTGATAATTAAGAAAAAAAATGTTATTGTTAATTATTATTTTTATTATTATTATTTAAATTTAAAATTTTGTTAAACATATTATTTAAAACTGATAAATTTACTCATTATTGGTAACTTATTTTATGTTTGTATGTTTTAAATAATTATTTAATACTTATATATTATATATTTTTTTTATTTAAAAAAATTGATTTTGTTTATCGGTAACTAAATTATAATAATTATGTTTTTAAATTTATTTATTTATACATTTTTTTGTTGTTGATTATTTGAATACTCATTTTTTATGTCGTTGTTGTTGAAAAAAATCAACAAATTTCTAAATAGTTTTATAAATTTAATAGTATTTATAATTTATTATTAATAATATTGAATTTATATAATTATCAACAAATTTTTTTTCAAAGTAAACAATAATTTGTAACAAATTATATATTGTATTGGATTGAAAATTAAAAACAAATTTAAATATTGAATTATATATAATTAGATTAATTTATTTACTATTTTATTTTAACTAAATATTAAAAAAATAAAATAAATAAATTTTTATAAATTGATGCTATATGGTAAAATTTATTTTGTTTTAAACAAAAATTATTATCCAGAACAATTATTAAGTTCAAGGTAAAAACATGTCCAAGGTTTAACCAATATATATATATCAATGCGTATTATAATTATTATTATTAAACAATTATTAATTAAAAATAAAATAAAATAAATGTTGTAATAGTATTAAATAACTAATAATTATTATAGTATTATATATAATACGTAATATACAGTATATATTTTTTTCTCATAAATTACTAAAATATACTATTAATATATTTTTTTTTTAAAAATAATCTATTATTTCTATCAATGATGCAATAATAATAATAATCATACAGCAACTTTCCAGGGAAATTTTTTTTATATAAAAAAAAGGTTAATTATTATAATTAAATTATTATTATTGTTAGATAGATAAAAAAAATTTAGTATCCAGGACAGTTTTTTTATATAAAAAAATCTAGTTATTAAATTAGTATTATTATTATCACCAAGCTTATTAATATTAAATTTTATTTTATAATAATTATAATTTATTAATTAATTTATAATTATAATTTTATAAATACCAGTACATACAAGTGCTTAACAACTATAACTGGGTAAATGATGACACCTATTGGTGTTGGCCTACAAACTACATGTGCGCCATAAGTGTTGGCTGTTTTTATGGTATGGTATGGTATGTGTATGAGCTGTGATGGCGTTGTGTTTGCAATAATAATAATAATAATACAAACAAATATAACAAACAGTATATTACTTACACTGTATTTGTATTGTCATTGAAAATAGTCAGTCATTTCTATACTACAGTAATCTCTCAGTCATAGACTCATTGGTCATACAGTTGTATGAATTAAATAATAAAATTTTTTCACAGATATTATACATTACATTAAAAAAAAACCTATTGTTTAGTATATATATTAACTATTAATACATTATTTTTAGTCCTATTTTATCATCAGTTCAGTCGACTTGTGGGCAGATTTTTGTCTCTCTCTCTCTCTCTTAACAATCATATGATTTGACTGACTCTTTGAGGTTAACAAAAAACCACTGATTTTTTTTTTGATTGATTTATTGTTTGTTGTCGTCGTTTAAGACATCCATTTGTGTGTATCTCTTGTTTTCATAATAATAATAAACTGATTGGATTGGATCCCAATTGATCCCAACCAACAACAACAACAACAAATGGCATCGCGAAAGAAAGTATTGCTTAAAGTAATCATTTTGGGTGACAGTGGGTAAGTGTGTCTTAATATATCAATATTGATTGACCACCGATGATGATGATGATGGTCTCTCTCCTATCAATTATCAATTGGTTTTTATTTATTAATCCATGTCCTCCTATTTCCTCCACAGTGTTGGCAAGACATCGCTGATGAACCAATACGTTAACCATAAGTTCTCCAATCAATATAAGGCTACCATTGGTGCAGACTTTCTAACCAAAGAGGTGGTGGTCGACGACCGACTGGTCACTATGCAGGTCACTATCACTATCGTTGTTGTTATCACATCCCATATTGTCTTCAAACAGAAATGCATGTCTTCAATGATAATGTTGTCAATCATTGATTTTTTTTGTTTTGTTTTTTATTTGTTAATAATTTCCTTATATTTTCTGTTATTTTTATTTTTTAATAATGCGTTTCATCTGTTTATTAGTCATAACGACAACAAACAAACACAAGTCGTTTAGTTTTGTTTTAATTAAGTAGTAGTAGTAGTAGTTTATATCAATTGTTATCTAATTTTTTTTAGTTAATTATATTTATTACTACATTATTATATCATATGTTTAGTTAGTTTCATCATTTGATAACATTATATAAAAAAATTAATTATATTTAAATAATTAGAGACACAATTGACAAGTGGGTGTCAATTGTTATCGTCAATTGATAATAATATTTAACTTTATTATCACTTAATTAATTGATTATTAATTTACGTAATTATTTTTTTTGTGGTCAGATATGGGATACCGCAGGCCAGGAACGGTTCCAGTCGTTGGGCGTCGCTTTCTACAGGGGAGCCGACTGTTGTGTATTGGTGTTTGACGTAACGGCGCCCAATACGTTCAAATCGTTGGACTCGTGGCGGGACGAGTTTCTGATACAGGCATCGCCCAGGGATCCCGAAAATTTCCCGTTTGTCGTAATCGGCAATAAAGTGGATTTAGAGAATCGAGCCGTTAGTTTTACTATACAATAGATACAATACATTATGTGATAGTTAGCTAACTTATAGCTTCTCTCTCTCTACACACACACAGGTGTCGACCAAACGGGCACAGGGATGGTGTCAGAGCAAGAATAATATACCGTACTTCGAGACCAGTGCTAAAGAAGCTATTAATGTCGAACAAGCATTTCAGACGGTAGCCAAAAACGGTTTGGCACAGGAGACTGAAGTTGAATTATATAATACCGATTTTCCCGACAAAATCAATTTAAACAATGATAATGCTAGCAATAGAAATGACAGCTGTGCCTGTTAGAGAGGTATGTCCACCACCCACCCCACCTCCCCTATTATCAAACACACATACAAATGCCGGGCCACAGCACTTGTTGTTTATTATAAAAAAAAATACTAAAAATAATTATAAAAACGAAAAACACTTTTTAATAAATAAATAAAGTAAACAAACAAAAAAAATTACACAAAATTTAGCTCAAATCTTATCTATATATATATATATATAAACAAAATAATTATTTAAACATTTTTATGCAGTAAGCGACTACACACTAATCGACTTACCGTTTGATTACCGATTTTATTATATCAATAATAATAATAATAATAAACTTAAAGATTTGAGTAAATATATCTAAATAAATAAATCTATATATATTTAATACAATTATGTAATGATGTTATAATTATAATCAATCACTATATATACATACTATATGCTTTTAGTATATAATATATTATTATTATTATAAAAATAAATAAATAAATTTAATATCATTTTAAATGTACAGTTTATCCCAAATGTTAAGTATATATATATACATATATAAATAGATAGACATTGTTAGTAGTGTTTTATTGTCCTAAACTTCCCCCCCCCATTCCTTTATATTAAATAGTATATAAATTTAATTATATTAATTAATTTGTTCGTATAATTACATCGATATATATATATTATTTAATCTTTATTTTTTTGGAATTAATAAAATCTTTTTTTTAAAATAAAAAATATTTTTATATATTATATATAATAAATTAGAAAATAAAAACTTTATTTGCAATATAATTGTATAGAATATTAAATTATTTTATTAACTAAAATATTTTATATTTAAAGTACAGTATATATATATATATATATTAAGCGCACACTAGTTGTTAATTGTTTGAAAATTTAAATTGTTTGAAAAAAAAACAAAATCTAATCAAAATTATTTCTGACTAATTAATTGATTGACTGATTAAATATCTATTGTATTTATTGATATTGAAATTTATATATAAAACATATAACAAACAGTTATGAAACTAAATAATTTCATTGTATTGATAATAATTGTCGTCAAAATAATTGTTATATTAGTGACGGCGGACGAGTCATCCGTACTGACTATTATTAATAGTAATAATGATAATAATAACAGCGCTAATAGTTATGATAATTATAATGATAATAATTATTATATGTCGACCACTACTACTACTAGTGGTACAATTGGTACCAAAAAACATGAGATCAAAAAGCGAGACAATAGTAATAATCAAAAGTAAGTATTTGTTTGATTGATAGATAAGGAGAGAGAGATAATACTTACCGTAAATCAATTCAAACCACAGCTATACAGTGGCAGACAGTGTACTACAAACTACCGGTGCTTCTAACCCCTCAGCCTCCTCTCTATCCCCATCCTCGACAGCACCTATAGATAAGACTACACATCACTCGGAAGCTACCACCGATGTTGTTACAACATTATCATCCAATTCAATGACAGAAAAGACAGATCCGTCGGCCAATCAAAGAACACTACCAGCTTTGGCCTACATATTCATCGGTGTCCTAGTGATGGCGATTGTGGCTCTTGGCTTATGTTGGTTAGTTTAATTTAGGGGGGGTGCTGGTGGTGTGAGAGACTACCTGTTTTTTAATTTGAAAAATAAAAACAAACAATTTTTTAATCACAATTAACATTTTTTAGGCTAATTAGTGTCTTATATAGTCAATGGTGTGATAGTGAAGGGTTGGCGGCCGTCAAACGTGAACAACAAAATTTAGGTAATAATTTGACCAAAAAAAAAAAATTTTACAATAGTTATTATAGTATTATTAATTTAATTAACTAATTAATTAATTAATAAAAAATACATTTTTTTGTTTTAGCAAAAATAGAGTTACCAAAACGGGATCCGTCAGATCCCGATTACAATTCAATAACAATGACAACTAATAATAATAATACCGGCGCCAGTAGCCCAACATCGGGATCAGCGTCATCATCATCATCATCGGTACCGGTAGTAAAAAATACCGGCGCCACCGTAGTACAGCCGCCGCCGCCGCCGTTACAACCGATTGTCGATACTAAGCAACCGCCAGAACCGACAGCAGCTATAGTATCGGCCAATTATGCGGCCAAAAATAACTCATTAATGGCCGGGACCACCACTAACGATGATCCGAACCGCGTGGATGACAAACGCCTGTCGGACAGCAGTATCAACATTGAAACCGATTTGATTGACGCTAACTATATAAACGTCAACAACAGCGACAAAGTTACCGCCAGCGCCGCCGCCAATAAAATCAGGCCGATGTCCATCATTACTACTGAAGCACCGACACGTGCGGCGGTCGTAAGTCCTACTAATCCTACGGTAACCGATAATAAATACAACTTAACCGCCAACCAGTCTGTTAAACAGTGAATTTGTTTTTTTGGTTTTATATTTTTTTAAAAATACACAATAAGTTTATCATAAAAAAAGTTACAGAATTTGTTTGTTTGTTTTGTTTAATTATTATTATATTTTTTACTAATTGTATGATTTTTATATACAATATACAGAAAGCAATAATAAAAATTTTAATTACGGTAATTGTGTTTTTAAAAAAATATTAACAAATTTATTAATCACAAAACCAACCAAAGAAAATCAAAATCAAAAATCATTTAAAGTAATAATTTTTAATTTCCGACACCAGGTCTACATCGAAGTTGTTTTGTTCAAGTCTTTCGACAATTTGTTTAACGGCTATAATAATGATAATAATCAAGAGATCAGATATTAGTGATAATACAAAACTAATGATTTGATAATTACTTAGTTTATCCGTTTGAGACATAAATAGCGCTATTGTATCAAATCGGGGAGTTTTGGCCATTTGACTCAATACAGTATAGACCAATCGATGGTCATTACTAGCGGCTATTGTGGACAACAATTCGGACATCATTTCCGGTTCCAGACAAGTCGTCTGAAACAGTGTCTGCATACGATCGGAACCAATCATTTCTAGATAATCGCACCGTAGATGATGTTTTCCGTCGCCATCATCAGTGTTGTTGTGTCCATCACTTAGTTGACGCCAATCGCATTCAAATTGATAATAATTTTCTGGCAATTTTGTCGGCAATTTCATTGGTAAACCAATTTTTATCTGATCGCTTAAAACATCGGTAACATTTAATCTGACCATTGGTTTAGCCGATCGATATTCCAGGGGCTTATCAATTGGTCGGATATCGACAATGGCTTTTTGGTTGATAAGATCGGTAATGGCTTGAAGTTCACGTTTGGCTTCTTTGTTGTCCGGATCTAAACCTAGGACTTGTTTGAAGTCATCGATGGCCGCTAGGTATCGGTAAAGACATTTGTTGGCCATTGCTCGCCGATAGATAGCTTTAATACATTTGCTATCTATTTCGAGAGCCTTATTGCAATCGTCCAGCGCTTCCAGTGGTCTGTAAAACAACAACAAAAAACTTAATCAATTAATATCACCCCCAGAAAAAAACAGTCAAAAATATATACCGCTGTTTCTTAAGGTAAGCCATGGCTCGGTTGCAGAAGATTAAGACATTTGAATCAAACAAATCGATAGCTTTTGTATAGCAATTGATTGATTCATCAATATTACCACTTTTGAAGTGTTTGTTACCCTTTTAAAGACAAACAAATTAATAGACAATTATCTTAATATATTAAGATATTGATGGCAATAGTGATGGCCATCACATCATCATCGCATACAATGTCCTTATGATAGTCGGCCTGTCTTTTCAATTCATTGTTCACATCTCCAGACATTGTTGTCGTTGTAGTTGTTGTTTGTCTCATGTCTTCACTATTATATGATAATTAAGTCTTCAGTTAATAAATAAAAACTTTTTGTTTTTCCGACCATTTATTACATCATTTGATTGTTTTGTTTATAACATATTAATGTTGTTTTTATAATGCATTTGTGTTTTTAGCATAAATAATGTCATATTATTATTAAAAAAAAACTAAACTTTTTTTTTTGTTTGTTTGATTATATCGTTAAAACAAAATCAAAAAAAAAAATTTATTAATTATTTTTTAGTAATAAATTAATTGTTTTTATAAAAAACAAACAAAATTTTCCGGTGTTAATTACCGGTAATTAATTTAATTGATATTTAATTAAATAATAATAATTATTATTATTATGTAATACATTTAATAATACATTGTTTTTTAGGTTTGTTTGTTGAAAATACAATTTACAAATTACTAAAAAAAATAATACATTAAATCGCAAATTGCATACAAAATATTATAAATTATTATTTTTTTTAAATAAAAAAAATGATATTATGTACAGTAGTAATGATATTGTTTGATAAAAAAATTGATTGAAATATGACAATGAATATGATATTAGTAATTAAAAAAAAAGTCTAAAATTAGTTATTTTTTTTTAAAAATTGTAATAAATAGTAATTAAAAGATAACTAAAATTATGGGATATTACCGGTACTTATGGTAATACAGTTAACAACTAAAAAACTATTTTAAAAAATAGATCAACAATTGAATGATTTAAAACAATCAATAATATACTGTATAATAATAATATTATTATTATATATGAGTTATTTAATTTGATTAAAAAACTATAGCTCCGAAAGTTTCGGACCGAAACTATAGTATTGTTTGTTTTTTTTTGTTAAAAAAATTAGTAATAAATTATTTCAAAATTATTAGGTAATATACTGTCCTAATAATACTGTCCTAATAATAATAAATTATAATAATTATTTAAATAACTATATATATAACCACTATATTAGTATTATTATAATTATTAATAATAATTTAGTGGTATATACTAGTATACAGTAGTTATGTATAAATTATGTTTAACAACAAAGTCATTGGCTTTTTTTAAAAAAGTATTAAAAAAGTATAAAAAAGTAAAATAATATATAAAACAAAAAATTTGATAATATTTGATAATTCAATGTACGGTACGGTAAAAATGTTTTTAAAAAAATAAATTAAAAAATGATTTTAAATCATATGACAGACAGACAAACAGAGAGACAGACAGACAGACAGATAGACAAACAAACAGATACTCTTGACTTAAAGATAGGACACTTCGTCATTGATTTTGCCATTCAATTCGTCGTCGATATAAAACTTTTCGCACAATTTGTCGATAATTCGGGCAAATAGTATGGACTCTATATTTTTGCTCAACTTTTAAAACAAAAAAATATATTAATAATTAATTAATTAATTAATTAAATTATTTGTCTTAAAATTCAAATACCAGTAATAGTTTAAACCAATCGTCGAGTTTGAGACGTGAGATCAGACGTTTGGTTTGGTATTCACTAGCCGTTAGTCGTGACTCTGTGAGCCGATAGCGGTAGACATAGTAACGAATTTGTGGACAACAAATCAATAGCAGCCGAAAGGCAAACACAAAACTGGTTACAATGACCAGGAAGTAGTACCAAAACCATAGGAACAGATAGATCTTTTGGTTGAATATATTGACAGATAGCAGACAAAGTGTGTCCAGTCTTTCGACACTACCGGTCGAACCGAACCGATTCAATTCACATTTGCTTAGTATTGGAAATATCTGTTTTTTAAAAATAAATATATTAGCGGTAATTAAAAAAAATAAAAATGATTTTTTAAAATCAAAATTATTTACTAACTTTAGACATGGGATCCACTTTGACGGTCGGATCGGATGTCAGATAACGAAACAATCGGAAGCCATAATCGTTGAACTGATGGCTCAGAAAGATATCGTTGGCAACGATTTGTATGATAACATTGATTAGCGATAGGACTTCGCAAAAGTAGTACTTCAAGGCATACCAATCGTTAATACCATTGATTTTATATAAATAGTCGACAATTAGGTCGACTTTCTTATCGATTACTTGACTATCGGATGAAAAATAGTTTAAATCAGTTACCAGTGAAGATATTTTATTGGCTTCGAAGCACTTCCATAGCCAATGAGGAAAATAAAAACAAATCGCTTGAATGAATAGCATCAGCCAAACCCATTGATAGTAATAGTGGTAAATAAGTTTATGATCGGATCCATAGTGTCCTAAGCCGTGTCGTTGAAGGCGATTATTATTATTATTATTATTATTGTCCGCGGATTGGTAGAAGTTGACAATAAATTCGGGATCAATTGAATAGGTCGAGTTGACAAAACAATAGGTATTAATGAAACTTTTCGACACAGTCTTGTCATTGATTTCGCAATCAATGGGTTCGCCGACCAATATTTTCGATGATATTATCACACAAAAGGTGACCAACAGTATGACAGTCAGCTGATAGTGACAGCGAAATACTTGGCCATCGATACACTGTTTACGTGTTTTGACCAACGATGCCAACGATGACAACGACGATATCATTATCAACTAACAAAACTTCTTCTTCGGTCTTCGGTATAGATCGCTATAGATTTCAGATAATTATAATTATTATTAAATAAATCATCACTGATTGGATTCAATTTGGATGATCAAACTATTCACTTACCAATGATGATGACCACCGACTATCTGAAGATATGTTAGTGAACTGAAGAGATCAGTCGCGCGCCAAATGTGTTGCTGTCTTTCAAATGGTTTTCAATTGTATTAAAACAAAAAATAAAATAAAAACTTTTTTTTTAATTGTTTTTTGGTTACAGTTTTTTTTAAAAGTTTATTGCAATAGTTTTTTTTGTCAATCAATTGGTTATTATAATCTCTAATGCAATGTATTTCCTATACATTTATTACTAGTATCTCATTATTAATATTATTATTGCATATAATTTTTAATTTAAATAAATTTCCAATAATTTTATTGTTCACAAAAAAAGTTTATTTATTTAAGTAATAAATCAATCCATCAAAAAAAAGTTTAATTAAAATTTGACAAAATTATTGAAATACTACAGAAATACTATTAATTATATATAAATAATTTTTTTTATTTGTTTACTAATAAGTAGTTTACCGGTTAATTATACAATAATTAATTAATTAAGTAATTATTTTTTACAAAACATTAATGATTTTTTTTGTTTTGTTTAAATATACAAATATAATACCAACAAAAAAAACAATCAAAAAAAAGTTTTAATAAATTTGATTAGTTTTTTTTTTGAAATCATTAACTTATTATTCAATCAAAACAAAACAAAATTATCGAAATATTATTGAATAAATCAATTGAGAGTTTTAATTAAATTATAATTAATTAATTTTGGGGTTTATTTTTTTTTTAGAGGATGTGCTCAAAATAGTCACAAGTGTCACAATAGATAACCAAATCATTGGTTGAAATCCAATCAATCTGTAGTAAACCACAATCGCCATCGTCATCATAGTCATCAATGTTAAAGTGTCGCTGACTTCGGTCATGATTGGCCACTAATTGTCTAATCTTATGGATTATCATATCGATGGCCATACCCTCGGGTGTATCGAAGCGTATACCGCAAGACATACAACCCAACCAATCGGTAGTCGAAGCGGACGAAGCCGACGGCGACAAATATGTTTGTCGACAATTGGGACAAATAATCAGATCCCTATTCAGACCGGACAAAAAGGCCACACTCTTGTCGTGATCATGTTTGGTGGGCAACCCTTCCCAATATCTTTTCATATCAGAGTCGGCCCTTCGTTTCAGCTGCTCTTCTCTCAGTTTGATCTTTTCGTCGATGTCTTTGCCAACAATGGTGGTGGTTGTGGTGGTGGTGTTGTTACCATTGATATCGAGTATACCATTCATAACATCTGCCAACGCTTCCAACTCCATGTTTATATCGTTCACTTATATATATATATATAATTCACAAAAAAAACAAATTATTTTAATAATTTTTTTTAATAATAATCAATAATTTTATTATTATTATTATTATCAATATAACTGGTAATTACTTTCTCTCTCTCGTTAATTGAGGACAATAATTATAATAAATTAATTAATAAATTAATTATTATATGACTACAACAAAAATTATATATGAGATTAATAATGTGAACTATATATATATGACATCTAATAAAATATAATAATATATTGAATATTAATGGTACAATTGATTGCAAATTTTGACACATAAGTCATATAATCAAAATTTATACACTGGGTCATATTTCTATATATATATATATATAGTATATTCAATATTAATATAATTTTATCAATAGGGTAACCATTAATTGACTTTTTTTTAAAAAAATTAATCAAAAGTTTAAAGTTTTAAACTCATATCATATTACGATTGGTTACGATTATTTTATAATTATATATTTAATAATTATAGAGTTAATAATATATTTTTTTAAATAATTATTTTACTTAAATGCTTAACAATTTTTTTGTTTTACTATTGAGTTTATAAAAATTTTTATAAAAGTTTTATAAAAAAAAATTCTCAACAGTGACTCAAAAGTTATTTAAATTAAATAATAAATAAATAAATAATTAATTAATTTCCAATTTATTAATATATACAGTGATTTATAACAAATTACTATATTATAATTTATAATATTAGTTCAAAAAAAATCTAATAGTTAATAATAAGTAAAAGTCATTATATTTATTAGTATTGAATACTACGATATATTCAGTATATATATATAATTAATACAATAATAATATTAATAATTATTATTATTATTAACTCATTTGTCAATATTTAAAACAGTATTTTTCTTAAATACATTATTATAATAATTAAAATTAAATATTATTTTGAATAAATAGGAAATTTTTTTCATTTTATAAATCAATTTAAATAAGAATATTCTAAATGAAAATAAATTCAATTTATAATAAATAATTAATTCAATGATTAATATTAATATAGACGATAGCATAGTAACTATGGATATATAGAAAACACTTTGAATATCTTGAAGTTTGATTGAATTTATTGAATCGATCGGCGATTGTTGTTGTTGTTGTTGTTGACCAACTTCGGGACTAACTTTGACCGTAGAGTTGCGCAATGTTTCGGTCATCCAATGATCGTAGAAACCATTTTCCGAAAAACGGGTAATACTGATGACGGACGGAATCGGGTTATTCATTAAAAAAAATAATAAGTTTTGATTATCATATTTAAATTATTTAAATTAAAAAAAATATTATGAATTTTTTATTTTTCGAAAACTATTTTTTTTAAAAAAATAAAAATCTTATTTTTGAAAAACTAACGCCCAATTCATCGGTCGAAGTAATGGCGATCCTTTTGGCAAAGCCATTGCCATCTGATCCATCATCAGTGTCTCGGATGAGATATGCATTTCGCGGGTTGCGTACTGATGGACACCAAAGTTTAGTTGACTGGCAGTCATTATGTAAGCAATTTTTGTATGACGTTTTCTCCCGTGATGTTTGCTATTAGTTTTATTTGTTATTAATTCAATAGCTTTTCGGGTATTTTCGGGTATTTCATTTACCCGACTCATCGATCGGTTAATATTTTGTCCGACATAATAGTAGGCACTGCAACACCCGCTGTCGCTAAACAATTCATAATAGTATGAGTTTGGCTGAGTTAGTACTGAATATTCGTCGGTAATGGACACCCGCATCAGGTCGTCCAATGTTTCCACTGGCGGCTCGTTTTCGGGAATGGCCAGTATTGATGAAAATTTTGCCGAATACAGTGTCATCAGTATTAGCGATGACATTAGCCATAGACAAACCATTAGACGTATTATCAAGTATTTGGATTCAAGTATTGTTATTGCTTTAGATATAAGGATAGAGAGAATAGGAGAGAGAGAGAGAGAGAGAGAGAGAGAGAGAGAGAGAGAGAGAGAGAGAGAGAGAGAGAGAGAGAGAGAGAGAGAAAGAGAGAGAGAGAGAGAGAGAGAGAGAGAAAGAGAGAGAGAGAGAGAGAGAGAGAGAGAGAGAAGAGAGAGAAAGAGAGAGAAGAGAGAGAGAGAGAAAGAGAGAGAGARAGAGAGAGAAAGAGAGAGAAAGAGAGAGAAAGAGAGAGAAAGAGAGAGAGAGAGAGARAGAGAGAGAGAGAGAGAGAGAGAGAGAAAGAGAGAGAGAGAGAGAGAAAGAGAGAGAGATTATTTGAATATTAAATATAAATTTATTTATTTATTTTGTAATTAAATACAAACATTGTTGTAATAAGGCTCCTATAAGTCTGATAGATATGCTATCAATACGATTAGTATCATCAAAATGTTTCAAACGATATACTTGTTGTATAGATATTGTTGTTAATATGAATGCCATTAGTATGGCTATCCATAGATTGGTGGAAAACGGTGTTACCGTAATCCATGTCCGGGACTTATGTCCCGGTTTTATGGTTACAAATGTTAGCGGATCGTAGATATAGGCTTTGGTAAAGTCGGCCGCTTTGAATCGGTTTTCATTTAGTGTTACCACACAAATGCCAATATCTGCTGTCTTTAAATTAAAAAATATTATAAATTAGTTTTTATTATAAATTAATTAATTATATTTTATATTACCGTACAATACAATATACCGGTAATAATAATAATAATAATTATTATTATTAGTTATAAATACCTTATTATATAAATAGCCAACAGTTCCTATCCAAACACCATTTAGTAGACTACCCCAGCTTTGGTTGGCATAAATTAGTCGGTAATTAAAATTGAAATGTTTGGCTAAAAGTTCAATCATTTTCCCTTCAATTGATTCATTCATTATGTATTTTCCCGATTCATACACAACATTACAATACGGCATATTCTTTACGAAATTAATTAATTAATTAAATAAATAATTTATTTTTTTTAAAAAGTTATCAAATATAATAAAATTGTATATTAAAAAAATCAATTTAATTAAAAAAAAAATACTTACATTATTGACAACAACTTTTAGTTGAGTACCATTAAGATTGCAAACACTTGATGTCAACATTTGTCTAACATTGGGATCCATTGAATACAATATACCATTATATGAATGACAACCATTGATGACGGGTCTGATGTATGAAACCGTAACATCAGTCAAATCACTGACATATCTAATGATAAGACAACGAAAATCTTTAAATTTTTCATAGATTTTTAACTCTAGATCCGGAAGTAAATCACTTTTCAATACTAGAATAAAATTAATATTAGTTTTCATTGAAATATAACTGTTAAATGTAATTATCAATAATTTTATTATTATTATTATTATTACTAAATTCTTGTTCACTATTGAACTCAATTATCAAATGAATTTTTTTCACATTATTATTAAAATTATTATTTTTAGTAACTTTTAGAAAATTATCAAAATTTAATTTATCTAAACTATATGTTAAACAATTATTATTATTACTATTACAATGATTTTTAAAATATTTATTAATTAATGAACTATTAATTAGATTAGTGTATAGTATTTCTTGTTGATTATATGTTTGGCAAACTTGGTTCAAAAAAAATTCAAAATTTTTCTCAATATAAATTTGTCTTGATAATTTAAATAAAATAGGTAAAACAATTAAATTTTTATACATATTTAATTAATTAACTAATTAAAAATATTTAACTTTATTTTATTTTATTATATATTTCAAGTCAACTAATGTATTAACAACTTATTATTGCCCCGAAAATAATACTAATAAAAATGTAAAAAATTAATATTGTATAATATATATATATATATATTTATATAAATTATATATCAATAAAAAATTAATATTTTATAATATGTATAAAAAAAGTAGTTATATATCAATAAAAAAATAAATTTCTATAAATAATAATATGATTATTATTTATGATCACAAATAAATTAATAATAATAATAATAACAATGTAAAATAATATATGTTACAAATTATATAAATTAAAATTATATATTTACATATTATTATTTTTATTATATATATTTATTGACAAAAAAATCGATAATTATAATTACAATACAGTGAAATAAAATACCACAAATTCATTGACTAATAATAACTAAAATAATAATAATAGGTTTCTTTAAATTTATAGATTATTTTTTTTATTATTAAACAATACTATACTATAATCACTATGCAATCATATGTAAAGTTTTTCTATTGAAAAAAAAAAAATATATTTTGATACATATATACTATAATAATAATTATTATAATCAATTTGCTATAGAAAATAAACTAATAAAAATTATAAATTATTATTATTTTCTAACATATAACAATAACATTAAAATACAATACAATATTAATTAGATAAATCAATAAAAAATATTATTATTTTTTTAGCTATTTGAACAACGATGTCGTAATTCTAGACATTCAAAAAAAAATTATTGGTAATATTTATTTAATATATTAATTTTTTTTAAAAAATAAAAATAATTATAGACATTTATACAGTATGTATATTTTTTCAACAACAAAAAAATCAATTTTAATTATTCAAAATATTTCTTATCAAATTAAATCAAATTACATTTATTATTATTATTATTATCTTTTTTTACGGCAATTGATATTACGGTACATAATTCACACACAATAGTTTGGCATTTAAAAAAAATAACAATATAAACAAAATTAACAATTTTTAGTTATACATGCATAAATATATATATATATAACTATAATATAAAAAAAATACAATAAAAACAATCAATCAATCATTTTTTATGGCAATGTATGGGTTGCACAGGCAATGGGCCAAGTAATGGGTCCCTTAACTACAATATCGTTGATATCATTGCGTATACTAATGAAATGTCTTTTAAATTCAATTCCGTTGCCCTTTTTTTTTATTAACAAAACAAAACAAACAAACAAAATGTATTAAAATTTTTTAATTACAATTACCATTAAAAAAAACAAACAATTAATTTCATTTCAAAAAAACTTACTTTCATTAAACGAAAATCTACTAATATATTGCTCGGATTCATCTCAATAATGTTGGCGCTAAACACTAACGGCATTCCTCTCTTATCATTAGTCGATATAGTAAACTAGTAGTCAATAGGTTTATAATAATAAATTTAAAAAAAACTATAATTTAAATAATTATTATTAATATATTACTTGTGTTGGTAACGGTGTCTTTAGGGTATAATTTCTTTCATCGAAAACATGTTTCAGACGCCGGAATGTCTGATTTGAATCCCTGTTCGTAAAGAAACGGGTCATCCGTTTGACTAGTCTCTGGTAGACACTCTGCGAATTGCCGAATGGTGTCAATTGGGTATTCAGTATCATATTGTCGACGGCTGTCGGCTGTGAAAACGACTTGTGTTTGTTGTTGTTGTCTTTGTTGGTCATCCACACCGATAGTTGACTGTTCATTAGGACATCGCTCGGTTGGGAGACCGATGAGACTACTGCCGTCCCCGCCGTCGACACATCAGAGTCGGCTAAGCGCCGTCTTTTATATCCCTGGCCGTCGCCGTCGTCATCTAATTGGTGATTCTCATTATTTTTCGACCACTTCTTAAACCAGTGATGATTGCGGATTTGTGTCAGTGTATAGCGTTTTGTAACATTTGGACACAATATCTTACGCAGTAATGCTATAAAATAATTGTTTAAAAAAAAAGTTAAAAATCGGTAATTATTAAAAATTATTGAATCTCTCTCTCTCTCTCGAAAAAACACTCACACAATACTAAGCTATCGATTTTATTCCAGGGATACGATGTTATATCCGAATCAATCCAATCCCGATAGGCTTCGCAATCGTCGGTCGGCTGATCCCATGGAAGTTCGCCGGCTAACAGAGTGACCAGTATTACGCCACAACTCCAACTACAATATATTATATATATATATATATACATATATATCGGGATATATATAAAAAACAAACAAACAATTGATTTTTAATATGTATATAAAGTTGACCGAAAAAAAATAAAAATAAACTAACTATCGCTTACATATCGATCGGTGCGGCCTTAACTTGTTTTTGTGTAAATATTTCGGGTGCCATATAGGGAACTGTTCCGCTAGTGCTGTTCACTAGACGCTCGACACCCGAATATAGGAATAGTGTAGACATTTCAAAGTCACATATCTTTATGTTATCTAATTTTTTTGTTGATAACAAAAAATATTTTTAAAAAAAAATTATATACTGTTTATACGATACTATAATGTGATAATTATTAAAAAAAATATCATTTCAAACCATTTTCATCGAGTAATATGTTTTCTGGTTTAAGATCTCTGTGAACAATACCTATAAAAATTTTGTGGATAAGACATTATTAGTTTTTAAAAATTAAAAAACAAATTATTTTAACTATTAGTTTATTTTTAACGGATAATTAATTACCCTTTGAATGCAAATACTCGACTCCGGCAATGATCTGTGCGAAGAAACGATGGGCTAAACTGGTGTCCATTCCTATGTCGGGCTCTGAAAGTTCATCCCGTAATCATTAAACAAACAAACAAAAAATTTTCGGTTAATAATTACCGTACAAACAAAAAAATAAAACACATATATATATTAACGATAATTATTACCAATTCGGTCAAATAGTTCGCCACCGGAGGCGTACTCCAAGAATATATATTCAATAGTTTCGTCGGTTCGGTGGCCAATAAATTTGATAATATTCTCGTGATTTAGTTTCTTATGAAAACATATCTTAAGATATAATTGGGGATCAAATCAAACAAACAAAAGTGATAATTAATTAGTAAAAGACAACAAAAAATCTATACAATAATAGACAGTAATAACTAACTTCTTTGGTTAAACTAGTCTTGGCTTCGGGATGTTTGCTTAAGTCAATCACTTTGGCGGCCACACACTCGTCGGTTTCGTTGTTGACCAGTAGCCAAACTCTGCGGTCAAACAAACAAACAAAAACAAAACTTATGTATAGTTTTATATATCATAAACTAAATCATTAGATCCTTATATGATATCATAATAGCAGCGATTGGTAATCAATCAATTGGTCCCATTGATCGGTAATCATCGGCGGACAACGACTTACTGGCCAAAGTGTCCTTCGCCGAGTGGTGTCGACAATATCCAGCCTTTGACAAACTCGGTGGACATCGGCGACGACTCGGTCATCATTGTCATCATCGGTGGTAATGACGGCCAACAATAATATATAGTAAATCAATGTCTTTGTCGATGAATCACTTCAATCAATCCAATTGATCCAAACAATTGGTTTTTTATATAAACAATAATAACTATTAATTAACTTTTTTTAAAAATAAAACTATTGTTTATATAATAATTTAATACTTAATTAATTAATTAATTAAAAACACAATAAAAAAACTAAACATTTTATTTGCCGCTAATTATTATTATATAATACAAGTGTATATATAATGAAAGCCAATTGAATGACCAATCAGATGATAGATTAGACTATTGGGTGACCAATCAGATGAATGCATTTGTTTTTTTTTATTTAATTCAAATGACATCATTGTATTTTTAATATTAAATAACTAATTTGTACAGTAATTACGTCCCTATAATTTATACACTCTGTGTGTGTGTATGTATGTGTGTGTTATTTATAGATAATACAGTAATAATTTTTGATGACTAAAAAATGTACATGTTAATTTTTGTTGTTGTTGAGATAATTTAACAATTTAATTTTTATTTAACAATTAATAATTTATATTTTAATTTTTATTTAACAATTAAAAATTTATATTTTAATTTATTTTAATTAAACAAAAAATTATCGCTATTTTAAGCAACATTTTAAATATATAGATATCAGTATATAATTTTCTATAAAAAAAAATTGTTAATTTTTTTTAAATAATATGATATGATATTAATACATACAATAATATATTAATATTAAACATAACATGTACATTTTTTTGTTAATCTAATTTTTTTTAAAACTATTAAATGATAAAATTTATTTGATTAATATGATGATTCATTTTTTTTTACAGTATAATATAAACTAAAATGTTTTACTTATTTATGATATATACTTGAATTGTTTTTTTATTTATTTTTGTAATATTTAATTGAAAAATATTATTGAAAATTTTCTCTTTTTTAGTAAATAAAAATAATCATTGTATATAATATATATTAATTTATATATATATATATAGCAAATACGCACACGCTAATTAAAAAATAATAAAATAAATAAACCCTAAAAATATTTACGCATAAATTAAAAATAAATTATTGTGCTAAAAAAATAAAAAAATAATAAATTTTATTTTAAGCATGTCAATGTTTTTCTATTATTATTATTATAATTATTTACTATTTATTTTTAAGTTTCAAAATTTGTTTTTTCAATTTCCAGTAAATATATTTATTACAAATATAAAGTGTAAAAAAAAAATTTTTTAAACAATTTTTTTTAAATGGTGTAGTAATACATGTACTGTAAATACAGTGTATATTTATGACACACACACACACAGTGTGTTACTTCATTGAAAAATATACAGTGAATGTGACGTCACTTAATGTAAAAAATTAAAATCTATAATATTATCCATTATTTTATTGTCTAAAATACCGGTTAAATGTACTGTACATGTAGTGCAATGTTAGGTATGGTTGGAAAAATACAACTAAAAATAAATTTTATATTTCCAATAAAAATTAAATAAAACAATTATTTAGAAAATTTCTAAAAAATTTATTTTATTAATAATATGATGATAATTGATATCATATTGAATTTAAAAAATTCATTTTTTTAGGGGGGTGTTCTATACTTTTAGGTCCCACATTGTTGTTCCGCTTAACCTAAACCTAATATAAAGATATAATTTTTATATATTTTTTTATACATAACATAATGTAAATTATATCTTTATTTTTCTAAAAAAAAATTATTAGTTTTAAATTATGTTTAGATTAATAAATCCAAAAGTAAATAAAACCCTATAATTGTTTTTTTTAAATAAAAAATTAGAAATAAAATATACAAAAATAAATATGTTTGAAACAAATAATTAATCATTATATTAAATCTATATTAATTTTTAACTAACCATTATTATTGTGTATTATATATCAATATTATTTTTTTAAAAAAATTGGTCATGTATTATACATTGTTATACTTGAAAAACATTTTTTTATTTATCACCTTGGGGCCAACCCTGCTAATTTATTCTAGAATGTTCTAGAATGTCAGTGACGTTTTATTACATGTACACAATGTACGTTTGGATATTATCGAATACATTAACTTGATATTATAATCATAATTGAATATAAAACCCCCCACTTAAACAATCAATGAAAATACATCCCCTTTGGGACGTTATTGATTGTTTGGCAAGTTTTGTGGGTTGACTAATAGTATTGTACTTTTAGAGAACATTCTAGAAGTGTATAGAAATTAGTATTAAATACTAGAATATATACTACTATTTCAATACTATTAGATATAAAGGCATTGATTTTTTCCACTGTTGAACACATTGTCAGTCAATTTATTTTTAGTACTAATTTAGAGTCCATTTGATTGAAGTGTATATCAAATTCAATTGAATTGTTTGATTACCCGAAAAATATTTATTTCAAAAGTGATTATAATAACTAACCGATTAATTACCCGAAAAAGACTACAAACCGCTTATCAAAAATAATGGCAGCAAAAGGTACAGCAATTGGTATCGATTTGGGAACCACTTACTCGTGTGTCGGTGTCTTTCAACACGGAAAAGTTGAGATCATTGCCAACGATCAGGGAAACCGTACGACACCGTCGTATGTGGCGTTTACCGATACCGAACGTCTGATTGGTGATGCGGCCAAAAATCAGGTGGCCATGAATCCGTCGAATACGGTATTCGATGCCAAACGGTTGATTGGCCGCCGTTTCGATGACTCATCGGTACAGTCCGATATGAAACACTGGCCGTTCGATGTTGTCCAAGAATCGGGAAAACCGAAGATCAAAGTCGAATATAAAGGCGAAAGTAAGTTATTCTTTCCCGAAGAGATATCATCGATGGTTTTGGTTAAGATGAAAGAGATTGCCGAAGCCTATCTGGGATCGACTATTAACAATGCAGTGGTCACTGTTCCCGCCTATTTCAACGATAGCCAACGTCAGGCTACCAAAGATGCCGGCGTTATTGCCGGCCTGAATGTCTTGCGTATTATCAATGAGCCGACAGCGGCGGCCATTGCCTACGGTTTGGACAAGAAGGGTACCGGCGAACGAAATATATTGATCTTTGACTTAGGCGGCGGTACTTTCGATGTGTCCGTATTGACCATCGATGACGGTATATTTGAAGTCAAATCGACTGCCGGCGACACCCATTTGGGTGGCGAAGATTTCGACAATCGTATGGTCAACCATTTTGTTCAAGAATTCAAACGTAAACACAAAAAAGATTTGACAGTCAATAAGCGTGCGTTGCGTCGGCTGAGGACATCGTGCGAACGGGCGAAACGAACCCTATCGTCGTCAACCCAGGCGTCCATTGAAATCGATTCGCTGTTCGAAGGCGTCGACTTTTATTCGACAATAACCAGAGCCCGATTCGAGGAATTGAATGCCGATCTGTTCAGAGGTACACTCGAACCGGTCGAGAAAGCCCTAAGAGATGCCAAACTAGACAAAGGACAGATCCAAGAGGTTGTATTGGTTGGCGGATCCACTCGTATTCCGAAAATCCAGAAACTCCTACAGGATCTGTTCAATGGTAAAGAGTTGAACAAGAGTATCAATCCCGATGAAGCCGTAGCCTATGGTGCAGCCGTTCAGGCGGCCATTTTGTCCGGTGATAAAAGCGAAGCCGTTCAGGATCTGCTGCTTCTGGATGTTACGCCCCTGTCGTTGGGCATTGAAACCGCTGGCGGTGTAATGACTGCCCTAATCAAACGTAATACAACTATCCCGACCCGACAAACCCAAACGTTTACCACCTATTCGGACAATCAGCCCGGCGTACTGATTCAGGTGTTCGAAGGCGAACGTGCCATGACCAAAGATAACAATTTGTTGGGCAAATTTGAATTGGCCGGCATTCCGCCCGCACCGCGTGGTGTACCCCAGATTGAGGTCACTTTCGATATCGATGCCAACGGTATATTGAATGTATCCGCCGCTGATAAGAGTACCGGTAAAGAAAACAAGATTACCATTACCAACGATAAGGGACGACTGTCGAAGGAGGATATCGAGCGAATGGTCAAAGAAGCCGAATCCTATAAAGACGAAGACGAAAAGGTTAAGGAAAAGATTACGGCTCGCAATGGTCTGGAATCGTATGCCTATAATATCAAACAGGCCATCGAAGATGAAAAACTCAAGGATAAGATCAGTGAAGAAGACAGGACCAAAGTCTTGGACAAAGTCAATGATATTATCAAATGGTTGGACGCAAATACTTTGGCCGAAAAGGAAGAATTTGAACACAAACAAAAAGAATTGGAAGGCCTATGCAATCCAATAATGACTAAACTATATCAAAGCGCTGGCGGTATGCCCGGAGGTATGCCCGGCGGTATGCCTGAAGGCTTTCCCGGTGCACCAGGCGCTGGTGCTGGTGGTCCGACTCCCGGTGCCGGCGCTGGTGCCGGACCGACTATCGAGGAGGTCGACTAAACTAAATCACGTCACCACCACCAAACACACGATACACAAAACAAAATTGTTATCAATTGATTTGTTTATTGTTTTTTTATATATATTACTATTACTATTGATATCTAATTAATAATATTCATCTCCTCATTATATTAATATTAATATTATTATTATATATTTAGTCATTCATTAGCTATTCAAAAAAAAAACTACTATTAGTTAATTAATTTATTATTATTATTATAATGTATTTTTCTCTCTTTAAATGTTTGATTAAAAAAATGATTTTTATGTTATTATTATTATTATTATTATTGATTTGTATATTTAAAATACATTCGTATACTTTAATTAAAAAATATTGTTTTATGTAAATTGTTTACTACATTAAACTAACTAACTAAAAAAAAAGGTTTTTTTTTATTTAATTAATAATAAATTTTTGCTTATTTAAAATTTTTTATTTATTTAATTATTTCATTTAATTAATTGTTTTATTTAATGTATTCATATTTATAAATTATAATTAGATTTATTTAGATTAGTTAATAATTATAAATTATTTTTAAGCAATCATTTTGAATAACAAAATATTTTTTAAAAAATACAACAATCAATAGTAAACAAATTTTTTTTCGGTACAATAATTATATTGTAAATATAATAAATTACAAGTATTTCTATAAAATTTTCTATGTATATAAATATTTGTTTGAATTAATTACCGTAAATTGTATAATCAAATTAATACATATTAATTAAATCTATATATATATATCATATACGATATGATATACCATTAAATTAGTCTTAAATAGACTTACCATTTAAATTGTTTGAATTAATTAATTATTTTAATTGCTATCTAATAATAATTATTATTTAAAAAAAACTCATAACATATTATAATTATTATACAAATTATTAATAATATAGTATTTTTGATGAATTTCTATGAATATATCAACAAACAAATATATTGATATATATAAAACCAAAAAAAAAATAATAATAAAATAAACATAAACATAATTGACAATCAAAAATTTATGTGTTTGTGTGTGCAATTATCACAGCTTTAATAATCATAATAATAATAAAAATCATTAAAAACTAATTAATTAATAAAAAACAAACAATTGGATAAAATTAAGTTTTTTTAAATAAAAACAAACAAATAAAATCTAAACCAATAAAACTAATAATAATAATAATAATTTTCTATATAAAAAATTAGCTATAATAAAATGTGTGCTTAAAAAATAATTTTATAAATATTTAGGTATATGTTATGAAATTTTTGTTATCAATTGTATGATTTAATTTGTTTTCCGTCTAATCAATCAATGAATCAATTTATTTATTAATATTTTGTATTGAGTTTATAATAACTTAATAATAATAATAATAATAATCAATCGGAAAGAGTACTGACATGACTGGTATTGTCAGACATGTCTTCAGCGGAATCTTCTGATTTTTGCGAACTCGAATGCGTCGAATGGCAGTCGTCGTCACTTTTGCGTAGAAGTAGTACACTGTCTTCGCCTAGAATTGAACACAACTCTTGCAATCGGTTTTGCATTTTGGGAACACCTCCCAGTGATGACTCTAGTTTTTCTTTTTCTTCTCTCAGTGTCAAACGAGTTGATGTATCCAACGGTTCCAGACGCCAACCTCCTTCGCCATCGAACTGCAGTAGATGTGTATGAAATTTCCATAGCGATGGTCTGTGTGTTATCGTTATCAACGATATGCCCATATCTTTGGCTGTCTGATAGACTTGACTTTCGACATCAATGGATACGGCACTCGTGCACTCATCCAGTAATGCAAATTGAGGTCTTAAAAAAAATTAATAATTACAATCAATTATAAATAAAAAGTAGGAGGTTATAGGGTCAAAGGTCAAAGTACCTGTGATAGAAAAGTCTAGCCATTCCCATACGTTGCTTCTCACCGCCGCTGAGTATGTCCTTCCAGTCTCCGCTAGCATTCCAACCGCCTTCGCGAATGACAATATGCTTGAGGTGTACCTGAATTAGTATTTCCATCAGATCTTCATCGGTAATACCCTTGCTTTGCATCGTTTCCCAATCATCCGGATATATAACTTGATCTCTTAGCGAACCCAACGACATATACGGTCGCTGCGGTATATAAAACATTTGCTTGGATTCCGGATGTTCCAGTTTACCGCTAAATGTTGGCCACAGTCCGGCCAGTATACGAAACAGTGAACTTTTACCGCAACCGTTCGGACCAGTTATCAACAAATGCATATCAGTTGTCATCTTAATTGATATATTATAATATAAAAAATATATATTTATAAAACTTTATTATAATAAAGTAATTAAAAGCAAACAAATAAAGTAATTGCTATTTAGAAAAATTAGTGTAATTTCCTATATAATAGCATTTTTACGGTAATTGTTTTTAATTACTTAATACTACTAAAAAAAATTTATAGTAATTTTTCACACCTATTAAGAAACTATATAATTGTTATAGCAATTTGTATTTGTAATTAAATAATTAATTAATTTGCATATTATATAAAAAAAACTTTTTTGAATTTAATTTAAACATAAAATAAACTGTATTTACCGTAAATGATAGACTGGGAACAACTACATCGCAATTGGGTGTAATTATAGGCATATTTTCCAACCGTATGTAACCGTTTACTTCAATCACTTGACCTGTATATACAAATAAAAATATTACACGAAAATTATTAAATAGTTTTAATTACTTTATTATTATTATTATAATATAAAAATTTAATAGACACGCACACACGTAATACAGTAGTTTAAAGTTCAACAAAACATACACTAAAAACAATGTTATCTCAGAAAATTACGAGTAATATTCAATTAAATTATTTAAAAAAAAAAAAATCAAACAAACCTTTTATTTCAGGCATTCCGTCATTAAATGATAGGAAAGATTGATTAGATTTTTTCAATTTATTCGATGACTTAGCTATCGTACGCTTGAACTTTCCCTGACTGACCTCCTCGAAAACGGTCAACATTTTGGCCACCCGACCCGTATAGCCGGCCAATTCGGTAACCTATTAATCGGGTAATCAAAAAAAAATCAGTACATAAGTTAAAGTGTATAATAATAAATCATAGGACAATTGTAAGTCAACTGTTTTTTTTATTATAAATATGATTAATGGATACTAAATAAAAATTAAAGTCAAACTAAACAAACAATAAATTTTGAAAATATTATTTATTATTTGTACCTAAAAAAACAAAAAAGTTTCAAATAAATAAATTATTTGTTTGTTTGTTTAGAAACTACTTTTTTTTAAACAACTAACAAACTAACCATAAATTAAAAATTTATAAAATTGTGAAACCATTGATATAAATAAAATATATAAAGATTTTCAACGAAAAAATAAATAAAAATAATAAAAATAATTTCAAAAGACATCAACAAATATATTACCTCTTTATAGGATGAAAGTAGTCGCTCGAGAGCGTCGGCACCGGAAATCAATATATTCTTAGCGGTTGTCATATACTGTGTCCGTTCGCTGACATCATCGCTGGGCCGGTGATGATCTCCTCCACCTCCACCATCTTCGCTGGCAGGCATCGACATACCAGTCATTACCGGTACGGCAATGATGACCATACCGGTAGCGCTCCAGACATACTTCATGAGAAACTGTTCCAACATTATATACCAAAGTCTTTTATTGAATATGACATTCATCTGACGGGCCAACTCTTTGTACGATCGCTGAAGTATATTCATTTCGATCTGATGGCCGCCGTAGAAGGCAATCTCTTCGGCGTTGGCGATCACACGCGAGTGTATGAATCGTAAGAAACCTTTACGTCGGGCTTCTTCGGCAACCAATTTGCCGAATCGAGGCGACGACCAGCGAAGTATACCGTGCGTAAACAGTACGACTACGGAGGCCATTAGCGGTCCGGGCATTCCGTTGGCGCCCATTGAGTGGGCCATACGGAACAATGTAAATGATATGACACATACATCGAGCAATGGTTTGGTTACGTGTGAGTAGAGATGAGCGCAATGTTGACAAAATGATGTGATGTCGTCGGTTAGTGAGTGGTCGGCATTTTCCAGTCGGCCGTCTAAGTTGGATACGGCATAGTAGGTCTCGTTTTTGAAGTATAATTCGTAGGCGTAGCGTACCAGTCGGGTACGGAAGGCTAAGGATAGTTGACTTTCGAGAAAACGGATCAACGAGTTGACAAAAGTGGCCGGCAGTGCCACAAACAGCCATTTGGATAGCATCCAACCGAAGTTGACAATATCGCGTCGGACAATATATTTGACTACCTGTCCCTCGAGATTGGCCACATAGATGGACAAAAATGTTCGCGATATTAGGCTGACTGTATGGAGTATTAGTAGTGATACTTCGACACTCCTGAGTCCGGGAACCATAATACGGATCAATTTGATTAGTTGTACAATAAATGTTACGTTAACGCCGGTAATGGACTGAAATTTATAGAGCATTCGTATACAGAATTCTTCGAATTTGCCGAAAAAGTTGTCCCGTTTTGGTCCGAAATTACTGTACGAATCTTTTTTCCGATGTCCTCCTAATCCCGGCGGATAGTCGCCGCCGGCCGAGTCGTGCATCGACGACGACCGGCGCAATCCAGAGGCTAACAAATCGGGCTCTGCCGACGATTGTTTTTCGGGGCTAGTGGTCGATATCTTGTCCTGAGCCGACTTGACCTGCGATGACAGACACGATATGCTTTTCCGTATATACGGATAACCAATTTTGGCAAAATAGGCGGCAAATATGGCGTACGATAGCCCGCGGGTCAGATAGTGATTGGGCAGTCCATAGTTGTCGGTTATTTGTTTCATCTTTGACATAACAGTCGTCATCTTCAGTGATGGTGGTCTTTGTGTCGTCGGGTTGGCTAAACTTATTAATCAAATTAAGTAATAATTGGCAAACAAATGCCGGCCGACAACGGCGTCTTCTTGTGGATCACTCTTCAAAAGACTTTCACAGACACACGGATCTACTAAATGGATCCAATCAGTGGACAATCATTGGTCATCAACAACAACATAAACAACACACAACAATTGCCGGACAATAAACCGGTCAAAAACCAAACACGTTGTCGTTGTTGTCGGGTATCCGATATCGTGTGTGATGTCAATAGCGATGGTGTTATCGCACGGTTGGTAGGGGTAGTAGTAGTAGTGGTGGTGGGGAAAGGGCTATAGTACCTTATACCTGGTGGTGGTTGTGGTGGTGATGATGACGACTACGATGATGATGATGATGTCGGTGCCGATAATGGGGTCGACCAGTCATTGGGATTATTATAATAATTATAGTTAGTAGTAATACATGGATATTGATGTCACCATTAAAATAGTTATTTTAGTTATTTATATATACACTGTGTATATATGTATATAAATATATGATTGAAACATACATACATACAGTTAGTTAGGTGTGACTATTAAAAACAGTTATATTATTATTATTATTATTATAATTAAAATATTAAGTGATTTAATACAAGTGTGTTGTTGTTGTGTTGAAAGGAGACAACAGTTATCACTACTAGTATTGGTATTTAATAGTAGTGTTACTGTACTCTACTGTCAATGCAATTCATATAACATAACATTTTAATATTAATACATCAATACTGTATTGAAATAATCCTTTAGTTAGTCTACTGTATGTACAGTATGTTTAAACATATATGTGATGTATATTTACAGTATAGTACAGTATGCTATGTTGAGCTCATTGATCATCACATATAGACACACATACACAGCACAGTTAGCTAACACACACACACACACACACACAGGTATTGCATCAAACAAATCACATACACATATGTACAACAAATATATAAAATAATATAATTATTTTGTTTGTTTGTAAAAACAATTTTTTTTAATAATAAAAATTATGTATTAATTAATACATACATTGGATGTCTATGTCATCCGAAAAAAAACTATTAAAAATAAAATAAAAACTTTAACTAACAATGAGTTTAATGAACTCTCTATAAGTAAGAAAAAAAACTTAATGTATATTACAAACACTTATTATTATTACTACAGTGTATAGTATATACAGTATAGTATACCTGTAGTTATCATTTAATTAATGATTACAAGTCTATGTGATTAACAAAAAAAACAACAACAAAAAGTTTTTTTTTCTAATGCAGTGTCACTTAAAAAAATAAATATAAAATTGTTAAAAAATATAGTTAACTTATTGACAACTATTTACTACAATGATATACACATACACAGAGAGTACTACTACTACTACTACCTGTATATATGTTTATAGTGATTGATTTTTGTTGTTGTTGGTGATGTGGTGGGCACAGGTAGGTTTTTTTAAATGTGAGGAGGACTACTACTACCTGAGCGTTTAGAGGCATAGCCACAGATAGATAGATAGATAGATAGACTGTATTTCCCAATCGCATGAAAAGCCGTTCCGCCGCAGGCTTTGAAATAAATAATAATAATAAAAAGTTTTGTTTTGCAAAATAAAAGTTATATATTTTTTATTAATAATAATAAAAAAACAATTACTTTATGTCTAATATAGATAAATAACAAAATATACAGTAAAATGATATTAACAGTATATAACAAAATTATTTAAAAAATTATATTTAAAAAAAATTATTATTATTACTATTATTTTTTTATTGATGATTTTTTTGTGTGGTGTTATTAAATAAAATGTTGAATTTCTTGTTTACTGTTATATTATATATATAGATATATAATTATATATATATGAGAGCACATGTAGTTATTTTTTGCTAAATTGGTAAAAAGGAGTAAATTTAATACAATTTAATATATTGTATATAAATATATAGAGAAAGGTATAGTATATATATATACAGTACAGTATAACTTATTATATGTAATACCTATAAATAAAAAATACTCTATAAATATATATATATATATATAGATACTTTAAATTTATAATATACAGGTATATATATATAAAAACTATATTATAAACTACAGTAATAAGATTTTTTTGTTGGTTATATTTATATCTATTATTTGTTTTTCTTCTATTGAACAAAAAAAAAAGGATAGTCTTCAACGTTGTTAAACACAATTTTATTTTTTTGAAAATTTATTTAGGCTTTAAATTTAATTCAATAAAATTCAATTTGATATATAATTTTAGGTATATTTACTGTGTATTTGTGTTTATGTGTTTATAATACTGTACCTAAATTTACAGTACATTTAAAGAGATAAGAAACTAACTGCAAATATACTCTGAATTTTATTGTTGTACTGTATTATACACTCTATATTACACACACACACACACACACACACACACACACACACACACACACACACACACACACACACACACACACACACACACACACACACACACACACACACACACACACACACACGTACATACATACATACAGTGTATAAATATTTTAGTAATACATTGATAGGCAAACTAATAGCATATAAAAACAAGATTTACAGTATATTTATAGTAATATATAAAAATAAAATAATTTCATTAAAAGTGTGCCAAATATTTTAAGTCATATACACAGGTATATACAGTATTATTATTATTATTATTATTATTAATGTTTATTGAGTTATTTGTGTGAATCTCATTGATAACAAATTAAAACAAGTGTAAGTAAATAGTGAATTGAATGACCTTTAAAACTAATTTCAAAAATTTTTAGCTGAATTATTATTATTATAATTATCAAAATTATTTTCTTACTCTCATTTAATATTAAACTTGATATATTAAACAAAAATATATTTCACATAATTTATTAAATAACTCTAAACTAAATAAATTTTCTATTATGCTTTCTCATTGCTGTTTAAATGATTTAATAATTATAATTATTATTTAATAGACGTATTAAAAAATAATATAAATAAAAGTTAGTTTTTTTTTAGTAAATTCAAATTGAATTTTCAATAATACAACAACAAAAAAATAAAATTCATCCCATTTTTATTTTTTTTCAGTGACAAATTGTTTGTTTAATATAATATATATATATATATATTATACAATATAAAATTTATATATATAATTAACAGACACTTTAGACAACAGTGTGTCTATCATCTGTTTTTTTGGGGTAATTAGAAGATAATTACTTTTTTTTTGAACAGTAAATCTGGTGCTAGTATTTCAATGTTTTATTTTTTTTGCCGTTGTGTTGATGTGTTGTCATTAGATGATAGATAATTGAATACTACTATTAGTACTAACTCTATCAGATATGCCATATATATATATATATATAAAATAGTTAACTTTAGTATACTTTAGTAGACATTATTAAATAATAAAAATAATAATAATAATAATAATAATACAGGAGCTTAATTGTAATCTAAAGTTTATTGAACACTATTTTAGTTTTTTTAACATTACTAAAAAAAAGTGTGTGAAGTCTATTATATTATAATTGTATAATAATATATATATATATATATATATAAATTTATATATAATTTAAAAAACTATTTTTTTAATCGTAAACTATTAAACTTTATTTTTTAAAAATTAGAATTTATTTAAAATAATAATATTATTTTGTATATACTGTATATTGAATTGTTTTTTATTAAATTAATGTTTTTTTGTATAATATGATTAAAATTGTTTTTTTTAAAATCAAAATTAAATTCAATTTCATAATAATCTAAATAAAATGATGAATTACTAAACTAATATATATTATATTTATTATAAAATAATATAATTAATTTTTGTTGTTGGTATGTGTCAAACAAACATACAGTTATCAATTATTATTATTATAATTATTAATTACTAAATAAAAGCATTATTAATTATTTGTGAATTAGTTGGAAAAACATGTTATTTAAAACAACAACAACAACAAAAATTATTAGTCAAATTTAATTAGCATATATATTGTGTGCCAAAATATTTATATAAATTTGTAAAATTTAAATTATAAAAATTATAAAATTATAATAATACAATATGATGATGATGATGCCATTGGCATTGAATAATGATTAATAGTAATTTGTATTCAATTATTATTATTATTATCAATAGTATATTATTTTGTAATTTTATTAATATTAATAATTTTGTTATTATTATTATTCATAGAAATATAATAAGTTTTTATATTATAAAGTTTTGTTTTTTAAAAAAAATATATATATATAGTTGACAAAATATATAAATCAATACAATTTGTAATAAAAATTGATATGTTTTTTATACATATAATGATTATTATAATACTAATAAAAATAATAATATAAGCTGGTGGCAATTTATATATATATATATATCTAAAAATAATTTTGTTTTCCCTCAAAATATCAAACTAAATTAAATAGTATATATATATACAGTATAAAAATGTTTTACGTGATATTATTATTAGTATTATTAGCAATAATACTACTACTACTACAGTAATATTATTATTATTATATACTTTAATACTGTATATATAAATCTATTTGTAATTGTTATATATATTTATTATTAACAATTAATTGTAACTAAAAATAAACCAATACTAATACTAATAATAATAATAAAGCTAAAAATTGATTTTTTACTGGACAATTTCCTATTATTATTATTATTATTATTATTATCATTTTTATTATTATTATAAAATAGTTCAATTGATTTTTTTGGGGTCCAATTTTGTTTGTCTGTAATAATCTATAAACTTAATATATATATATATATATATATATACAGTATATATATATTAAGTTTATATATTTTCACACTAATATTTTCATCAAAACTAAACATATAAAAAAAACTATGTAACAAATTATTATATAGTTTGAGAGCATATATTGTATTTATATATATATAAAAAAAATAGTTGAGAAAAGCTAACAAATAAAATAAAAACTGAGTCTTAATTAGAGTTTGAAACAGGGATTTAGGGGAAAAAAGGCGATAAAATGCACACAAAATAATAATAATATATTTTTTTAATAATCCTATTTAGCAGACAATATCGATTTTATTTTATTTTGACAATTTTAGTGTTATATAAATAAAATTAGATAAATTGTTGTTTTTAGGGGACAATCAATTTTCTAATAGTTAATTAATTAACTAAAAATCTATCATTTATCAATATAATAAATAATTTATCAATTATATATATATATGTATATATATACCGTATAAGGAAACAAATTTATATAAAATAAATTAAATAAGTTTAACAATTAAATTAAGTATTTTATTTATCAATTTTTTTATTTTTTGAATAAATACTTAAAGCCTGTCAATTGTTGAAAATAATTATAGAAAATTTACTTTCAATAAAAATAAATAAATAAATATAATATATTAAATTATTTAAAAAAATGTTTTTTACATTTATTAAACATTGTTCACCAAAAAAAACTATATAATAGAAATTGGGGTTTTTAAAATAAATATAAGTTTTTAATATTAAGTGAATAATTTATTTGGAAAATAAATTAGCTATAATAATAAATATAGTTAATTTCATTTATTATTATTAAATAATA